CGGACATTTTCTCGTACGAAACTCCGCTAGAATAGCCAAAACCCAATTTTTAAACCTTTTATCCATTCTAAATGCGACCTTGGTTTCACGTCAAATAAGCAAAACGAGACCAACAAAATATTCAAAAATCATTTTAAAATAAAATAATCATATTTCAGAACGAAACGAGGCGTCGGCCCGCGTCCACTACGCTTCGGCAAATAAAATTGCCAAAGGCAGAAAAAATCGATCAAAAAATCCCCAAGTCGATAAACCATTTCTTCGCACAATGCCCCTAACTATCTATCTCATATGTATTTTTACCTTTTATTAGAAAGTCCGAAAAACGCTGCGGAAACGTTGAAATAAAGTGATGATTCCTGTTGTTTGTTTCATTGTTTTTGACCCAACAAAAAGTGACGTCATAGAGCCGCGACGCGTGCTAAGGATTCTCAGCCCTAATGACGTCATCGGATTTCGAAAAATCGAAAAAAAGTGTTAGTGACTAAAAAATCCGAAAGAGCTTTCAGTAACACTTTCTGGTTGCTTCTGACAACAAAAATCACAAAAGGTGACGTCAGAGAGCCGCGACGCGACCGCCGACGCGGCTAAAAATACTCAGGGCAGTGCTAATGACGTCATCGGAAATCGAAACATTCGAAAAAAAGTGTTGGTGACTAAAAAATCCAAAAAAGCTTTCAGTAACACTTTCTGTTTGCTTCTGACCTCAAACTTCACAAAAAGTGACGTCAGAGAACCGCGACGCGACCGCACGCGCCATCTATATGTCATGGAATTTTAAAAAACAAGAAAGTTTTATTCGGACCTGAAAGAGCTTCATCATCTATAAATATCAATTTTGTTAGATTGAAATGAAATAAGTGACGTCATTCATTAGAACCGCGACGCGACCGCCGACGCGGCTGAAGTTACTCAATTCTAACGACGTCATCGAAACTTTGAAAATCTAGAAGACTCATTATTATATCAAAACTTTCATTTTGATGAGATTCAAATGAAATGAATGACGTCACTTTATTGAACCGCGACGCGCCAAATGACGTCATCCATTCACAGTTTCATATCTTTAAACTCAAGAAAATCCCCAAAAATCGTTCATTTCTCACCAGCATTCCTTCTTTTTGCGTCAAATGATGAAAGTGATGTTCTTTACAAGTCCTGATTCTGATCTTTTCAATCCTAATTTGGAGCCGATTCATCATATTTTCTATAGAAAGCTTTTCCGTAGGCGAGTGTATGACTGATTTTTGAATGGTTGGTTTTTCTAGAATGTCTCAGGACCGCCAGAGTGGTCCCTAGAGGGGCAACCTACAGCGCCCTCGAAGTATCCCCTCTAGGGGTATGTCTAGGGATCACCTCCCCCTATGAGGACCACTAAAGCTTGCCAAAGTGATCCCTATAGGGCACATAATTCTATGAACTCTATGCGAAGAAGCATTTCCATGGGAAAACTGGATAAAAAGCGTTTTTTGAACGAAATTGAACCTATAGGGACCACTTAATATTTATGGGCTGAGGGGTCAGATCCTTAATCCCTCTAGGGACCATTTTGATTTTACCCCTACAGGGATCCCTTAAATGGGCTGTTTTTCTCCTTAACCCCTATAGAAGTTCCAAAAAAGACAAAAATGCAAAGACCCACAAAGGGAGCACTATTTTGTCCCCTATAGTGGCTGTTTCACCCCTAGCCCCTGTAGGGACCACTTTAACGTTCTTAAGTTGGCTCAATTTTTCAAAATTTTGATTAAGCAGGCACTATAGGAATATTGAAAAATGATAGAAATGTGATTTTAATTTTTTAATCTGATCCCTTTTCCTAAAAATCCAATAGTTCTGAACCCTCAAATTTGAAAATATTCTTGACTCACGTCATTTTTTTTTCTCGGTTTCAAATCGCTCTTTATTGAGCGAAAATAGGAAATACGGGTAGCTAGCCTTTGAAAATTTCGGGTTCTTGTGACCGGAAATGGCCGCATTACACGCCCCTTTGGACTCGAAAGAAGAAAAAGAGAGAAAAAAATATTTAAAGTTGCAGGACTGCAAAAAAATAAAATCAAGGAGAAATATATGAGTTAAGGACCGCGACGCGACCGCAACGCTTCGTTGAAATTTCTCGATCTGTAATTTACTTTTGTGTGTGAGAAGTAAAACATTTTGATTGATTGATTGATTTGTCGTAAAAAGCGGTCAAAGTTCATATTGTACCATTGAAAGGTGATCTGACCCGCTTGAACGAAGATTTTTTCGATAAAAGCAAAAAAACCGCGACGCGACCGCAACGCTTAACCTCTGAGTTCGTTTAAAAAAGCGGCAATGTCCTTCTTTCATCAGTAGAATCGATCAAACTGAAGCTAGGGCTGAAATTTTTGGACAAAAGTCAAAAAGACCGCGACGCGACCGCAACGCTCCCCCTTTTAAGTCCGTTCAAAAAGGCGGTAACGGTCCTCTTTCATCAGTAGAAACGATCAAATTGAAGCTAGGGCTGAAAATTTTCGATAAAAGCAAAAAAACCGCGACGCGACCGCAACGCTCCCCCTTTTAAGTCCGTTCAAAAAGGCGGTAACGGTCCTCTTTCATCAGTAGAAACGATCAAACTGAAGCTAGGGCTGAAAATTTTCGATAAAAGCAAAAAAAACCGCGACGCGACCGCAACGCTCCCCCTTTTGAGTCCGTTCAAAAAAGCGGCAACGTTCCTTTTTCAGCAGTAGAAACGATCAAACTGAAGCTAGGGCTGAAATTTTTGGACAAAAGTCAAAAAGACCGAGTCTGTTTCAAAAGATGGCAAAATTTCTCTTTCATCAGTAGAAACGATCAAACTGAAGCTAGGGCTGAAAATTTTCGATAAAAGCAAAAAAAACCGCGACGCGACCGCAACGCTTCCCCTTTTGAGTCCGTTCAAAAAAGCGGCAACGTTCCTTTTTCATTAGTAGAATCGATCAAACTGAAGCTAGCTTTAAAATTTTTGGATAAAAGCCAAAAGACCGCGACGCGACCGCAACGCTTCCCCTTTTGAGTCCGTTCAAAAAAGCGGCAATGTTCCTCTTTCAGCAGTAGAAACGATCAAACTGAAGCTAGGGCTGAAATTTTTGGACAAAAGTCAAAAAGACCGCGACGCGACCGCAACGCCCCCATTTTTGAGTCTGTTTCAAAAGATGGCAAAGTTTCTCTTTCATCAGTAGAAACGATCAAACTGAAGCTAGGGCTGAAAATTTTCGATAAAAGCAAAAAAACCGCGACGCGACCGCAACGCTTAACCTCTGAGTTCGTTTAAAAGACGGTAATGTTCCTCTTCTATCAGTAGAATCGATCAAACTGAAGCTAGGGCTGAAATTTTTGGACCAAAGTCAAAAAGACCGCGACGCGACCGCAACGCCCCCATTTTTGAGTCTGTTTCAAAAGATGGCAAAGTTTCTCTTTCATCAGTAGAAACGATCAAACTGAAGCTAGGGCTGAAAATTTTCGATAAAAGCAAAAAAACCGCGACGCGACCGCAACGCTCCCCCATTTAAGTCCGTTCAAAAAGGCGGTAATGGTCCTCTTTCATCAGTAGAAACGATCAAACTGAAGCTAGGGCTGAAAATTTTCGATAAAAGCAAAAAAACCGCGACGCGACCGCAACGCTTAACCTCTGAGTTCGTTTAAAAGACGGTAATGTTCCTCTTCTATCAGTAGAATCGATCAAACTGAAGCTAGGGCTGAAATTTTTGGACAAAAGTCAAAAAGACCGCGACGCGACCGCAGCGCGTTATCTTTTCCAATGACGTCATAAAATCCACTGATCAAAAAAACACTGACTATCCTGCTTTTTTGGTTCATGCTCTTAAGCCCGCCTGCCTAACCAGGATTCCGTTTTCTGACCACCTATTTTTATGGCTCAAAACCTTCTTTCACAATTTTCCTCTACGAATCTCACTGTCAAAAACTAAACTTCAGTAAATGACCAGATGGCAAAAAAAAGCTTCTCAGGTCACGTTTTTTTCATTTTATTACCCTTTTTTCTGAAAAACGTCATTCCAATAAGACTATTCATGACCCATAAAAAAAGGTCACCAATTTTTCTGCAAAAAAGTTTCTCAACAGGGATCGAGTCCATGGCCGCTGCAATTTTATATATTTTTTTATATATTTATCAAAATATATAGCTCATTCCTACCAAAAAAAAATCAATCAATCAAAATTTTCAATTCGTCCAATAACAAGTGAGACGGCTGATGAAAATGACGTCATAATCGTCGGAGCCGCGACGCGACCGCGCACGCGTGCGAACCTCTATGAACCTTATCAGAATGGTTAGAACTGTCTTAATTAATGATAGTTATAAATTTTACAGATAAATTCAAAATGACGTCACTTTTCGCCACAACTTTGAACAGTCTGACCGTCTGCGCTCTCTTCTCTCTCGCCATTAAGGTCGTAAAAAATGAGAGATTAGAGGGCGCAGAGAAGTCAGATTGTTTCAAGAGACGACCTAGGAAAACTTTCAGTGGTCACTTTAGGGTTCTGACGTTTTAGTGGCCACTATAGTAGTCGAATTAGTGACCGCTTAAGTGGCTGAAATTTATTGGCCTCTTGAGAAATCCAGTGGTACTTCTAGATTGATAAAAACTACTATAGTGGCCACTGAGTCGCAAAATAGTAGCCACTTAAGTGTCCTCTCCGAGTAGTCCTAGAGGAGCCCCTCAAGTGGCCATTTAAGTATTTTTTCTCAAAAAGGCCGAAAAATCGTCTTCATTGACCTCGAACCCCTTCGATTTTGACAAAAAGCCACATTTTACCCGAAATTTTTGCAGCAAAGAACCAAAAAGCCTTAATCTTGGCATGGACCTCCGTTGGTGAATAATGCATTTTCCGAGCGTGTGTTCTCAGGCGCGAATTTTAAATTTCGATGCCGTCCCACTCGCTTCGAAAACTTCCAAAATTTGCTGGGCAATTTTCTGAGAAATGGCCATTTTTTGAGTCGACTTGACGTGCACCATCTCCAGGTCAAAACAGATGACGTCATGGCTCAATTGGTAGAGCGATCGGCTGCTGTTGGGAAGGTCAGGGGATCGACTCCCGAACCGAAAAACTTCCAAAATTTTCTGAGAAATGGCCATTTTTTGAGTCGACTTGACGTGCATCATTTCCAGGTCAAAAAAGATGACGTCATGGCTCAGTCGGTAGAGCGATTGACTGCTGTTGGAGAGGTCAAGGGATCGATTCCCGGATCGAAGAACTTTTAAAATTTGCTGGGCAATTTTTGAGATGACTTGACGTGCACCATCTCCAAGTCAAAAAAGATGACGCCATGGCTCAGTTGGTAGAGCGATTGGCTGCTGTTGGGAAGGTCAGGGGATCGACTCCCGAACCGAAAAACTTCCAAATTTGCTGGTCATTTTTTGACTCGACTTGACGTGCATCATTTCCAGGTCAAAAAAGATGACGCCATGGCTCAGTTGGTAGAGCGATTGGCTGCTGTTGGGAAGGTCAGGGGATCGACTCCCGAACCGAAAAACTTCCAAATTTGCTGGTCATTTTTTGACTCGACTTGACGTGCATCATTTCCAGGTCAAAAAAGATGACGCCATGGCTCAGTTGGTAGAGCGATTGGCTGCTGTTGGGAAGGTCAGGGGATCGACTCCCGAACCGAAAAACTTCCAAATTTGCTGGTCATTTTTTGACTCGACTTGACGTGCATCATTTCCAGGTCAAAAAAGATGACGCCATGGCTCAGTTGGTAGAGCGATTGGCTGCTGTTGGGAAGGTCAGGGGATCGACTCCCGAACCGAAAAACTTCCAAAATTTTCTGAGAAATGGCCATTTTTTGAGTCGACTTGACGTGCATCATTTCCAGGTCAAAAAAGATGACGTCATGGCTCAGTCGGTAGAGCGATTGACTGTTGTTGGGAAGGTCAGGGGATCGACTCCCGAACCGAAAAACTTCCAAATTTGCTGGTCATTTTTTGACTCGACTTGACGTGCATCGTTTCTAGGTCAAAAAAAGATGACGTCATGGTTCAATCGGTAGAGCGATTGGCTGCTGTTGGGAAGGTCAGGGGATCGATTCCTGGACCGAAAAAGTTCCAAAATTTTCTGAGAAATGGCCATTTTTTGCCTCGACTTGACGTGCACCATCTCCAGGTCAAAAAAGATGACGTCATGGCTCAGTCGGTAGAGCGATTGACTGTTGTTGGGAAGGTCAGGGGATCGGTTCCCGGACAGGTTTTAAGACCATTTTTGCCGTCCTTTTTTTCTAACCTTTTTTTCGTCAAAAGGTGTCATGACCCTACGAGGATATGAGACATCAAACAGGGTTCTTTGAAAAACCAACAGGTGTTCCGCTCAATAAGTTTACCCACGAACGTTTCTTATCATAAAAAGGCAACACGTGGTACAAATTTGATTTCTCGATCTTTGGAATAAATTTAAAAGCTTTCAAGAAATATGGTCTCACTTGCAAGTAAAAAAATATGAAAATTACTTTTTTTAAAAAAATGGCAAGAAACTGGTACGGAATCGATCCCGTGGCCTTCAGATTGGACTCTAAAATCTATCCGACTGAGCTATTAATCCTCAAAGAGATTCATTTAAACAAACTTGAGAAAATGGCAAAAATTTTTACAGCGGAGTCGAACCTGTGACCTCTGGAGCAAGCTTGGAAAAGCAACCAACTGATCTATATAACCATTCGATTCCTAGTGCAAACGCTCTAGCTAGAAGTCAGAAAATAGCAAAAAATGTGCAAGAAAAATTGAACCTTGATCCTCAAATTGAGGGTCAAGAATCTAACCAACTGAGCTACCAATTCAATCAACCCCCAAGTGCAAGAGACCTACACAAACTCAAGCTTTAAAAAAGCAAAAATTTGTCGAAAATCGGGTAGAGTTGATCCTGGGACTGTCAGATACAAGATAAAAATCTAACCAACTGAGCCATCGATTCAATCAACCGCCAAGTGCAAGAGATCTACACAGTCAATAGCTTTGAAAAAGCAAAAATCTGTCGAAAACTAGGAAGATTTGATCCAGAGACCTTCGGATCCAAGATAAAAATCTAATCAACTGAGCTATCCACCCCATCATCTCCCGTACACAGATTCTCTACATAACTTGCAATTTTCGAAAATACAAAAAGAGTTTCTTTTTCAATATTGACTCACCTATGACATCCTTCTCACAATAAGAAAGTTGAAAATTAATTCTTTGCAGAACTCATTTTATTTCACGCGTTCCTGCGCCTTTAAAGGTTGACAAAGGCGGTCGACTGTGACAATTTGTTTCATTTGTCATTTTCGCAACACAATATTATTTTTTAATCACTTGAGTGGGTGGATCAAATTTTGCAAAACTTCAAAACGAGCCCAGGAATCGAACCATCGACCTTTTCCATCTTATTCAAAGCTTTTACCGACTGAGCCACGATCTTCTCGAGATTTCAACTTTCAAACCAAAGAAGAGAATAAAGAAATGCATTTTGAAACAATTTCTCTGTTTCTCTGCGTCTCTCATTTCTCAAAAGTATTTTTTCCTACTTAAGATCGCCAGAGTGGTCCCTAGAGGGGTTAAGAAGTACCAACAGGAAACAATATAGTGACCCCTAGAGGACTAAGTGGTCCCTATAGGAATGTAGGGTCTGTCTTTGAACCCCTAAAGCTCAAGTGGTCCTTCTAGGGGTTTTTCAATTTTTGTAATGATTTTAAAGATAGAAAGGCGTACAATGTTCATGCTCCCCTAGAGTGACCACTTCAGTGCCTTTTAGGGGGAGACAAAGTGGTCCCTAAAGGGAACTTTCAAGAACTCGCTGCCCCTATAGAGATCACTCTGGCGCTTCACAGCACTTTCACACTTTTTATTTCATTTTTTTTTCCAATCATCTCGAAATTCATTAATCATTCATAGAACAAAAAATGTTCCTACTAAAATAAGTGAGTCTAAAAGGCAACTCAAATAAGTCATCCATTTTTTTCTAATCCGACCGCATTCTATAGAAAACTAACATTATTAGGATTTTTCGAAAAGGCTTCCTGCGTAGATTACTTTTGCCATTGAATAGAGATTAACATTTCAAATAGACATATGTTAGAATATTATATAGAGAAACGCTCTTTGTACTCATCTATCAAAAAAAAATTTATAGGAAAGTTCTAGTGAACTCTGATATAACGTACTTCATCAGAAACTTGAAAAAATTTAAAGACGCAGCGCTGAAGAAAAACCATCTCTAAAATGAGCAATTCTTAGCGAATTGTTAGTTTTTAAAATGTTCCTTTCTTGGCCTGTCTTTTCAAAAATGTCGCTCTAACATAAGCAATATCAAATCCTCAAAACAATCGATTTTATCAGAAACTTGAAAAAAATTTAAAGGCGCAGGGCTGAAATCAATAAAAGGTTCTGGCTCCGCCCTGCGCCTTTAAAAGCTTATTTATTTTTCATCTCTATGTTCAGTAATAGTAACGGAAGGTCCAGAAAACTGAGCTTCTCCCAGAAAAAATACCGAAAAAATGAGAGAAAAACCATCACTAACATGAGCAATGCTTAGTAAATTATCTTCATTTTCAAAAATTCCAAGTACTTTTTGAAAATTCCCTCTAACATGAGCAATAACCCCCCAGCCACGCCCACTCCTCCTCCTGACATCATCTTAAATCAATCGATTTCATCAGAAACTCGGAAAAAAAGTTTAAAGGCGCAGGGCTGAAATCAAAAAAACGGTCCTGGCTCCGCCCTGCGCCTTTAAAAATTTCGTGTTCATTTATATATTTTTTTTATATACCACAAGGTCCAGAAAAATGACATTACTGAGAAATTCAAAGAAAAACCATCTCTAAAGTGAGCAATGATCAGTAACTTATTATTTTTCCAAATATACCGTTCTTTCTCAAAAACGTTCCTCTAACATGAGCAATATTCCCAAAGCCCCGCCCACTCCGTCTCATGACATCATCTCAAACTCGTACAGCACTCGAATGCTCCAAGAAACTGGAAAGGAATTTCAAAGGGGCGGAGCCTAGGCCGAGCTCCGACTCCGCCCACTTTTCGGCTCACTCCTTTTTGGGATCTCCTTCGATCACGCGACTTATTATCTTCATCTATACTTTTAATTCGTTCCTGATACTCTAAACTCATCGTCAAGTTCTTCTGAATTCCTACAACGTCATCTGAAACCAGACTTCTGAATCCAGATGTCGTTGGTCGACCGACGGCACGCCGTTCTGTGGCTCGCCGTCTTCTGCCTCTTCTCAGCCGCCTCAGCACAGCCTTTTTGTGAGTTATCGATTGATTGATTAGATGAAGTCATCATGGTGATAATATGACGTCATTATTGCGATATGATGACGTCATTATGCCAATTTGATGACGTCACCATCAAATTTTCGTTTATTTGTTCAGAGATATTGTACTTGAGCTTCTCTCTAACTCCTCCTCCATTTGGAACTCGAATGGGAACTTTATTATGACGTCACCATCTTAAGAAAATGACGTCATCTTGAACTTTTTCGTAGGATCTCCTTATGAAGCAAATTTGAGCCAAAAAATTTATAATGACGTCATTCTAGGACTGTTTTCATGACATCATTCAAAAAACTGTTTTCATGACGTCATTAAAAAACTTTTTTCATGACGTCATTGAGAAAACTTTTTTTATGACGTCATTACGTTCCTTCACAAAACATCCTTATCATTTTCCACATTTCCAGTTACATTTTTCATTTTTCTCAACCCTCTCCTTTCCACACACTCTCTCTACAGTCTTCAATTTATGACGTCATCTTCTCGCCTCTGATGACGTCATCATAATTTTTCATCAGCTTCGGTAATGATATAACACATCAAAACACCTTTTCTTCCTTTCCGAATCATTTTTTTGATCCGTGAGAATCTAGATTCTCATTTTCCCATCTGACGTTTACATCACAGTTTTGATGACGTCACTTCTCTTGAAGACGTCAAGTTGATCTTTCTGTTTCTGTCATGATCTTTCAACTCAACTTTCTCAAAATTTTTTTCACCATTTCTCCGGAAATTTTCAAAAATGACGTCATCATTTTCCTCCAGATCGTTTTTAAGCTTCAAACTGAGTTCAAAAAAAAAATTTTTACTTTTCTCTTCGTAATTCGAACCCCAATAGTCAGGCTACATTTGGAATGGCTCAAATATGTTGATTTAAGACGCGCCCGACCTGAAACGGCTTACGCGCTGGTGTATTAGAAAGCAAAAGAGCGAACCATTTTCGCTACAAGTTTGCCAAGATTTGAGCCATTCCAAGTGCGACCAGAAATTCTCAATTTGAAGAAAGATGACGTCATTTTTTTAAATCATTTTCAGTGTCATTATAACAATCAAAAGTGACGTCATAAAATTTGAAAAATATTTTGATTATTTCACACTGTACTAGAGTATCATGGCAATGGTGAACCTTGATTTTATAACGTATTTTTGGATTCTAATGACGCCATTTTTAATATTATGAATGACGTCACGAACTTGATATTTTTCCTGCACTCGGGGATCATGTCGAAAGTGATCTCGAACTTTTTTTTGTCCAAAATCCAATTTTTCAACCCATAGATCATTTTTTTTCTCATAGTTTCGTGACAATTAAATCGAAAGGTGATGTCATTCGCACCTGGGCTCCAAAAAAATCTCCAAATCGAGTTTAATTATCGGGTTGAGTCAGTGGAAAAAAAAAATGTTCTAAAAACTTTTTAAGTGGGCGTTTTTTTCATATAGACAGATGACATTTGAACTTACTCAAAATGTCAGAAAATTACAGATAATTGTAGATTTCAAAACAAAAATTGTTTTCCTAAAGGCAATTCATTTCACAGAGTAGTTTGAACTGAAGAAAAATGAATACTGAAATTTTTAAAGTGAAAAATGGGCAAAAATCGATTAATATTAATGGCAAAAAAAGTCTCGCTGTTGAGCGGACTCGAACCCTTGACCTCTCGAGTAGCGTTCCAAGCACTTCTTACCATCCTCTAGCTTCAATTAATTTAATTGTAAAGTGGAAAACATCTTATATGGACAAAAATGAAGTAAATACGATAATGGCAAAAAATCTATAACGCGAGGAGGAGTCGATCTCGCGACCCTTTGATTTTCAGCTTAGGTCCCTACCAGCTGAGCTAACGACCATTCATTTTTTTTTCAATCCACCTTTTTGAATAAAAAATACCTCTGAAACCGTAAATCGTTTTTTTTTTCATCTTGATGCTCAAAAAACCTCTCCAAAACTCGATCCCTCGACCCATCCCACCTCAGTTCCACTCTTAACCATCTGAGCCGCCTTTTTACTCTTATTTTTTCAATTTCTATCAATGATTTTTCTACAGACCGACTACAGCGGATAGCACGGCTACAGTACCCCTCAGAAGCGATTTTCTACCGTAATCTACGTTCAGACGACGACGAGGAAGACAAGTGAGTCACGATGGGTTACGGTGGTCGCATTTGGAATGGCTCAGCTGCAGTTTGAAGTTGCACCCGACCCAAAACGACTTGCGCCCAAAGTGTTGAGAATCTTAAGAACTTGAACTCAACCGCAACGCGACCGCGACGCACTTGAGCCATTCCAAAAAAAGAAAAACTCACGTCATGTCTACGAAATCTTCTCATTGAAATCAGCTGACTTTTATTTATGTACACTATACTAAAATTAAAATTTATGGCTAGCCCAGGCCAATTATTTCAAATTGGATTCGAAATCCAGACGAAATTCGTATTAGCCTGCTCGGCAGGAAAAACGTCATGGAAAAGGAAAAAAAAACAGAAAATTTTGAAAACCAACAAATTTTTATCAAAGTTGACCATGCAAAATCGCTTCCCAAAAAACTTGATATTCAAATTTTCATCTTTTCTTTCGGATTTTCTGGTCTCTGATTGCTTCAAGTCATATTCAATAGTAAAAAAGTATATATAAAGTGATTAAATAATTGCTAACATGAGCAATAACTTACAAAACATTCCTGCAATTTTCTACCACTTCCTAATGATATAAAGTGATTGATAAAATGCTAACATGAGCAATAGTTTGCAATAAATGTGAAAGGGTTTTTTTCTTGATTTTTTTGAAGTTGATTTTTCTTGAAAAAAATGGCCTTTTTTTCTTTTTTTGCTTAAAAATAAAGATCTTGCGTCTTGAAAGTATTCTCACATACTTTTTAGAAGATAATAGCCCTCTTTGAAAAAAACACAAAAAGAATAACAAGCCCCACGCATTTCCGTAGTTGTTATGTTTGAAAAGGGACAAAAAAATTATCCAAAAAAACTTTTTCGAACATTTTTTGAGAAAAAAATCATAGATATTGAAAAATTGAAAAACTGATTATAAAATTTGTCAAAAAAATGGTTTTTTTCTAGAAAATTTTGACGAAAAATCAAGAATTTTGATCATTTTCTCTGAATTTTTTTCTTGATCCGTGACATTTTTTTGAATTTTTTTATGGCAAAAATATTGAAAAATAATTCAATTTTTATATTATTTTTTTGTCACAGATAATCATTCAATTTTATTTTCTCGAAAAATTAAAAATTATCCTCTTGATAACTAATTATTGCTCATGTTAGTCGGTTTGCAACTTTTTAAAAAGGATTAAAAAGTCGGGAATTCATGTGGGAAAAAATAAGTGAAAAAAATAAATTATGTATTGCTCATATTATCTGCAAACTGCTCACTCTACTAAAAAAAGGCAAATTTTGTCGTTGTCCAAAAAGAAAACTTTCTCGCCATTTTCTTGAAAGATACAAATCGATAATTATTGCTCATATTAGCTTTCCCATAGCTCATGATACCGGAATATTTCAAAAAACTGGGTCATTATTGCTCATATTATCTGTGAACTGCTCACCAAAAAAAGCCAAAAAAAGCAAATTTTACCATTCAAAAAAACTTTTCGCCGTTTTTAACCTTAAAATCGATAATTATTGCTCATATTACCAAAAATCTTCCCATAAGCTATGTCATTATTGCTCATATTATCTGTAAACAGCTCACTCTTTCAAAAAATTACAAAATTTGCAACGTCTACAAAAAAAAACTTTACGAACTTTCTTAAGACACGAATCGATAATTATTGCTCATGATAGCTTTCATGTTGCTCATAGTACCGCAATCATTGCTCATATTAGCTGCAAACAGCAAAGAAGCCAAAAAGGCGATTTTGCAGCGAAAAACGAAACTTCCGCAATATTTCCGAAATAGTTTCCAAATCCATATTTCATGAAGCCAAAGCTAACTGAACTAAACTAAAAAACGGGGGGAATTTTTGGGAGCGGGGGCGCCAATTTTTTTCCACATGTCCGAGTTCTCTTCTGACACGCGCCCACTCAGAATTCTCCATTCTTTTTTCTTTTCATCTCATTGTTTTCTGAGACTCGAATGTGATCCAAACTCCATTATTCACAATATTTGTCCGGATTCTGCTAAATATATTCCGATGTAGTAGGCATAAAGTAGTGAAGAAAATGACGTTGAAACAAAGTTAGGAGCGCCAGAGTGGTCCCTATAGGGGTTAGGGGAATAAAAAACCATCTAGGGGTCCGAAAAGGGGCCTTTTTAGGGGTAAAATTCAGGTGGTCCCTATAGAGGTTCAGAGTCTGAATCATGAAGCTGAAGTGGCCCCTATAGGGGTTTGGGGAATAAAAAACCTCCAGGGGCAGAAAAGTGCTCCCCATAGGGGTAAAATTTAAGCGGTCCCTATAGGGGCTAGGGGAAGAAAAAGAAACCCTCCCGGCCACGAAAAAGTGCTCCCTATAGGGGTGAAATTTGAGGGGTTCCTTTAGGGTTAGGGGTAGAAAAAAAAACCATCTAGGGGACAGAAAAGTGGCCTTTATAGGGGTAAAATGGAGGTGTTCTCTACAGGGTTAGGGAAGAAAAAGAAACCCTCCCCAAAAAAAAGAGCTCCCTATAGGGGTAAATCTAAGTGGTCCCTATAGAGGTTCAGAGTCTGAATCATGAAGCTGAAGTGGTCCCTATAGGGGTAGGGGAAGAAAAACAAACCCTCCCGATCACAAAAAAGAGCTCCCTATAGGGGTTAAATTGAGGTGGTCCCTATAGAGGTTCAGGGTCTGACTCATGAAGCTGAAGTGGCCCCTATAGGGGTCTCTTCATATTTTTTTTCTCAGATTTGAGAATTACAAAATAGTGACCCCCACAGTGAGGCATGGAAGGTAAAGTAGTCCCTAGAGGGAAATCTTCAAACTCCCCTAATATTGCCACTAGAGGGGCCACTCTGGCGTTCCTAAGAAAAATGCAAAAGATCAATTTTTGATAAAAAGTGGTCCCGACACGATTAGCAAGACAGCGTAGGAACATCAGAGATATTAGAAAAAAAAACTTTTCTCGAAAAATAATTCAAATTTGCCCCACTAGAGCCTTTCAGAATTTGAATATCAAATCATTGCTCAAGCTCCGCCCCTAGTGACGCAATAAACCAATCAGAGAGCGAGCCGTTTTTAACAAATGACGTCATTCTAATTGACGTTCGAAATCTGAACAGACTATATTTTTTTCTGAGACAAAATACGAACCAGATGGAAATTTGAGCTGAAGAAAAATGAAAAATGATTATTTTTTGCCTTGTCTTCGAAATCTTATCAAAAAAGTATAATCTTGGAACTCTCGGAATGTTTTTCTTTCAAAATTCCTGAGACGTTTCTCAAATCCCTCGAGGGACCACTTCATTCATCTCTATGATGTCATAAAATCGAGGTGCCTCCGTTCTTTTTTACTTTTTTCTGATCTTTCCAAAAGATATTCGAAGTCCCCTGGCATTTCCTCAGCCTCAATTATACTAGATAATTGCCCGGGCCGTTTTTAAAGGTCAATAAAAAGTTCAAATTGGAAATTACGTTGAAATTGAGCTTTCGTTTCGAATTATTCATCAAAAGCTGCAAAAAGAAAGAAAAAAATTGACTTTTTGAGCAAAAAGGTCCCGACACGATTAGCAAGACCGTGTGAAAATGGAAAGAAACATTTTTTTAAAAAAATTGGCTGAAAGTATTTTGGAATCGCCATTTTTTTAAAGTGATATAATCTATTATAATTTTTTTAAGCAAACTTTATATTTTTTTATTAAAAAAATTCAGTGATCCTTTAATTGACCTGAAAAAGCCAAAAAAAGCTCATTGAAAACCACAAAAAAATCAACTAAAAAAATCAAAAAAATCGTACTTTTAAAATTACGATTCTCATTGGAAAGATTCTTAAACCAGATAAAAAATGTAGAAAAACGAGGTTTTTAAGGTAGTAAAGTCGAAAAAAAGAAAACGTCCACTTTTTAAAGAAAATTTCGTTACTATAAATTTCCCTAAAGCTTAAACTTATTTTTAAAAAACGATTTGAACTTGGGAAAAATCAAAAAATTCGAAATTTAAAGAAAATGGCCGCTCGAGGGCTTCAAAACTACTAGAAAAAAAAAACAATATTTCTATTTTTAGTATACAAAATTTCCTTACAAAGCTTGTATGAATGTTAAAAAAAATCAAAAAAATAATCAAGGCTGGGAAAAAATCATAAAATAATCAAAAAATCAAATCACTCAGAAAACTAAAGATCCGCACTTTGCAGACACGAAAAGCCGCGACCGCTTCGATTCGGGTAGAACAACTCCAGAAAGACGACAACACCAACAAGACAACCCAAAGAAATGTGCTCAATTTTTTGTCCAATCGATAAATCGATAAACACCGTAAGAGAGATCACATTCATTGTCCGGAACCGAGTTGAAACGCGAGGAAAAAAAGATCACAAAAATAATAAATAAATCAAATAAATCATCAATTACCACAATCAATGATTGAACAAATTCACAAAAAACAAATGAGTTGACGAGATGCAAATAATCTGATTTTGGTTGTGGTTGGGAGGAATATTTCTTTTCAAATTCGGAAAATTAAGCAACAGTTGTCGTGTTTCCACTGGTCGTTGGAACTTGGCCGTCTTCTTCAATTTTGGTGGCCTGGAAAGCAAAAAAAAATTTGGAGAGTTTGTATTGGACTCGGATTTTTAATATCACGTCATTTCTATTATTGATCGTAGCATTCTAGATTTTTTAAAAAAACCTAACAATCGAATCAAGTTCAACGATTAAAAGCTTGATGAAAAGAGACAATTTGATTTTTAAAAAATGAAAATGTCCGAAAAATTTATTACTCTAGTGTCCACTTAAAAATTGTGTTTATTGAGAGTGAAAAAAAGTTCTTATTTTATTTATGAAAACCACATGTTACTGAAATTAACCTTTGCGTATTTGGGAAAAAGTCCTAGTGGCCACTTAACAGGTACCTCAAGGGCTACTTGGAGAGGTCTCTAAAGGGGCTACTGAAACCACCTCCGCTTCTGTTTAACGTCTTAGTGGCCGCTATAGTAGTTTAGGATGTCAGGTAGTACCACTTAGACTCCTGAAGAGGCCACTCAATTCTAGTCACTTAACTGGTCACTAAGACGCGGAATAGTGGCTTCAGTGGTCACTCAAGTGTCCTCTTCGAGCAGCCCTTGAGAGATCACTTAAGGGATCTAGATTTCTGCCCAGATTTTCATAGACCCAAATGAGCTTCTAAAAAATGGCTCGAAGTTCAAAAAAAAATTTGAAGAGTTTATGAATAAAAATCCCGAAAATATTCCAAAACCAGACTTGTTCGAAACCGATATTTCATCATTTAAAAATTTAAAATCACTCAATTTTTGTTTATTTTTTAACTTTTGATCAATCCTAACCTCAGCATCTTTCTACACTTGTGAGGGCCACAATCGCCATTTACACTAAGAATAACTGCCGAGATAAACGCGAGACACTGGCAGTACATTGACGAGCTCGCAAACATCTCGCTTTTTTTTCTCGCGCCGGTCTCGCATTTTTCTGGGCGCGAGCTCGCATTTCTCTCGCAATTTGAAAATTTCCGAAATGCAAGATAAATGCGAGATGGCGCCGAGAAAAATGCGAGGTCGCGCCGAGAGAAATGCGGGATCGCGCCTAGAAAAAAGCGGCATTTTTGCGAGTCAGTCAATGTACCGCCACCGAGCTCGCGTTTATCTCGTCAGTTATTCTTAGTGTATTTAATTCAAGCTTTATTTTCAATTTATTTTCATTTTTTAACCGTTTCTGTGTATGTTATACTGTCTGCCTGTAAATGAACATTATTATTATAAATACCAACATGATGGGAAGCTTGGGGCTCGGGCGGAGCCTCGGAAATCTTGGCGAACATGCTCTTGAACCGTTTTCTGTCCTTTTCGTTCTCCTCGCGGATCTTGTTTTTGCAGACCAGAATCTGTTGAGCGGCCGCCTAAAAATCATCATTTTTTCTGGATTTTTCTCCCGGAAACCTTATTATCGGGCTCGATTTCGACAATCTTCTCATAAATCTTCTGGGCGTCGGCGAATTCGGTCATTGTGAGGATGGCGGTCGCCTTGCGGTAGAGGGCCTTCACACTCTTCGCATCAACTTCCAGAGCCTTGAAAATTACTTTTTTTTTTCTTTAAAATGCGGACAGACGGACCTTGTCGCAGTACTTGATGCAGTCGAGCTGTTCGTTCAATTTCGAGGCGGTCAAGCTCAAGTTCAAATAGGCGCTCAGCAGCAGGGCGTCACGGTTCTGAAAAACGTTATTTCAAAAATTCTCAAATAAAAACTGAAGAATAAAGCCAAAATTCCAAAAAAACGTGCAGAAACATCAGTTAAACCATATCAAACGACTAAAAACGCTTTTTAAAATAAAACTAATTTTTCAAACATCTTGTAAACTGATTAGAACTTCCAAACATGTGAAAAATATAATTCAGCTGAAAAATCGTAAAATAATTTCAAATCTGTGTGAATGGTCGTTTAAGGTTTGAACTTTCTCAAAATTTACATGAAAAGAACCATTTGCATTATTTTTTTTGAGCAGTTAAAATTCTTAAATGATGAGAAAATTTTATGAAAACTCTCAAGAAGCTAATATTTTCTAGGAATATCCAGAAAAAGGTGAAAATTCGGCATGAAACGGTAAAAATTCAATATTTCAATGCTTGTTTTTGTTTTTTCTTTGTTTAACACTTTCTACGTAAAATAAGTATAAAAATTCCAATATTTTTTGAATTTATAAATTTTTTCCAGGTTATTAAAGAGTAAATCTACGTTGACTCCTAATTGAGAAAATCATAAAATATTTTAAAAAAATCGTAAAACCGGCAAAGAAAATCGTTATAACAAGCCAAGAAAAATAGGGAAAGTTCTATGTTAATCTTTTTTGATTTTAAATGAAAGAAAAAAACGAGGAAAAGGTTTTAAATGATCTGAAAACGCTTAAATAAGGTGAGAAAAGCCACGAATGAATAAAATATCGAAACAAAACAGTAGAATCTATCGTTACGACCTGTTCAATGTAACTTGCTCAAAAATTATAAAAATTGGCAGTCCCAAAAATTTTGGCAAGAGTTCCATACCGTGTTCAAAGAAACTAGCGCAATATTTTAGCTGAAAATTACGTCTGACCCTCCAAAATTTAGTGATATTTTCCACTCTCCTTTGCGGAATCACTTCGAACATTTTCAACTCCCCACACCTTTTTCTCCTCCTCATCAAGATTCTTCTCGTACTCCAGGATGTCCTCGACGCGCTTGTACTTGTTCCAAGCGAGGCGCAGTTTTCCCTGTTGGAGGAACTCGGTTCCGCGCTCCTTGGCCGCCTTGGCCGACGTCATCTTCTCCTCCGTGGACATCTCCCAGGTCGAGGGGACTTTCTCGAAATCTTTCAGGAAGATGGTGAATTCCAGAGGGGCGTTGGGCGGAAGGCCGTATTCTTCGGGTGCCGTCGTTCCGTAGGTGAATCTCGTGCCTTTCAGTTCGATTTTTGATTTTTCGCCCTTGCAGAAACGGCGAAGGGCACGGTCGATTCCTTCAGGGAGACCGGCCTGAAAGTTGGAAAGTTATCACCAAAAATCAATAATTTTTAGAACCATCTACTACTTGAAAAAATGGCAAAGAGGCTCTTTTTTTGTTTCTGAATTTGCAAAAAAAAGAAAGTGCGCGATCCGGAGAAAATGACGTCATTCTACGTCACAAATTGCACTGAGTATTCAACGTTAATAACTTGTTTATTCGATCGCCTTTGGCTGCGTACTTGAGGTTTAAATTTTCGCGCCCAAATTTTTTTGACGTCTCCCCACCCCGTTTGGGAAACGCCGTGTTGAAATAAAGATGACAGAAAATATTTTACTTTCTAAATTCTTTTTTGTTTCCAGAAAAAGCTATTCCTTATTCTGATACTTCTCTTGAAACTCTCAAAACTTCAAATCCTTCATCCAAAAATTTCCATATTTTTTTCAGTTCTTCCCTTCCTGAATTTGAGGAATGTTTACTACTACAAAAAAATCAAAAAAACATGAATGATCTATAAATTTAAATGTTCAAAACTTTTCCTCAAAAAAATTATCAACTTTTTCTTTTTTTGAAAATTAAAAAAATTCCAACACCCACACTCCCAGACGGAAACATTCTCAAAAAAACATTAAATATTTCATGAAAAACTTTTGATCGCCTAGATTTTTTTGAGAAATCGTTTTTGAAAAATCAGGAAAGAGACTTCTTTTGGGTAAAATTGAGGGAAATGCTCGAAAATAACGGAAAAAGTGAAAAATTTTTTTGAGAAAAACTTCAAAGATGTAATGAAAAATGAACTACGGCTGGAGAAAAAAACAAACTCAATTTACATTTTCATGTTTTTTTTTTCTTTCTAATTCTTAAAATCCCGCTTCTTATTCACCTCCGAAGCCTCGCCAATCGCAAAAACGACTTCTTTATTGTAAAATTCCCTTCCTTCATGGGATCCAACGACATGAGCTGAAAATTAACATTTTTTGAAGATTATTTCATTTATTTTATAACCAGTGACTGTGCTGGTATCATTAGGAATCAGCGATTTGGATCCTTCAACAATAATTGTCCGCAGAATGGAACTGTCACGGTCGGGAGACAAATCTTCCGCTTCCCAATCGAGAAGTTCAACCTAAAAAAAAGTTCTTATTGTAACTTTTTAAAGATATTTTTAACAATTTAACGGAAAACTGAAATCTCAAAAAATAAATTTAGAATGAAAATCAAGAAAATTGCAAAATAACTACGGAAATGCTACTTAAAACCCCTCAAAATAATCGAAAAGCGCATTTTTTAAAATAGTATTTTGCTGAATTTTACAGCCTTCACACAAAACAGACAAGAAAAAGAAGATCATCAGCTCAATAGCCACCTCGAAAATCAAAGTGGCCCCTCCAGGGATCTTTGGCGGACTGCCAGCGTCGCCATAACCATAATCCGACCGAATCGTGAAAACGGCCTTTTCTCCCTTGGTCATCGTCGCAACACCAACATCCCAACCTTTGATCACCTTGAAATTATCATTTTAGACGTTTTATAATCTAATTTTCCTTTTCACCTGCGATCTTCCGAGCAAAAAGTCGAACGGAGTGCTGCGATCAAGACTAGAATCGAATTTATCACCATTTTCCAGGGTTCCAGTGTAGTGGACCTAAAAAAGGTAATTTCCTTAAAAATTCGCACTTTGGTCCCGAGACCTTGACAGTCGTTCCATTGGATGGCTTGGCGATGCCAACTCCTTCCTTCAAAATCTTTTTCAGAACACCTCCATCGCTCTTTGGCGTGATGTCAACTGCCTCCGAGGCCATCTTTTTTTGCTGAAAACCAAAGATAGAAAAGCTGAAAACTTAAAAACACGAAAAACTTGCGCCAGTGTATAACCGAGAAAGGGAATACTGTTTTCTAATGAGAGCAGTTATTAGAAGCTTTCATCTGAGCTGCGGAAACTGAAAAGTCGCGCGTTCATCGGAAAAAAAAACGAAAATTGCTTCGAAACGCAAAAAATTACTCCAAATCAAAAATTAGTATCGTTTTGGAGCGCCGATGAACACGATTCTTCGTCTTGAAGCATGTTCCGTTTCTCCGATAGACAAGACACAATGATCAAAACGAAAAAAAACTTGAAATGAAAAGAAATTAGGACAAATGAGGAAAGAAATGTGGACGTTCCAAATTCAAATTTCGAGAAAATTCTGACCTGTCGTCTTGTTTGGTGTCTTCCCCGCAAACACATAGCCATTGTCTACAGTAATTTATAGTCCAAAATTCGACCCGCGTCTTTCTTTTTCAAATTCTGTTATCGTTTTTCTTTCATTCTATCATTTTTCTTTGATTTTCACGTATCACCTAGGTGTTGCAGAACGATGAATGAACCGCCGAACATCGCGGCGGAGTTGGAAAGTCTTGGGTTTGGCGTGCCGGGACCATCGAAAATCAAGCAAGCCTTGTCGAAAACGCGAAAAATCAACACCCTCATCAATGCCATCGAGAAATTTCAGAAGGAAAATGAAATTCAGGTACCTTATAGTTATCTTGTGTTATTCCTAACTTTTTGAAGATGGACCAACTCCGACCGGCGCTGCAATTGTTGGATTTGCACAAAATACCGCGATTAGAGTTTCATGAATTGGTTGGAATTGGCCTCTTATTGAATCAAAAATTGATTTATCCAATTTTCAGGCAGTCAATGAGTTGACAGAGAAGATAAAAGGGCGGATAGGGTTTCTAGGAGATAATCCGAGTGAAGAAAATACGAAAAAACTGGAAGCTCTTCTGGATAAGTCGTTCTATACGAATAAACTTCCTCCGTTTCGTCCGATCGTTCTGGAACTGTTGAAAAAAACGTCCCCAAGCTTCCGGAGAAGTTTGTGATTTTTTCTTTCTTCTTTAAGGACTTTTTTTTTCGAAATTTTCATGGTTTACTTCATTTTCGATAGTTTTTTTTAAGGATTTCACAGTTCAAATCCATTTTTAGACTTTTCCTGCACTTTCAAAAGATTTTTTGGACGCGGTTCAAGATTTCTTCAGTTTTAAAGTCAAATTCCTCAAAATATCTTATCCTTAACTACTTTTTCGGGCGATTTTGGCTTCTTTTTGTACAAAATCCGTTCAGGGCAGAATTTTTCAAAGGCACAGAGAGGGAATTTCGCTTCAGGAATTTTTAATGTTAATGATTTCGCAAAAAAATTTTTTTCTAAAGGAAACATTTATTTTCAGTCAAATTTTTTTGTTTCAAGAAATCACGAATTTGAAAAAAGAACTCCAATAAAAGGAATATTTAAAGGTACCTGGAAATAATCAAAAACGACCCGTTATTATACGAAGACTGTGCTGTGAGTGTGAAACAGCAAATTTGGCCCGGAAGTCCCGAATTATTCGTCTCAGCGGTTCAACCGGTCATTGACGACTATCTGAGGTTTCAAAATTTAAAAAAAAGTAGAAAATTTTTTTCCAGAAAAAAGCATGCGTTGATTTGTGCTGTGGAGCAGTCGAGGACTAATTTTTTCACTTTTGAAACGACGAAAGCCAGGAGAACTTGGCCTCAGTTGCACGGTAGTTTCATATTTTCGATGTAATAAGAAGCTTTAAAAATTAAAAAGTTATATTATTTGAAAAAAATAGGCTAAAAAAATTGAATTGAATCAAAAAAATTGTCTGTAGAAGAGTTGTCCATGAGAAAAAAATTTAAAAAAAGGAGAAATTTGAATTTTTTTCGTATCTTTTTTTCTACTTTTTTTCTTTTGAATAAGGTTTGAAGGAGTAAATTTCAATCATTTCTCGGAAGATTTCTTGAATTTTTTTCGCATTTTTTTATAACTATTTCAGAACTATTTTTCTGCTTTTTATTAAACTGTGAATATTCAATTTTATTTCGAACTTTCATAAAATCACCTATTTTTTTCTGATTATTTCTTCACTAATGATTTTTATTAAATAAATTCTCATTATTTTCCAGAGATTGTCCGAATGATCGGGAAGCGTGAGGATATCTACGACATGTTCTTGAATTTAATCCGGAAACAGTATACCGATTCTCAAGACGTGCATCTGTGTTCTTTGAGGTTTTTTTAATGAAGAAAAAAATAATCTTTAAGAGCTTTTATATAGTTCCAAATTGGGTTTCAAGAACTTTTTGAGGAGATTTGGCAGTTTGAAGTACTGAAAAATCTGCTTTAAAAAAACATTTTCTACAATAATCCATTTTTTTAATGTATCCGAGTGCATTATCAATTCATATTTCAACTTTGAAATTTAGGAAAACATTAATTTACACTCATATTTTAATAATTAGCTGAGGTTGTGAATGTGTGAAAAAAAGTTCAAAAAAATTAAAAATTTTTTTCTAATCTTCCAGTAATAAAGATCGTAGAAAAAAATTCCTTCAAAAAAATCCATTAAAAAAATTTTAAAAATTTCAGAATGGAAGTCCTCATGCTGGCTCATGATAACAATGCAGAAAAGTTGATGAAAGCAGGTGAAAATTTTCTTTCATAATTCATTTTTTTTTTAAATTTAACCATAAAAAAACAGTTTTTTAAGACAAATGCCACGATTTCGCGTGGTGTCTGGACGCTTGTGTGAGAGACAAGCATTTGGAAACGCAACAGGCTGCGAAATTGAAGAATATCCTGGATACTATCAAGGAGACGGACATTGACGTGGGTTTTTTGTAGAGTTTGAAATTGGTAGGGGTGTATTTTCGAAATTGAAGCTCGGCAATCCCAAGTTTTTTGAGTACAAAACTGGCAGTCCCAAAATTTTAGAAGTTAAAATTGGCAGTCCCAATTTTTTCAAGTTTAAAATTGGCAGTCCCAAATATTTTGACGTTAAAATTGGCAGTCCCAACATTTTTTCAGTGAAAAATGGCAGTCCCAAGTTTTCGAAATGAAAATTTGGCAGGCCCAAAATTTCTGTTCGAAATTGGCAGTCCCAAAATTTTCGAGTTTAAACCTGGCTGTCCCAAATTTGTCGAGCTTGAAATTGGCAGTCCCAAATTTTTTTTGTTCGAAATCGGCAGTCCCAAGTTTTCGAAATTAAAATTAGCAGTCCCAAAATTTTTAAGCTTAAAATTGGCAGTCCCAAAATTTTCAAGCTTAAATTTGGCAGTCCCAAATTTTCGAAATTGAAATTTGACAGTCCCAAAATTTTCAAGCTTAAAACTGGCAGTCCCAAATTTTCGAAATTAAAATTTGGCAGTCCCAAAATTTTCAAGCTTAAAATTGGCAGTCCCAAAATTTTTCAGCATAAATTTGGCAGTCCCAAAATTTTCGAGCTTAAAATTGGCAGTCCTAGAATTTTTGAGTAAAAATTGGCAGTCCCAAATTTTCAACGTTAAATTTTGGCAGTCCCAAATTTTTCAAGCTTAAAATTGGCAGTACCAAAATTTTTGAGCATAAAAATTGGCAGTCCCAAATTTTTCGAATCTGAAATTTGGCAGTCCCAAAATTTTTGAGCTTAAATTTGGCAGTCCCAAAATTTTTGAGCTTAAATTTGGCAGTCCCAAAATTTTTGAGCTTAAATTTGGCAGTCGCAAAATTTTTGAGTAAAAATTGGCAGTCCCAAAATTTTTGAGGTGAAAATTGGCAGTCCCAAATTTTTCAAGCTTAAAATTGGCAGTACCAAAATTTTTGAGCTTAAATTTGGCAGTCGCAAAATTTTTGAGTAAAAAATTGGCAGTCCCAAAATTTTTGAGCTTAAATTTGGCAGTCCCAAAATTTTTGAGCATAAAAATTGGCAGTCCCAAATTTTTCGAATCTGAAATTTGGCAGTCCCAAATTTTTCGAATCTGAAATTTGGCAGTCCCAAAATTTTTGAGCTTAAATTTGGCAGTCCCAAAATTTTTGAGCTTAAATTTGGCAGTCCCAAAATTTTTGAGCTTAAATTTGGCAGTCGCAAAATTTTTGAGTAAAAATTGGCAGTGTCAAAATTTTTGAGGTGAAAATTGGCAGTCCCAAATTTTTCAAGCTTAAAATTGGCAGTACCAAAATTTTTGAGCATAAAAATTGGCAGTCCCAAATTTTTTTCGAATCTGAAATTTGGCAGTCCCAAAATTTTTTTGAGCTTAAATTTGGCAGTCCCAAAATTTTTGAGCTTAAATTTGGCAGTCCCAAAATTTTTGAGCTTAAATTTGGCAGTCGCAAAATTTTTGAGTAAAAAAATTGGCAGTCCCAAAATTTTTTTGAGGTGAAAATTGGCAGTCCCAAAATTTTCAATGCCCAAGATGACATTTTTTTGAAAAAAAGCAGTAGATTTTTTTGATCATTTTTTTGGTTCAAATTGCCCAATTCACTTGATAATTTGTCAATTTCTTGTTTTTTTACATAATGTAATTTCGTATTAGACTTTGATGCAACTTGGAAATTGAAAAAAATCGAATATTTTTCTTGAAAAAAATTGGTTCAAACACATGCTTGAATATTTTCCGCTATTTTTTTTCATAAGAATAATATTATGTGATTTGGAAAAAGATGCTTTAAAAATATTCACTTTTCAAATTTTTAGCATTTGAACTTATTACCAAAAATCCACGTATAAAAAAACATAAAAAAAGATAGAAAAATTTTTTTAAAATTAGGAATTTAAAATCTCACACAATAATTCAGAATACCAAACGTTTTTTTTTCCTTTTTTCGTGTTTTTCTCATCCTTTTTCTCAATTTTCAGCACGTAGTCGACATGGCGATGATTTCCAACGACGTCCACGTTGTTCATTTTCTTTCGACAACACTTTTGAAAAAATTGAAAGATAACGTAGGACATCAAAAACAGAATAAAACGCAAAAAAAAAAAAATTAAAATTACAGGCCGGAGCCCATTTGCCGAGAGAAATGCCCTCGGTTCAGCTGATAATTCGGATTCTGGCCCTTGGAACCAATGTCAAGGTTGGTTTTTTTTTAAAGATAACAAATTTTTCAAGGGCTTGTTTGATTTGAAATCTTCCAGATTATCTGCAAGACCCGGGAAATTCCAACGGAAATGGTCGATTCGATCGTTTTCACCAAGTTTCTGTCGTCTTTCGCATATATGATCGTTGAGGACAATATACGTAGTGAACTGTTGCGATTGGATACAGGTAATTGATTTAAAAAAAATCGTTCTGTAAGGCCAAAATGTCAAGATTATTGGATGGATTTTTCCGTTTTACCTTAGTTTATCATTTTGCAAAAAAATCTAAAAAAGTAGGTAGACCGAAATTAATAATGTGAAATTTTTTTTGAAAAAAACTTTGAAATTTGAATGATTAGTTTCACCTAGAGAACTTCCGAAAATTTTCTTGTTTTACTCATTTCTGAGGGAGGAGCCTTAAATGTTTCGAGCTTGAAGTTGGTGATGGTAATTTTTTAAAGCTTAAAATTTTTCAAATAATATCGGCGATCCAAAATTTTCCGAGCTCAAAATTGGCAGTCCCAAATTTTCCTACGACCCCCAATTTTCAGCTCGAAAAAATTTGGTTCTGCCAATTTTGAATTTTAAAATTTTACCACTGCCAATTTCAAGACGCTTTCTCTGTAACTCTTCAGAGCAATGGAAACACGAAAAACTTTTTTTTTGTAATGTGACTAAAATTCACTCACTAGTATCAGTGTTATCATATGACGTCAGGATCCCGAAAATTATTCTTTGATCCATTTCCTCTTACCGCCGCAGGGTTACTTTTGAAACTTTGAAAGTTTTATTCAGTCTTCAGAGAAGGTTTCTCTGCTGAATCATGGAATCATTGAAGAGCTGTTTGTCGGTTCGCGAAACTGTCGTTGATCAAGAGTAGAGGGCGCGTAGAGCATCTCGCTCTTCTTGTGAAAGTAGTAGACGGTTTTCGAACGTTTCCGACGATCACTGCTTCTCCATGTAGGAACGGTACGGCGCCCAGCTTGTCCAGGGCTGGCGGGCGTCGGATTAAATCTCAGGAGAGAGCGGAAATGAAGACCGACCACTCGGAAGGTAGAAATGAGATAAAACCCGACTACCGTAGCCCGACTACCGCAGGGTTACGGTAGTCGGGTTTTCACCTGCGTATCCAAGAATTGACGGCGTTTTTCTTTAGCTTTAGCGGAAAAGGGCTGACCAGAATGACCAAAAACTAACTTTCAAACAAAAAAAAGTACTGTATCTTGAAAATTTTACAGTAACCCAAGTTGTTATGCACCGAAAAGGCTCTTAAAATGACATTGTCTATCGATTGATATACGGTAAGAGAAATTGGCTCAATGATTCGTGTGTGCAATCCTGACGTCGTATGATATTATTGGGGAAAAAAAATCCAAAAAAATATTTCTTTGAGTTTTCATTGCTCTTGAAATTTGAAAAATGGTATTTTTCACCAAATAAAAGTTGATTCTTGGAGCTTTTTCAGTTGAAACAGAGGATTTCCACATGGAGAAGCTGATCCAAGGGCCGAGCTCTACTGTTCAGACCTTTTTGAGGGTTTGTCCTTTTTTTTTTTGGAAGTTTCTATATTCGGTACAGGAAAAGATGTATCATTTATAATGATTCTTTGTATTTTTTGAATTGCAAGAATGTTTAAGAACCACGCCGTGGCTGCCCTGCTCTGGTTTCACTACTGCCTCGAAATGCTACCTTCGAAAACTAAAACTGGCGATGTTAAAGGTATTTTTATCGTCCTTTTCATGAAAAAAAAATATTTTCAGGTTTTATGCGGTATGCCGGGTACTTGCCCAATCTTTACGGGAAGGTTAGTGAAATTTGAAAAAAAAAATTTTTTTTTTTTGGTTTTTTTCCAGGAATCTTTAGAATAAAAAAATAGTGAAAAAAATCTATGTTCTTTTTACTTTTTTTGAGGCTTAGAAAAAAAGAATATATAAATATCTAGATTTTTATCCCTTCTTGACACTTTTCCTCAAAGTTGAAAATTGAAAAATACGCTTTAAAATCGATTTTCGGCTCAGAAATGTCAAAAAAAGTGTATTTTTTTAATTATACCAATATTTTTTTCATTTCAGATTGCTTCCCATGGAGTTTGGTGTCATTTATTGATCCATCGATTGATTTATTCCCATCAATTTGATCCGATTTTATCGATTGACGTCAGGTTTCATCAACTAATGCTCGACGAAGTTCTGTTGGGCAATATTGAGGTGGTTTTTGAGCTCTTGTGGAGCTTTGAAAATTCGGAAGATATCAAAATTTTAAAAAAATTGCCTTAAAAAAACTTTTTTTAGAGGTTTTCTCGCTGATTTATAAGTATTCAAAATAATTTCAAGGTAATTTTTGAATATTTCGAGATCAGAAATGGATTTTTTTATACGCTCGTTTTGATGAAATATTGCAACTAAAACTTTAAAATTTCAGCTTTAATCTTGGAAAAAGCTCAATTTTAACTCCATTTTTTTGTCAAAAATTCCAGTTTTTGCGTAATTTTTACACCGTAATATTCAAAAATAACCGTTTCAAACCCTAAAAAATCATTTTCCAGATGGATGAAGTGGTAAAATATCAACTTTTACGCCTCGTAAATCAATTAGGTTTCATTTGGGGCGTTCCGAAATGTCTCGAAATGCTCGAGCAAATCTCTCCGGAGTCCGCGGTACGATTTTTTGATTTTTTTTCTTCTGAAAATTATTCTTCAGATGGTTCACTATCACAGCGACTTGGATCAAACACTGTATCGACGGGAATTTTTGACGCTTTGCAATAAAATTGACCCGAATAAGGCGGCAGAGGTGAAAAAAATGTGGGTTTTTTTCAGAATGGAACAATATTTTTTTTTAATTTTAGGGTGCTGAAAAATAATGATTATTTTGCCACTTTGCATTTATTGGGTCATTATTGTCTATAATATTGAATATGTGGGGTTTTATACTTAATTTAATGCGACATGTAAGACTCTGGTCGCACGTAGAATGGCTCGAGGCGTCGCGGTCGCGTTGCGGTTCGAGTTAAAATTTGAAAATAGGCTTTGAGCCATTCCCCATGCGGCCAATAATAACTTTTCCTTTCAAAATAAGCCTTTTAAAGCATTTCAATACTGGATTAAAAAACGTTTTTCAAAAATTTAGGGTGCTATACTTCATTCAATACAATTCAAAAGACTCTGGTCGCACGTAGAATGGCTCGAGGCGTCGCGGCCGCGCTGCGGTTTAAGCTTAAATTTGAAAATCTGATGAGAGACATTCCCCATGCGGCCATTCTTGGCTTTTCCTCTTGAAATGAGATTTTTCAAAGCATTCTCAGTTTGAATTTGAATCATTTTTTTGAAAATTAGGGTGCTAAATTTTATTTACTGTAACTCAAAAGACGCTGGTCGCACGTAGAATGGCTCGAGGCGTCGCGGTCGCGCTGCGGTTCAAACTAAATTTTGGAAAAAAATAGGCTCAGAGCCATTCCCCATGCGGCCAATAATAACTTTTCCTTTCAAAATGAACTTCTCAAAGCATTTTTAGTCGATTTTTACATATATACCCAGGATTTTTTTGGTCAATTTTTTTCAAAGCTTTTTCCGCAAAAATCACAAAAAAAAATTTCACATTTTGATTCGAAAAAATTCTCAATGCTAACTACTGTTTGTAGATTTTGTTGATCGAGAGCAATTTTCAAATATTTTTTTCAATATTTTTAAGCCAAACCTCCTCTATTTTTCCTTCAGAGATTTGATTTTTTTTTTATTTTTCCAGTTCATTTTTAGAGTAGTTTTTTTAATATTTACTAACCATTTTTTTCTTCTTTTTTTCGGTTTTCTAACTGAAAAATCTGACTAAAATTATGTAATTTTCAAAATTTTAAAACCATATTTATGTTGGACCGTTCATTCATGTAGTCTAGTTCAAAGGTAAAAATTTTTTTTGGAAAGGAAAAAAATATTCAAATTTTTTTCTGCTTGGCTTAAAGCTGAATTTTATCGAGATCTTAGACTTTTTTTCTAAATTTTTTTAAAAATTTTTTTGTCGATTTTTAAAAAAATCTTGATCAATTTCAGGGCTCTCCGATCAAAAAAATTCGTTCGCGTCGCCGCCAAGAATCGGCCTCGTAAGGCAATATCCCTCCGCGACGCCTTTTCATCAAGCTTTTGCCTAGAAATTTATATTTTTTTTAGATTGTAAAATTGTATTTTTTTTGTCCATATTGTACATAGAAACTCGAATTTATCGCTTCGAATCTCAGGGAATTGTTTCAATTTTGATTTGGTTGTGTTTCAGATTTTTATTTTGTATTTGTTTGTATTTTAAAGAATCTTTGATTAGATATTTTCAAAAGGAAATGGTGGAAAAGGCCCTATAGAAATGTTCCGTTTTGCTGCCTTTTTGCGGCCTTTTTGCGGCCTTTTTTGAGCCTTTCTGCAACCCTTTTTGCAGCCTTTTTCGAGCCTCATTATTTTGCATTTCAAAGCTCTTTTTTGCATTTAGTTTTCGAAAATGTGGGTCATTTTTGTCTATATTATTGAATATGTGTACTCCATTGCATTTTAAATTTTTTTTTTCAAGCCAAAAACCGCCTTTTCTTCTTTTTCGAATGCTTTTACGTGTACCCTTATGCCTCTAAAAAAATATCCCAGCTAAAATCGCTTTATTTTCTCGTCATTCTTTTCTAAATTTGGGTGCTATATGTTATTTACCACGAATATAAGGCTCTGGTCGCATTTGGAATGGCTCAAGGCGTCGCGGTTCGAGAAAACCCGCTTAGAGCCATTCTCCGTGCGACCAAAAGTCGCCGTGTGAGCTTCTCAGAGCATTTCCAGTCCCAGAATCACTTTATTTCATCGATTTCTACCTCATTCCCTCAATCGCTCCGCCAAAAGGGTCGCTGGTTCGATTCCTCTCCAGAAATTTTGAATCTCATGCCTGCTCATAATGATGATCTTGTACATAGAGTTCATTCAACGCTCGTCTATTGAAATAGTGTGCGAAAATTGGAGGTTCTAGACGTTTTTCGTAAGCTAGCGGTGAATGTACTATATATTTTGTCACATTTTTTTCAAAGATACCCAGATTTTTATTGCCAAAAATGCTCGGAATCACTTAGATTTTCTTTTATTTCTCTCTTTTCACTTGCTTGTATTTTTTTGTTGATATTGAAGGAATTTATATAATATATTACAGTAAATTTTTCTTGTTTTTTTGTATATTTTTTTGTTTGTTAAGAGTGAAGGGATGCTCTGAAATATCACTTTTTTTGCGTTTTAAAAAAAGTTTTTTTACTTTTTTTCAACTTTCAAGGTTATTTTTGATTATTTTAATAAACTTGAGGTCTCAATTTTTTTATTTTCCCTAAAAAAACAATCCCTATAGGGATCACTAAAGCTTGAAAAGGTGGTCCCTATAGGGGTTTTAGGTAGTGTTCCTATAAGGAAGCATTCCCATGCGAAAAACTAAAAAAATAAACGTTTTTTGAATGAAATTAAAAAACCCCTAGAGAGGCCACTTGAGCTTTAGGGGATTAGAGGTCTGAAAATAGAACCCTGTAGGGACCACTTAGGCTTCAGGAGCTAAGGAGTCAGACCCTAAACCCTATAGGGACCACCTCGATTTTTTTTTGAACTCTCATTGTTTTTTGTGGAACTGATTCCATTTTTATACTTTATTTTTCAAAAACCAAATTTTTTTTCAGAAATGTCGAACCCAAATCTGGAGCCGATGCCCTTTCGAAGGCAATTCGGCAAAGGTTCCGTCGGTTCGGATCCAATTAGTGAGAAAATTAGTTCAATTTCTTGAAAAAATTCCACAAAAAGGACCAGTTTTCGTTTCAGGACCTCAAAAAGACATTGGTCCATGCGCCCTTAGTTTTTCAAATTTTTCAAATTTATGGATTTTTTTCAAGATTCAGAATGAGAAATAATAGTTTACGGAGTAGATTCACGGCTGAAAATACTGATTATAATCGGTAAAAGGTGAGAAAGTTTCAGCCGCCACGAAGTTCGGAGGAGCTGGAAGAAGCCTTTCGGACCTTCCAGCTTCAACTCCGGCCCCAACTTATGATCCTGACGCTTTTGTCGGTGAGAATTGAATTTCAAGCATTTTGAAGGAAAAATGGGTTTTTAACGGTAAAATGTGACTAAAAAACTTCCATGAATCGGATTTTTAGGAATTCCAGAATGGTCACTACATATAGGGGCTGTAAAGTGGTCCCTATATGGGTTTAAGGTCTGACCCCTTAAGTGGTCGTTATAGGGTTTTTCCAAATTTAAAAAAAAAACGTTTTTTGGTTTGATTTTTCGCATGGAAAGGCTTCTTTGCATAGTAATAGCATGTCCACTATAGGAACCACTTTTTCAAGCTTTAGTGGCCCCTATAAGCGTTGGTAAAGTGGTATCTAGAGGGGAATCTCCAATGGTCCACAGTGTTCCCAAACGAGCGGCAGCTGTGGTCAGTAGGCGTGGCTGACTGCAACAGCGGCACGGTTTATTGCAATAGGGGCGCGGGGATGAGAGCCAAGTTTTGTGGATTTAGTGGTTGGAAAAAGACCATTAAACGATGTTTTTCTTAGGTTCTCGCGAGTTTTCGAAGATTTTTAATGTGTATATAATTATAACGAACAAATTTAAATGAAAAAAAGAGACAAAAAAAGTTTTTTTGCAAAACAAAAATATCTCCCAAAAATGTCGTTTTTTTAGGAAAAACTCGTCAAATCGAACTTCCAAAGGGAAAATTGAGAAAAAGCTCAAAGCACTTCTCTTAAGAAATACCACTTGAACGTTTTAAAACAAAAACAGATACATAATAGCTTGTGCGAATAAAGTTGTCACCCAAAATGACATTTTCAAGAATAAATTCGTCGAATACTGCCTCGAAAAGAAAATTTTGAGAAAAATCTCAAAGCGTACCTCTTAAGAAAGTCCATTTGAAAACTCTAAAACAAAAAAACAAACGAAATATCTTATGCGAAATAAGTTGTCATCAAAAATGTCATTTTAATGCAAATTTCTGTGACGAGAACAATCGAAAATCATTTCAAATCTCTGGAAAACGCGATAAACACGTTTTAAGAACACATACAGCGTGAAAAAATACGAAAGAATGGTAAAATACCAAGAAAAATAGAAAAAACCGTATTAAAAGTGAATGAAATGTTAAGGGGGCGACACGCGCCGCACCGCGTTGCGTTAGAAAAAACTCGCGTTTTCGCCCCATTGCGACGACCTTTTTTTTCGCTTGCCGCCGTCTCTTTTGGAACACTGTGGGTCTTTAAGGTTGCCCCTATAGGGACCACTTTGGAGTTCCTAATTTTACCAAAAACCCAGATAAAAAAATAATTTTAGGATTTTTTTAAAAGAAACGAATAAGTTTTGATATATATATATTTTTATTTTTTTTGAAAGAATGAGGCTTGAAAAATCGGTTTCAGATGCTTCCGGAGCAGCGATCGTGAAGCAAGTTGTGACGGGCGCGTGCAGAAAGTGCGGCTATCCCGGCCATATGACCTACCAAGTTCATTTTTTTAACTTTCTCTGAAACACGGCAGGGGAATAGCTTTACTAGTCATAACAGTATTTTTTTGAAAAATTATAAAATAAAAATCTTCAAAAAAAGAATTTCTAACAGTATTGAGCCTTAAAAAAATGAGTTTTTTTGTTGAGTTTTTTTCCATAATTTAGGAAGATTTGTTTGACTTTTTTTGAACTAGAAATGCCAATTTTTTTCTAAATTTTCAGCCAAAAAAATCCACTTTCTGTGCCTTTTTTTAGTATTAGAAATAAGAAAAAGTTTTGATATTCATTTTTTTGAATTTTTCGCTAGATTTGACGGCGTTAAAAGCTCAAATTTCCCAACTGGGATGAGAAAGATACTTTATTTGGGCCCTTGAACTTTTTTTTTGGACCTTTATTTTCGACTTTTCAGAAGCTTTATCATTTTTTGTGCGCTTCAAGGCTTAAAAAAATTATTTTGTTTAGAATAATCGAAAAAAATCCGAGGTTTTCCAGCTTTTCTCCAGCATTAAAAGCTCTAAAAACAAACCTGAAGATTTTTAAAAATTTTCCAGTGCCGGAATTTCATCCAATTGAAGCCGGACACAAGTACAAAGGCTTACGAATTGAGTTCGACGTCTTCTGAAGAAAGTGAAGATGACGAGACGCCCTTGGGTTTGGAACTACATCAAATATTATATAATAATAAATTCATTTTTCAGTGAAAAAAAGGCGAAAAAAATCACACAAAAAGAAGAGCAAAAAAAGAGAAAAAAAGGAGAAGAAAAAAAGCGGAAGAAGGAGAAGAAAAAAAGGAGAGGAAGTTGGAGAAAAAAAGTCGAAAAAAAGAGAAGGTTTGTTGGTTTTTTAAATTGAAATTTTAAGCTTGATTAGGATTTTGTATGAAAAATATGAAGCAAGAAAAAAACTTTTTTTGACCATTTTTAGGAAAAAAATTTTGAGGTTTTTTTGGAAATTTTTTTAAAAATAAATTTTGATCCTCATTTTTTTTGAATTTTTTTCCTCAAATTTCATAGTTTTTTTAATTTTTCCTGCGGTTTGAATCGATAAATGTGGACTATGAATATGAAAAAAAGGGATTTTTTTGGATTTTTTTCCAAAAAGATTTTAAGCTGGATTAGGATTTTTTTATGAATATTTTGAGCAAGAAAAAAATTTTTTTGACCATTTTTTTGGAAAAAAATTTTTGAGACTTTTTGGAAATAATTTCTCTTTCTTCAAAATGAAATTTGAACCCTTTTTTTTGAATTTTTTTCACAAATTTCATAGATTTAAATTTTTGCGGTTTGAGTCGATGAATGTGGACTATAAATATGACAAAAAAAGGGATTTTTTTGGATTTTTTTCCAAAAAAATTTTTAAGCTGGGTTAGGATTTTGTATGAAAATATGAAGCAAGAAAAAAACTTTTTTTGACCATTTTTAGGAAAAAAATTTTGAGTTTTTCGGAAATTTTTTTAAAAATAAATTTTGAACCCTTTTTGATTTTTGCGCAAATTTCATAGTTTTTTTAATTTTTGCGGTTCGAATCGATAAATGTGGACTATGAATATGAAAAAAAGGGATTTTTTTGGATTTTTTTCCAAAAAGATTTTTAAGCTGGATTAGGATTTCGTATGAATATTTTGAGCAAGAAAAATTTTTTTTTGGCGATTTTCAGGAAAGATTTTGATATTTTTTGGAGATAATTTTTTTCTTTAAAGTTGCCTATCCTTTAAAAAATCTTCTGACTTCAATATCATTCTTAAATTTACAGAAGACGCTCCTCAACGTCTTCTGAATCCTCCGAGTCATCCGAAGAAGACAAAAAGAAGAAGAGGAAGAAGAGAAAACGCAAAGAATCGACGTCTTCATCCTCGTCGTCGTCGTCGGATTCTGATGACGACCATCACAGAAAAACGCAAAAAAATACTAACTTTACCCTGTTAATTGTTGATTTTTTTGCGGGTTTTTTTCTCTTTTATAAAAAGATTATTTCCCCAGAGAATTGTGCATTTTTTTCGTGGAAGTGTAGAAATATTTTAAATTTATTTTAAAAAAAGAAGATACAGAATAGAGAGTATTCGAGAAAGAAAAATTAAGAACCTTCCGGAAAGATTTTTTTCCGAGAAATCCACACTTGAAAAAAAGAAATTTTGAATGAAAAATGAAAGTTTCAGAGTCCCTGAGTGAAATTTATCATTAAAAAAATGTTTTGGAAGCTAAAATAATTTTTTTAAAAAAGGTATAATTATCAAAGATTTGTCAAAAAAATAAGTTGACTTTCACGATAAAATTAAGGAAAAAAATCCATTTTTAGGCCGAAAAATTTGAGAAATGGATAAATTTTTTTCACGTTTCTGTACAAGTTCTTCGTTACAAAATCTAAAAAAATCGAAATTTGAAAAATTCAAAAAAATAAAAACCATTTCAAAGTTTTAAAATGAGAAATCAAACGAAAAAAATAACAAATTTATGTATTTTGCACGAAATTTGCATTATGAAATGGTACCGGAATGTTCTGAAAAACCAAAAAAAATTTTCCCAATTTTTTTACAGAAATTTTTTTGAGAAGTCCTGAAGTTATTAACAATTATAACGATGAAAAATTTTTATTTTTTTCCTCGTCTTCAACGTCCTCTTTCGATCTTTTTCGCTGCAAACTCGACATCCACTGAAATATTTCAATATTTTTTTATCATTTTATAAAAAAATAACCAACCTTGCTTATAAATTTCGGGGTATTTACTAGCCAAACTGCTTTTTGAACCAACGGATCTTCTTGAAAAATCAGCTCGAGGTCAGATTTCATCTGAATTTTTAATAATTTATTAGGTTTTACGATTTTAAATAACCTGCATAATGGTTTCTTTGTGTTGCGCGGCGTCTCTTTTCGCCCTTTCCAGCCTTTTTTCGCTGAGTTGTGAGCAATTTACCAACATCTCGTTGGTTTTTTCGAACCTTCTTAGGCTGAACAAAGATTTTATCATTATAAAATGAACATTGAGATATTAAACCTCTGCCTCTGAACCTCAATAATATTCTGAATCGTTGTCGCATCAACTTGTGAGGTTAAAGCGTCCACCAAATGTTGATCTTGGGCGAATTCCGAATCTACAGAACTTTCGTGCGCGAACGGACCTTTCTCGCCTATTCCTTTCGACATTATTCTCTGAAAAAATGCTAATTTCAATCAGAAAAAAAGAAAATAAGAAAAATTAAAAGTCCGATAGGCGCTCGTAAAAAATTTTCGGCTCCTGAAAGAAAGTTTGCTCCATCGAACTTTTCGCCTTTTTCGAAATTTTATAGCCTTTCCTGTTTTCCCGCTCTTTTCTCCCAGTTACCTAAATTTTTTCAAGGCGAATTTTGAAGCTCAACGTAGTTTGAAGCGGTTAGTACCGGAAAAAGGTAATTTACGCGCTGAATTTTGAGAAATCATCATGAAAAAGAGAATTTTCCTACAAGTCTTTTTTTTTCAATTTTTCGCTAATTCTTCCGTGAATTTTTCTTCTAGTGCTATTTTCGTTGGATAGGGATGATAAATGATAAGATAAATGAAAAACAAATTCTCAGAAAAAAGCTTATTTGTGGCACAGACGTTTATATTCGAGTTGGCTATTTTTTTTTTACAAAAAATTATGTTTTATAGCATTTATTCGGTGTTTTTTTCGTATATTTTTTTATTTTTTTGAGACACATATTATTCAGTTTCTCTTGATTTTTTTGGTTCAAACTATGCGATCTCATTTTTTCGAGTCCTTGGAAATTTATTAGTCTAAAAAAATAAAAAAATAGTACACCGTTTTCCGTTGTTTTTATTGTCACTTTTCTGATTTCTCATGAAATCTCTCACTTCCTCGATTTGCCAACGATAGTTTATATGCATGGCATTCACGATACCCGCACGGGGCCAAACAGATGGTTTCTCTGACTTTCTGCGTCTCGAATCTTTCCCGACGCGAGGCCCTCGCCGATTTCCCTCTCTCGATGAGTTCCCTCCACAATTTCCCATCTCATTTCCTTGTTTTCGATCGATTTGATTAAAAAGACGTTATATCTGATTTTCGGCTCGAATTTGGTGCTCAAAGGGCTCATTTTTCGAAAATTTGCATATTCGATTGATTTTTGATTGCGTGTGAACAAAAATTGATCGATTTTGACAAGATCTCTGCTGTTTATTTACGCAAGATTGGATCGATTCGATAATTTTTGTTAAATATTGGGAAATTTGAAGATTATCCCATTTATTGGCCTATTTTTTTTGAAAGAAAAAAATGAATCTTTGAATGAAAAAAATTTTCAATTTCCGTTCTTTCTTGTTTTTGGTATTGGTTTCTATGACTCCTGTTTTTTTCTTTTTAAAATGGAATTTATGGGTTTTTTTCAATTTTGTGGAAATATGAGACTTTGAGACTACATTTTGGAAAAGATTCTCGATTTTTTTGAAAATTAGGGTTGACTTAACTTCCCTTGGGTAATATTTTTGTAGAAATCCGGAATTTAAAAATTTTGTGAAATTTAAGGGCGCAGAGTGATCCTTAATTATACGGTATACGGCTCTTCGCTACGAGACCTTAAAATCTACCTATGTTCCTTTAAAAATCAGGTGTTTTTTTCGGACATTCTGGGCTTTAGTAGAGGTAAAAATTTATCCTTTTCCTTTTACAAAAAGATTCGCTATAGGATTCGAGTGTTTCCTAAGCCTTTTTTGTCCAAAATAATTTCGTTTCGAGACTTCTTTGAAATTTGTCTATGCTCCTTCAAAGTTATACTAATTTTCTCGGACAAGTTAGGCCAATTTGGGGTGAGAAATCTTTCCTGTTTCATTCTATCGATCGGTTCCGAGCGTTTTTTCTTGATTGTTTGTTCAAAATTAGTTCGTTTCGACATCTTTTTCTAATTTTTCTATGCTCCTTTAAACGCTGGTCTATATTATTTTTAGACAGTCTAAGCTAATTTAGAGGGAAAAATTATTTTTTTTTTCGTTCTCAAAATCTGTTTCTATCGTTTTTCAGTCTTTCCTGAGACTTTTTATGTCAAAAAATAGTTCGTTTTGAGAACTTTTCAAAGTTTGTATATGCTCCTTTAAAGCTGAAATATGTTGTTTTTTGGACAAATAAGGCTAATTTAGGATGAAAAGTCTTTCCTTTCCCGTTCTGAGGATCATTTTCTACCGGTTTCAAGCTTTTCCTTTGAGTTTTTCATCCAAAAATCAGTTCGTTTCGAGACCTTTTTTGATTTTCGTATATGCTCCTTTAAAACTTAAATTTTTTTTTCGATCAGATTAGGTTAATTTAAGATGAAAAGTCTTTCCTTTTCCGTTCTGAGGATCATTTTCTATTGGTTCTTTTGATTTGTTTTTGTCCAAAAGCAGTTCGTTTCGAGACCTTTTTAGCTGTGTCGTGATCTTTCGAATCTTAACAGTTTTTTTTTGGATAGATTGGGTTAAATTAGTGTGAAAATTCGTACTTTTTCCTTATAATGTATGGTTTATAGCCTTTTTCTTTTGATTTTTCATCCAAATATAATCGATTTGTTGCAGTAATGTGGCCCATTCACCACTGGAACGAGCGTATTTGCTCGACTTGTCAGACCGAACGGAAATACGAAGATGACTCCGACGAGGAGGAGCCCGAGCTTATGTGGTATGGGCTTAAAAAAATAATTTCATGGGGTTATGGAAGTTCAGCTCGTGATTTTCTACCTAAATCAAATAAATCCTAATAAAATTGGACTTTTTAATGAGACCAGGTTCATTAGACACATTTTTCAAAGCTGATTCCAAATCTGAGCTTGAAAATGGCCAAGGAGGCCCTTAAGGGGTGTTGAGAATCTTCGGATTTGGAAAGGAAGGCTCCAAAAACGATCAAAAATTTTGTCGTTGTGGTTCGTTGTGATCGTTGTGGCTAGATCAATTCAGTATGCAAGAAAGCAGCGTTTTTTTTTAATAATTCTTGGCCAAAGTTAATTCGTTTCGAGACCTTTTTAAAAAAATGCTCTTTTAAAGTTTAACAAGTTTTTTTTCGGGCTTATTAGTCTATTTTAAAACTGAAAATGTTCTCTTTTGCGTTCTAAGGATAATGTTCTAACGATTTCGAGCCTTTTTTTAAAATTTTTTATCCAAAGATCAGTTCGTTTCGAGACCTTTCTGAAATTTGTCCATGCTCCTTTAAAGTTTGAATTTTTTTTTTGGGTAGATTGGGCTTTATCAATAGTTACAATGTCTATTTTGCTATTCGAAAATTATTTTTTAACGATTTCTAGCCTTATCCTATATTTTTTTCGTCAGAAAAAAAGTTAGTTCCTTGCGAGACCTTTTTTTGAACTTACACTATGCTCCTTTAAAAATATAATTTTTTTTCGGACAGTTTATGGTATATAAAGATAAAAAAAATGCTCTCTTTTTCATTCTGAGGATCATATTTTAACAGGCTTGAGGTTTTCCTTTGATTCTGCGTCGAAAATTAGTTCGTTTCAAGACCTTTTTGAAATTTTTCCATGCTCCTTTAAAGTTTAACAATACATTTTCGGCCAGATAGGCCATATTAAAATTGAAAATGTCCCCTTTTCCATTTTTGAGGATTATTTTTTACCGGTTTCGAGCTTTTTTTTTGATTTTTTTTTTATCCAAAAATTAGTTCGTTTCAAGACCTTTTTGAAATTCTACCATGTCCCTCTAAAATTTAACTCTTTTTTTCGCGCAGATTAGGCTAAATTAAGATGAAAAATGTTCTCTTTTGTGTTTTAAGGATATTATTCTACCAGTTTCGAGCATTTTCTTAGTTTTTTCGTTAAAAAAAGTTAGTTCGTTTCGAGAACTTTTTGTTAATTTTCTATGCTCCTTTAAAATTTGACATTTTTTTCGGACAGGTTACGCTATATCAAGATAAAAATGTTTTATTTGCCAATTCGAAAATCATTTTTTTAAACGATTTCGAGCCTTTTCTTCCATTTTTTTCATCCGAAAATTGGTTCGTTTCAAGACCTTTTTGAAACTTTTCCATGTCCCTTTGAAATTTTAACATTTTTTGGGCCGATTTTAGAGTAAAAACTTTTTATTTTTCACTTTTCATGAGTCAGAATTTTTTCAAAAGCCTATAACTTTTTTCTAAGACCTCCTAGGCGATTTTCAAATACATTTTCGGAACCAGCGTCAAAAACTTGATCTAGTAAAGTTGGTCTCATACAGAAGTCCCATTGTAATTTGAGACAAGTCCTTGATTTCTTACATTTTTGAAAGTTGAGCTGAGTTTTCATTAGCCCAAGTTGGCACTTCAGTGACTCCCGCGGAAGCGGTCGAGATCCTGGTGCAAACCTCGTTCTTTTTGAACGGGAACGAGTCTATAATTACAACTTTCTAATGAAACATTCAGTGGTTAATTCATTTTTCCCAAACATTTCAAAGACTTCGAGGCGGTAGCAGCTGGACTTGGTGTCGAAATTGGAAGATGACGATGGAAAATTGATCAACTACACGCTCTGAAACTTGCGGAATCTTCACTTCTTTCATCACATCTACCGCGTCAATAAATTCTTGATCAACGACGACAAGAACATCTTTCAGCAGAAGTTGAACACGCACAGGAAAACGACACGATCAAGATCTCTTGATCATCTACAACCTCAGGGTTCTGATCCGACTAGAAGATCGCGAAAATTTCAATCATTCCATCACTTCTACCGCGTCAATAAATATTTGATCAACGACGGCAAGAATAATCTTCAGCAGAAGTTGCACTCCGCGCAGAAAAACGACACTGTTTAAAAAAAAAAACTGTTTATTGCATCTTCAATGTAAGAGTACATGTGCAATCGACTTTCATTGATTTGACTGTGTTTAAACGGCGGCAGGAGCTGTGGCTTAGGCAGAGAAGTTGTGAATTTCGCTCGTAGAACATCAGGTACAAGAGAGGTCGTAGGAAGAAGTACGGTGCCGGCTTTCCAAAGGCCGATGGCAGAGAATGAGCCTTTTCGCTGCATGCAGCTCCCAATTTTATCTACCCCGGAGGGATGAAAGGCTTGGTAGACCTCGGGGGGACTCGAACCTACGACCTTGCGGACGTTAGAAATGAGTTATGCCAGCTGAGCTATGCCGCCCCCCAAAAAACGACACACATGATCTCAATTTGATCAACTACAACCTCGGTCCCAGGCTCGCCAAAAGCTTTTTTACTCCCAATGAATCACCAGAAAAATTCAAAATTCAAAGATGGCCAGCTCAGAATGTTCATCATCTACATGCGCTTTTTGTATATCAATAAACCATCATTTTATCACATAAACAACAACATTGATCAACTACAACCTCGATCTCAAACTCGCCAAAAGCTTAGGCTTTTTCAATCAAACGCATCAATCACTCAAACAAGAAAAAAACAATCACAAGTTTGAGGCAGAAATTTGATCAACTACAGGCTCAAATTTTGTCAGACTCTAGCAAAAATTATCTTCTTCACCTCTCATTTTATCACACAAACAACAAAATCTATCAAGCTCTCGATTTGATCAACTACAACCTCGACCTCAGATTCGCCAAAAGCCTAGTCGCATCAATCACGCGAAATCGAATCATTCACATTCTGACTCGACTCGAGTTTTGAAAAAAGAAAGCTTCTCTCGAAGCCTTCACATCTTCAATCATCTCAGGCAGTAGTACCTGAACTTCTTGCAAAATTTCAAAAACAGAAGGTATCCTTGATCAACCACAACCTCGATGTCAAGTTCGCCAAAATCTTTGTTTCTTCTCAATCACGCAAAAATCAACAAATCGGCCCGGAAATCCCAACAACTACATGCTTAATCTCGAAATAACGTCTAGCGAAAAGATCACCAAAATTGATCAACTACAACCTCGACCTCAAAGTCGCCAAAAACCACGCTTCATAAACTTCAACCTCGAATCTAAGCCGCTGAATTCGCCCTCTCGCCTTTCAAAAAACCAGCGCTTTATCACAAAACCAACACCATCGATCAAGCCCTCAACTTGATCAACTACAACCTCGACCTCAAAGTCGCCAAAAACCGCGCTTGATAAACTCCAACCTCGAATCCAAAACTGGCGAATTCACCCTCTAGGCTTTTCAAAAAACCAGCGCTTTATCAAAAAACCAACACGATCGATCAAGTCCTCAACTTGATCAACTACAACCTCGACCCCAAACACGCCAATCAATCGCATCAATCACGCAAAAAAGGCAAAAATCAACCACTCGAGGCAGAAGTTTTCACAAGTACAGGCTTGATCTCGAATTTCGTAGGGGTCTAGCGGAAAAAATCACCATCTCGCCTTTCAGGAACTGTCTTTTATTCACACAAAACACAACATCGATCAAGCCCTCAACTTGATCAACTACAACCTCGACCCCGAATTCGCCAAAAACCACGTTGAGGAATCGCATAAATCACGCAAAAAGGCAAAATCAACCGCTCGAGGCAGAAGTCTCAACAACTACAGGGCTTGATCGCGAATTTTGCAACATTCAAGCAAAAATATCGCTTCAATGATCACCTATCACTAAACCCACTCAATGATCACATATCACTCAACCAAGAACACCAAGAAATCCATAATCACTCAATCAACGATATCCCTCAAAAGGGAGGTCATTTTACCGGAAATGTTGGGAGTTTTCAATACACTTTTTACGAGCGAACTGATCTTGAAGGACCTTTATAGAAAATTTAGAATCTTCCAAACTTTTTGGTAAAATCACCTTCCAGCAAGAACGACGAACCCTCTGCACTCCGATCTGAAGATTCATAAGAAAGGTTTGCGAATTTTTTCTTCAAGTGAGCCCTAAAGAGGCGTCAAGGGCACTTGAGGGATAAACTGGATATTTGAATAAGGGGTCATTTTAGTGGTTTTAGGCGTCCGAGAATTAAATTAAATGATAAAAATCGGAAATTAATCATTTCTTCATCAGGTGAGGGATCATTTTAGTGATATGATCGAAAAGAACCAGTTCCTCGTCGATTTAGGGGTCCTTTTAGGGATATTAGGGGTCCTAAAACGAACTTGAAAGAGGCTGAAGGGAATTATGATTGAAAAGAATCAGTCCTCGTCGATTTAGGGATCATTTTAGGGATTTAGGGGTCCTATTTCCGATTCAAAACACAGTAAAAACATAAAAATTAACATCTGATCGAAAATAATCACTTTATCTGGTTTCAGGGACCATTTTAGTGATTTTAGGCGTCCCATTACGGATTCAATACACAGTAAACAATAAAAAACCAACATCTAATCGAAAATAATCAATTCACCTTCGAATAGGGGTCATTTTAGTGATTCTAGGCGCGATGTCCGACAAGAGAAACCGAGCCTCCCCGAATGGATTTTCGACGTCGAACCTTCGACTTCCCCCCTAGTTGAGCAAGTTTTCGGGAACGACCTGATCTTGGAGAACATCATGAGCCACATTGAGGAAACCAATGTAGTTTTCCGCGAAAATTAGGATAATTATCAGAGGTTTCTAGAACCGTTTGAGCATGGACTACGTCTGCCGGAGATGGTACGATTTGAACCACAGGGCCAAGTGGATCCTGGACGAGGAGCGGAACAAGCTCGAAGTCGTCTTTGCGGTGGGTTCTTGAAGGGTGAAAATTGAGTAGACGGGGGGGGCGGGGTTTGTGATCCTGAACGGGCTTTTGGGAAGACGAAACTTGAAAAAAATCATGTTTTTTTAAGCATTTTTGCTCAAAATTGGGGCGATATTTGAGAAAAAGAACACGGAAATAAGAGATTTTGTGAGTTTTTAGTGAGGCCTGGACTGTTGGGAAGATGAAAAACGAAAAAAGTAACATTTTTTGCCCTATTTTGCTCAAAAATTAGGTAGAAATGAGTAGAAATACACGAAAATGAGAGATTTTTTGTGACCCTGGACTGTTAGGAAGACAAAAGACAGAACAATTTACTATTTTTAGGCATTTTTTGCTCAATATTTGAAGAAAATGAGAGTATAAATACAAGAAAATGGGGATTTTTGTGAGTTTTTTGGGAGGCCTGGACTGTTTTTAGTTTTTAGGGAGGCCTGAACTTTTTTAGTCATATTTTGCACGAAAATTAGGAGAAAATGAGAGGTTTTTGTGATTTTCTAGGAAGCTTGGACTGTTGGGAAGATAAAAAAACAGAAAAAAATTACTTTTTTTAGGCATTTTTTTGCTCAAAATTGGGGCGAAGCTTGAGAAAAAAATACACGGAAATAAGAGATTTTTTTGTGATTTTCTAGGAAGCCTGGACTGTTGGGGTGATGAAAGACAGATAAAACTGCTTTTTAAATCATATTTCCATCGAAAAATATGAAGGAAATTAAAAAAATACACGAAAAAGGGGAAGAAAAATAGATTTTTGGGAAGCCTGGACTGTTCGAAAGTAATTTGAAGAAGGAAAAATGTCTCACATCAGATGATTTTTCGAGAACTGTTTTAAAAATTTGAAAAATTACTTTTTTTAGCCAACTATCGCTTGAAATTTTTTTCTCTGGGTGTTGGACTCTATGAACTTTCCAAAACGTTTTTTTAATTTTTTTCTGTTTCCGCAGGCTGCAAAAAATGTATCGTGTTAATGGAAAAAAATAACTAATTTAGTGTCTGATTACTGAGGATATTTTTTTCTTGGTGTAGAAAAAAATATGCGTTGAATTCCACCTTTTCCGGAATTTTGAGCTTTTGAGGGCCGAAAAATCGCGGAATATTCAAGAAAATATTCTTGAAAGGGTGAGAGAAATAGTGTGTTAAAAAAGAGAACCAGACGTTGTTAGGCATTTCTATAAATCTTTCCAAGACCTTTTTTTCTAAATTTTAATGAATTTATGAAAATTTAGCCGTCAATAAATTATTTATTCTCTTTTTCAGTATTATGAACCCTTGATAACGGTGTTTATGGCCGACGTCTCTTCGAGAAAAATGAATTGCTGCGTCTCGGATTATCGAATGGAACCTCCGGTTACGGTAGGATACTGTAGGAATTTGAAAGATTAAAAAAAAATCAATTTTCAGGCCGCCGGACGTCACAGCCAGCCACGGGAATTGAGTTAGTTTTGATGAATTTTTGAAACTGTGTGACTTCTCTGCACTCTCTCCTTTTTATGTGCTGTCTTATTTTTTGCTCCTCACTGAGAGATAAGAGAGCGCAGACAGGTCAGACAGTTGCTCGTCAATTTTTGGGTTTTTAATTGAAAGATTCAAGTCTTTTCCGGTCATATACTTTTTGAAATAGTCTGACTTCTCTGCGCTCTCTCATTCTTATGTGCTCTTTTCACATTTCAACGCCTGTGAGAGAGAAGAGAGCACAGACAGGTCAGACAGTTTTTCGTCGATTTTCGAGTTTTAAGTGAATTTATTGACGGATTTTTCTGTTTTGAAGATAGTTTTTTGAATTTTTATGCATCTTGGGTACCTTTTTGAGCCTCAAGTTGAGATTTTTTTAATACATTTTTTTAAATATTTTATAGATAAATAAAAAAATATTTTCAGTGGAATATCTGCAAATTCTGACGAAAAAGATTGGGGAAATACGTACGGACCCTGTGCATCGGCGGTCAGTTGGAAGGCACCCGGAATTATGGACCAATGTCTGAGAGTTCGCCTCAGGTGAGACAAGGAAATGGTCGTTTTTTAAAGATTTACGGAGAGAAAAATGAATTTTTTCGTGTTTGTTTGGATAGAATGGCAGTAGTTTTTTCGGAATTAAGGAAAAAAGATCGGCATTTTTCCTGTAAAATGCGGACATTTATGACATTTTCGAGAAAATAGGAAAAATATATGGTAGCCGGGATGACCAAAAAGCCGCCCTAAAAGGGCCCGAAAAGACATTTCAAGCGGCTATTTTGCTCCTTTTTGTTCTAATTTTTCTAAAAAACCGATTTTTTTGATATTTTTTTGTAGCGTTTAACTAATCCTTAACGTTCGTTTTTTACAGAAAAATTACCCATTTTGTTTGTTTCAATCCAAAAAAGTATCCCTTTTTTTGATTTTCCAGAAAATTGTCCTTTTTGAGTTTCTGCATAGGCGAAGTCGGAAAAGGCTCTATATAGATTTTCCTTTTTTGCTGATTTTTTGCGGCCTTTTTGGAGCCTTTTTGGAACCTTTCTGCAGCCTTTTTCCTGCCTTTTTCCTGCCTTTTGCAGCCTGTTTGGTGCCTTTTTGCGGCCTTTTTAGTGCCTTTTTTTTAGCCTTATCTCTTTTTCCTTTTCAGCAGCCATTATCCACCTTCCCGACTTTAGACGAGTGGATCTTTAAAATACGAACAGTTCTCTTAAAATATTCAGGAAACCCCCGATTTTTCCAGATGATGATCACCAAGGATTTGTTGGTCTGGATCAACGAAAGTCTCCCGAATTTGGATCAAATCGAGCTCCGACAGTGCTTTTTCGACATCGGAGCCTTGGAATATTGTAAATTATTCATTTTTTGGGTCATTTATTGGAAAATGAAAATTTTTAAGTCTTAAAAAAAGGTGCAAAAAAGCTCCTTTTTTTCTCAAATTTTCAAAAAAGGGCCCCATTTTCTGGAATTTCATCATGACCTCATTCTTTCCAAAACCCTAAAAAAAGAAATTTCAGCAAAAAAATTTTTTTAAGGCTTTTTTTAGCACCTTTTTAGGTAACTCGTAACGGAAATTTCTAGGAAAATGAATCGATTTTAATCAAAAAAATATTTGAAATTTCGAAATTTCTAGTCGTGATTTTTTTGTCGATTTTTTTGAAAAAAATTAAATTTTTTTATTTTTTTAATGGTTTCATGTGCAGTTTTGAAAGTGTTGAAAGTTCTGTCAATTTTTTGGCCAGAAAGGAATTTTTTTCGTTGAAAAAAAGCTTTAAAAAAATCTGTTTTTCACTTTTTAAGTGCTTTATATTTTTTTAGTGATCTCAACGGAATGCGGCTTCCAACATCGTTACAGAAGCCTGCTGATGGAAGGAGTTTGGGCCAGGAATGACCGGGTCGAAAATCGGGTCCCCGAACTTTCGGTTGGTTTTCGAATGGGTTCAAGAATGAAATAACCAAAATGGATATTTTAAAAAAACAAGGACTGTTTTTGGAATCTGTTCTGTAGAAAATGACCCGGAAATTAGCGTTTTTTTCTCTGAGAAAAAGGGTCAAAAAAATGGGTCGAAAATGGACGATTTTTTTGAGCTATTTTCATCTCCAACATCATCTCTCTACATGAAAAATTATTTTTTTCTGAATTTTTATTGGTATTCAGTTTGAGCTCATTCTGATAGAAAATCGGTTTTACGCGTTTTTTGTCTAAAATGAACCAAATATTCATCTTTTCCAGGAAAAATAAGCATCCCTTTAAAAGACGGCTTCCAAGAATTGAGCTTTGTGAATTTTTTATCCCTTCCTGAAAAAAGGAAAATGACCGTTTTTGAAGATTGATCCGATTTTAAAAATTTGAAGAGTTTTCATAAAAAAATCAAGCTTTTTCAGCGTGCTACAATTAACCGAAAAATTAGTGTTTTCCTTCAAATTTCAACTTTTTTTCTGATTGAAGAAAAAAATGCTTTTCTGAAGATAGATTCGGGTTGGAAAAAGACATTTGAATTTTATTCATTAATTTTTTTGTAGGTATCACATTTTTTTCTGTGTGCAATGATGAACTAAAAAAATCGGCCTTTTTTTCTTCCAAAAAAACGGCTTCTAAAAATTCAATTTTTTTCAAGTTTTTTTCGAGTTTCGGACGCTTTTTGGAATAGATTTCGGTTCAAAAAAACTGAACTTTTAAGTTTATTCAATATATTTTTATTAATATCGAATTTTTTTCAGCATGCTATAATTATTCAAAAATCGGCCTTTTTCCTTCAAAAAAACGGAAAATTCAATTTTTCAAGTTTTTTCGAATTTCGGACGCTTTTGGAATTGAATTCAGTTCAAAAAATGAATTTTTAAGTTCATTCGAAATATATTTATATTAATATCATATTCCCAGCGTGCTATAATGAACCAAAAATCAATGGTTTTTTTCAAAAAAGGGCTTCTAAAACCCAATTTTTCAAGTTTTTTCGGTTCTAAATTAACGGAGAGAAGAATTTTGGACGCTTTTGGAATCATTTCGGTTCAAAAAAGGAGCTTATAAGGTTATTCTAAATTTGAAGAGTTTTCATAAATATCAAACTTTTCAGCGTGCTACAATGAACCAAAAATCAATGGTTTTCTTCAAAAAACGGCTTCTAAAAATATAATTTTATGCTTTTTTCAAATCTTACTTATTGAAAGAAGGAAAAAAAGGTCGTTATTTGTAGATATATGTATTTTTCGAAAAACTTTGTCCAAAAATTTGTGAATTTTCAGCGCGCCTTGGTCGGAAATCGCGTGAGAAAACTGGAATTGTGGGCATTTTCGCCTCGTTTTGCCGCCGGACCAATCAGAGACCTGCTCTTGGAACAGAAACGATCTCTCGACGTCGTCAATTTGAACTTTAACAATAACGATGAGTAAGTTTTGAAATCGTCCGAAAAAATCGAATTGGATAGGATTTTGCAATGTAAACTACAGTAGAGGAGACTTGAAGAAATATTTTGGTTAAATTTATTTTTTTTTCAAATTTGTAGATATAATTTTTCAAGCAAAAAAGGCTTTTTTTCAACCTTTTAGACCAAAAAGGACTTTTCTCAGGGATTTCAGAGTGGTCCCTATAGGGTTTAGCGGAAAAATAGCCCTTATAGGGGGCGAAAAAGTGGTCCCTATAGGGATTTAGGGTCTGACCCCTTGACCCCTAAAGCTTAAGTGGTCCCTATAGTTTTATTCAAAAAAGATTTTTTTTTTTGGTTTTTGGCACATAAAAGTTATCGATAGGGACCACTTTTCCAAGCTCTAGTGGCCCCAATAGGGGTTGGTAAAGTGGTCACTAGAGGGGCCCTTCAAAGATTCCAAAGGCTGTCCCTATAGGAACCACTCTGGAGTTCCTAAGCTGAAGAATGTTTATTTTCATTTTTTTAAGCTTAAAAAGGCTATTTTGAACCTTTTTTTCGCCTAAAAAAACTTTTTTTGATTTAATTTTTTTCACTTCCAAAACTGTAGTGAATATAAGAAAGAACTTTGATTTACAAAAACAACTTTAATCAAAAAAAGAATTTAAAAAAAGGCCGTGTCACACCGACCAGGGAATGATAAGTTTCACTTTAAAAATTATAAAAAAATGAGTTTTTTTCGGACGCTTAATTTCTTTATTCTCACCTGCTAATTTGAAATATACGAAAAAAAGGGAAGGCCATAATTTTTTTCTTTTTTTTCTCAATAAACGATTTTTTTAGATATCCATTTCTGGTATTTTCTTCCAATCTTTTAAAAAATGATCTTATCAAAAAGTTTCAAAAAAATATTATATCGACAGGAAATGTTACGTTTCAATAGGAAATTATAAGAAATGAAATTTTTTTGAACGTTTCTGCTCCTTTTTTTTCCTCTGCTAATTTGGAATAAATGAAAAAAAGTGGAGGTTATAATTTTTAATTCATAATTGGATTTTTTTCTTCTTATTTTTCTAGAAAAGTGTGAGATTCGGAAAAAAAGTTTTCAAGGCTTTAAGAAGGGTTTTTTTACCGAATTTTTTTTCAAATATACAACATTTAAAAAAAGTATTCTTTTTCACTTTTTTTCTCAAAAGGCGATTTTTTTAGATATCCATTTCTGGTATTTTCTTCCAATCTTTTTAAAAAATGATTTTATCAAAAAAAGTTTCAAAAAAATATTATATCGACCAGGAAATGTTACGTTTCATTAGGAAATTATAAGAAATGAAATTTTTTTGGACGGTTCTGCTCTCTTTTTTTGGTCTGCTAGTTTGGAATAAATGAAAAAAAGTGTAGGTCAATTTTTTTCATTCATCATTGGAATTTTCTTCTTTTTTTCTTCTTTTTTTGAACTTCAAATTTGGGTTTTTTTCTTCAAGCTTTAAAAAAATTATTTTTTTTCCAGGAAAAAGCTGCAAATCATCACATTAAAAAGCGTTAATTATGACGTTTTTTTCTTAATTTTTTTCCCCATTTTTTTGGTTTCTTTGTGAAAAAAATTATTCCCACCGAAAAAAATCCAATCCAAATCCAAATCAAAAAAATTGTCCTTCAAATTTTTCGTTCCACAGGTTTTTTTGGTTATGTAGTTGAAAAAGATTAACTTTCAAAGTTTTTTTCTTTTCATTTTTTTCTTGAGTTGAATTTTTTTCGATCTGAAACGCTCGGAAGATCATGGTTTTCTTGAAAATATAATTTTTTTCTAATAATTATTATTCTAAAATAATAAGAATTTCTAGTAGAAATTTAATATTTTCCCTATATTTTTTTTCAGCGTCCGGGAAGGCCTGAAACTGGTGGAAGACCTGAACAAACAGTGCAATTCGATGGAACTCCGTTTCCTGGAAAGAAATCAGGAAAATCCGATCGCTTTCCGGATCGGAAAATGTCGGATTGATCGATCCAAGGTATTGAAAACAGAAATATTGGGACTTTTAGAGGAAAAAATGGGGCAGTTATTGATGAATTTGTTCCTAGGGGGAGGGATTCGTGAATATTCTCTCAGAAGAAGGGTTTTTTTCAGCTCTTGAACACTTGAAAAATAGATTTTTTTGAGTGAAATTCAAAAAATACAATTTTACAAGTCCTACCTTTGAACAGTGATATTCAGAAAAAAATCTACTTTTTGAAATTTTTTTCTTGAATTTCTTAACTGTCAATTTATAGTAGAGAAAAAAAAAATCAATTTATTAGCTTGTGGAAAATTCTCATTTTTTCTTGACTAGATACTTGAGTAGTGGCTTGTAAAATAAAATCGATGATTTCATAGTTTTAAAAGTAATTATTTGGTAATACTCGGTCCAGCATAATTTTCTGGAAAAAAGCTTCTATACTCCGTTTTTCGCGACTTTTCTGCCCCCTCCTTATTTTTATTATTTTTTCCGGACCGGTGAGACGCAGACAAGCGAACATTTTCACAGTGTTCCCAAACGAGCGGCAGCTGTGGTCAGTAGGCGTGGCTGACTGCAACAGCGGCACGGTTTATTGTAATAGGGGCGCGGGAATGAGAGTCAAGTTTTGTGGATTTAGTGGTTGGAAAAAGACCATTAAACGATGTTTTTCTTAGGTTCTCGCGAGTTTTCGAAGATTTTTTTAATGTGTATATAATTATAACGAACAAATTTAAATGAAAAAAAGAGACGAAAAAAAGTTTTTGCAAAACAAAATATCTCCCAAAAATGTCGTTTTTTTAGGAAAACTCGTCAAATCGAACTTCCAAAGGGAAAAATTGAGAAAAAAAGCTCAAAGCACTTCTCTTAAGAAATACCACTTGAACGTTTTAAAAACAAAAAAACAGATACATAATAGCTTGTGCGAATAAAGTTGTCACCCAAAATGACATTTTCAAGAATAAATTCGTCGAATACTGCCTCGAAAAAAATTTTTGAGAAAAAAATCTCACAGCGTTTCTCTTTAGAAAGTCCATTTGAAAAACTCTAAAACAAAAAAACAAACGAAATATCTTATGCGAAATAAGTTGTCATCAAAAATGTCATTTTAATGCAAATTTCTGTGACGAGAACAATCGAAAAATCACTTTCAAATCTCTGGAAAAACGCGATAAACACGTTTTAAGAACACATACAGCGTGAAAAAAATACGAAAGAATGGTAAAATACGCAAGAAAAAAAGAGAAAAAAACCGTATTAAAAAGTGAATGAAATTTTGTGGGGGTGACACGCGCCGCACCGCGTTGCGTTAGAAAAAACTCGCGTTTTCGCCCCATTGCGACGACCTTTTTTTTCGCTTGCCGCCGTCTCTTTTGGAACACTGTGTTTTCGGTTACGGTGTATTATGAAAAAAAAAAAGTCAAGTATTTGTTTTTTTTCAGCTCACCGGCCTTCACATCAACACTTCCTGCAAATTCCGTCAAAATCTGGAAGATATGGGCCAACTTTTGCAAGGTTTGATTTTGGTCGAAATTAGGAGTATATGATAGAAAAACTGAGAAATTTGAGCCGCGGAAAAAATGGCTCAGAAAAAATTAGCGAAAATTCGGGTTTTCAAGATGATATAGTGTATCGGAGTCCACAAGTCTTCTTACAAATCGTTTCAAAAAAAAAAAAGATCATTTTAGGAGAATTTTTGGTTTTTTTTCTAACTTAAAATCTCCAGAGTGGTCCCTATAGGGACGATCTTAGGAGCCCTTGGAAGGTACCCTCTAGGGGCCACTTTACCATCCCCTATAGGGGCCAGTAAAGCTTGCTAAAGTGGCCCCTCAAGGGGTTTTAGTTGTTGACCCCTATAGTCGCCACTTGAGCTTGCAAAAGAGGTTCAAGTTGGTGACCCCTACAGTGGCTGCTAAAGCTTGCAAAAGTGTTCCCTTTAGGGGATTCTATGCGAAGAAGCATTTCCATGCGAAAAGTTGAAAAAAAAATAACATTTTTGATTGAAATTAAACGACCCCTATAGGGACCACTTAAGCTAAAGTGACCAATCCTAAACCCCTATAGGGACCCCTTCTTAACAAGTTCTGCAGAGATCCCACGAGTAGAATAAAAATATGATTTTTTTGATTTTTCTCGGCGGCTATTTTTTTCACATGCTCAAAAAAATAGTCACAAAAAAATGATAAAAAAAGCTTAGAAAAAAATTATTTTTTTGTTTTCGATTAATTCTGTTTCCAGAACTTCCCCACATGACGGAGCTTCTGGAGCTGAAACTGACCGGCCGATGGAGCCGCCCGAGTTTGACGGAAATCATGGCCAAAGCGGTCGTTCAACTGAAAAAATTGAAGATTTTCTGGTTGACGTCAGTTTTTTTCATTAAGAAGATTTAGTAGAAAAAAATCTGAAAACCTCAAAAAAATTGAAAAAAAGGGAAAAAAAGTTTTTTTTAGGAAAAAAATTATAGATTTTCACCTTCAAAATGAGCGACTTTTACGATTTTTCAGGAAAATTTACGGTAATTTCTCAATTTTTTGCTTGCTAGGGTGATTTTGAGACCTTTAACTCAAGAAAAATCAAAGGAATGACCTTTTTTTCAACTTTTTTTGAAAAAAATTATAGCGAAAGTTTTTTTCAATGGTAATTATCACTGAAAAAAACTCGGAGAACGGTTTTTTTCAAAAAAATTTCCGATTTACCTCGACTTACTGCTTCAAAAAGACGAACTTGACTTTTTTTAGTTTTGGAAGATATTCGAGTTATTTTGTTGGCCATTAAGGGAAAAATTCAGATTCTCACCTTCAAAATGAACGATTTTTTTCAGGAAAAATTTACGGTAATTTCTCAGTTTTTTTGCTTGCTGGGAGGATTTTTAAGACGGTTAGCTTGAATATTTCTACTGGAAAAATTGAGAAAAATACACTTTTTTTGGACCTTTTAAAAAAATTTATAGTGGTAGTTGTTTTTTTCAATGGTAACTTATCACTGAAAAAAACTCGAAAAAAACTGTTTTTTTCAAAAAATTTCCGATTTACCTTACTTTACTGCTTCAAATGACGAATTTAACATTTTTTTAGTTTTGGAAAATATTCGGGAACATCTAGATTGGCATTTCTTAATTTTTATAAAAAGATCTACAAAATCGAAAAATTTAAGAAATTTTGCTTTTTAGGCACTTTTTTTTGTCTTTTCATTAAATAAAGGCTTAAGATTAAAAACTTCTTTTTAGTACTCAATTTTATTTTTAAATATCCTTAAAACCTTCAGATCGGACCAAAAAGTCGTCGAAGAACTCAACTACATGGTGGCCAATTTGCCGATTTCCCTCGAAGAAATCAATTTCGACGAGATTTCCATCAGACCTGAGTCGTTCATCGCAGCCAGCAAGGTACTGTAACAGTAGGCTTTCCTCTTGAATTACTGTAGTTACAGAAAGGCCTGAGCCCGAAGAAGTTGTCCCTGACGAGGAATCGGTACAAGCAAGCCGCGAAGTTCTTGGATTTGGTCAGTTTTGAGGGGAATTTTAGGAAGGGGGGGTTTAAGAGAAGGGGGGTTTTAAGAGAAAAAGGAGCCCGATTAAGAAATTTAAGAAAAAGACTCGGCTGTCGCCAGTCATGACCAGCCCATGTATGCTCAAGACTACCTTCCTGAGGTGGAAGCTCATTTTCGTAGGAAGGGGGGTTGTGCTGGAGATGGTACTACTTCTTGAGAGGGGGGGCGGATTTCAGTTTTATCACGATAACAGGGATAATCAGGGGGGATTGTGCTGGAGATCATGCTCTAAGTTTCAGAAGGAGAGGGACCACAAAAAAAGGATCTTTTTTTCTTTTTACGCCTTTGTACCCCTTTAGGAGGGGGAAAGGGGGTTGTGCTTGAGATCGTGCTACCTCTTGAAGGGGGAGGGGGTAGCGGAGTTCCCTCACGAAAAACAGTGATGATCAGTGGGCTCTTTCTAGTTACATATCCATCCTTGTGTGTGACGGCGGCAGGGAGGGGGAGAATTTCCTTTCCGAAATTCCTTAAAACCCCTGGTCGCGACGGGAATCGAACTTGTAATCCTTAGGACCGAAAACACCTAAAAAAGAAACCATAGAATAAATGACCGATTCCAGGTGCCCACCTACTTCCCGCTGCTGGAAGAACTCCGAACCGACTGTCTGGGCTCGGTGACTTTCCTCCGTCGGATGTCTGCCATGCGGAATCTGTCTATTCTCGAATTCACTACCAAGGAATTCGTGACCGCCGCTTTGGAACGAGAAGTGGGAGATTTTCAGATCTTGTAGGAAAAAGAGACGGAAAAAATGTATTTTCAAAGTTTTGTAAAGGAGAAATGGATACTGAAGATGTAGATTAATGAAAACTAAACCTTAAAAAGAATTTAGGCGAGTTTTTGACCACAGGAACAAGAATTTGGAGTTTTTGAGATATTTATCAATGAAAAATGAGTGAAGAAAAGATTTTTGGCAAGTTTCCAAGCTAAAATTGAAGATAGGAATGACTCAGGCCCCCTTATCGTTCCAAATAAGTGCTGAAACTGAGCAAAAATGTTTCGCAATATGACTTGGGTGGCACAAAATGAAAACTATGGCTTCAGAACGTCTAAACCTCCAATTTTAGCACAGTATTTCGTGGTATTTGTTTCAAGCCAGGGTTGAATGAACTATAATTGAAAAGTTGGTCAAAAGCGTCAGAAAAAAAAAAGTTGAAAAGATAAAAATTAGAATAAGTTCAAAAAAACTTCTTAGGAACTCCAGAGTTGTCCCTATAGGGTCGACCTTATTGACCCTTGAAGGTCCCCCTCTAGGGACCACGTTTAGCTTCCCCCTATAGCACAGAACTTGCTAAAGTGGTCACTCTAGGGGTTTAGTTCAAAATAAAATAGCGGGAGTGAATTTCAACTTTCAATCCAGGACAAAAACTTATAAGATCCCTATAGGGACCACTTAGAGACTTAGAAAACGAAATTATATCAAAAATCGTGTGAAATTGGTTCAAAAAAACTTCGAAGACCACTATAGGGACCACTTGAGCTTTTAAAGCTAGAGTTCAGACCCTAAACTCCTCCAGGGACCACTTTTTGTCCTTTTGTAGAGGATTTGTTCCCTAACCCTCTAGGGACCACTCTTGTAAGTTTTATGTATCCTTTTCTCTCCATTGAGAGAGAAGAGAGCGCAGACATGTTAGAGACGGGGAAAATGAAATTTTATCGCAAAGCCGTGTCAATTTAATTCAAAAAAAAACTTCGAAGACCACTATAGTTACCACTTGAGCTTTATAAACTTAAAGGTCAGACCCTAAACCCTTCTAGGGCTTACTATTTTGTCCTCTTGTAGGGGATTTTCATCCTAACTCCTCTATGGACCACTCTGGCGTTCCTAAGTGTTTTGTATCCTCTTTTTTTCTGACCTTATCACTGAGAGAGAAGAGAGCGCAGACAGGTCAGAGTTGTGAAGAATGAAGTTTTATCGAAAAATCGTTAAATTTAATTCAAAAAAAAAACTTTAGTGACCACTATAGGGACCACTTGAGCTTTTAAAGGCTCAGGGGTCCGACGCTGAACCCCTCTAGGGACTACTATTTTGTCCTCTTGTAGAGGATTTTCATCCTAATCCCTATAGGGACCCCTCTGGCGTTTCTAAGCTCTCTGCGCCCTCTTTTTCCCTGTCAGTGAGAGGGAAGAGAGCGCAGGCAAGTTAGGGACGTAGAAAATAAAGTTTTATCGAAAAATCGTTAAATTTAATTCAAAAAAAAAACTTTATTGAACACTATAGGGACCACTTGAGCTTTATAAGCTTAGGGATCAGACTCTAAAATCCTATAGGGACCACTCTGGCGTTCCTAAACTCTCTGCGCCCTCTTTTCTCTCGTTCTCGCGCACTCTTTTCACTGTCAGTGAGAGAGAAGAGAGTGCAGACAGGTCAGAGATGTAGAGAATGAAGTCTTACCGTATAATTTTACAGCTGAGACTTGTCTTCCACTACGTCAAATGCGAACGTCTCTATTACCGATGGAACGTCACTCGTTTGTTCTTGAAATATAGGTAAACTCCAAAAAATCCAATGGAAAAGGAAGGAAAAAAAGCGATTTCAGGACCAGTTCGGACTTTGGGATTTTCGACCGTAATGAGCGGGAGAAGCACGAGAAAAGACTGAACGAGCTCTTCAGCCAAACTGTCCATCCGCCCTGCCGAGTCAAAGACGATTGGCATTCGAGTAGTAGTAGTAATTGACTGGTTTTTCTTCCCTCTAGGGACCACTTGTAGCGTTTTCCTCATAACTATGACTCATCTGTTGTTTTTTCCATTTGACTGCACTCTATTGACTACTTGGAGTCTCTTCTGCCCTTTAGTGACCACTTGGATTTTTTTTCCTGCTCTTTAGAGGCCACTTGAAGTTTTTTCTGCTCTTAAGTGGTCACTTGGACATTTTTTGATTCTTTGTGATTGCTTGGATCTTTTTCCTGCACTTAAGTGACCCCTTGAAACCTTTTGCGCCTTTCAGTGACCACTCGTATCTTTCCCCTGCTTTTTATTGGCCACTTAAAGGTTTTTCTCCATTTTCATGTCTACTTAAAGTCTTTTCTGCTCTTTAGTGATTACTTGGACTTTTTTCCTACTCTTAAGTGGTCACTTGAAAATTTTTCTGCTCTTTAGTGGTCACTTAAAGTCTCTTCTGCTCTTTAGTGGCCACTTGGTGTCTTTTCTTCTCTTCAGTGACCCCTTGAAACCTCCGTCCCTTTAGTGGCCCCTATATGTCTTATTTGCTTTGTAGCGGTCCCTCGGACATTTTTCCTGCTCTTAAGTGGTCACTTTGAATCTGTTCTGATCTTTAGTGATCCCTTGAAGTCATTTTGCTCTTTAGGGACCACTTGAACATTTTTCTGCTCTTAAATGACTACTTCAAGTCTGTTCACCCCTCTAGTGGCCCCTTGAAGTCATTTTGCTCTTTAGTGGTCCCTTGGACAATTTTCTGAGCTTCATCGACCACTAACAGCCTTCTCTGCACTTAAGTGACCACTTGGAGCCTTTTTACCTTTAAGTGACCACTTAAATATTTTTTTTCCTTCTTTCAGTGACCGCTTCAAACATCTTGAAGTGACTAATTTTTTTTCAATGCTCCGGAATCTCATATTTAGATATCGATTCATTTTGTATGTACCCTTTTTTCTAGAAAACAGTTTCAAAATTTTCCCTGTCCCTTAAAATTGTATCCTGTTGCCTTCTTTCAGCTTTATTTTAATTTCTCAGGATCCCTCCCTTTTCGCCTTTCAGATCATAATCAGTAGCTTTAAAAAAATTTTTTTAAAAAATGTTGAAAAAAATTAAGCCGAAAAAAATAGCCGCCAAGGTTGGGTCGTTTGCGCTCCATTGATAAAAAAATTGAATTTTTTTCGATTTTCAGAGCCATTTTTTTCAAAATAGAGCCTGAGTGTTTCAAAAATCCTTCAAAAAAACGGATTGGAATGCTCAACTTTGAAAATTTCTCAATGGAGCGCATTTTTCCCACAAAAAGGGCCATTTTTGAGGCTATTTTTTCAAATTTATTTTTTTTCATTTTCATTATCCTTTACAATACAACTTACATGCTCATTTTCTTTTTCCCATCATTTCTTTTCATTTTATTTATTTAGTTTTTTTCAAGTTTTTTCTCGAAACTGTACTTTTTCTCAGCAAAAAAGCTCTCTTCGATTTTTCATTTTTTTTTTAATTTTTTTATTCTTCAAGGTCCCAGATGACAGTCTCTTTCATGAAGGATTTCTTCTCTGACCCTAAAATGACCCCTTGGAATTTTTTTTTCCTCAAGCGATTATTTGTAATTTTCTCGATCATTTATGGTCCTAGCGAGTTTTTTCATCACTCAAGTGGCCACTAGGACCATTTTATGTTCTTTTTTTCTCGCATTTATTGATTTTTTTTTTTGCTATCCCGTCTCATTATGCGCCCAATTGAAGCATTGAGTGACCCCTTAAGAGCCCATTTATTGCAATCATTTTTCACAAAACCAAAAAAAAATGAAGGTAATAAAGGTTTTCAGTGTTGATAACGTGGTAGTGAGGTAAAAAAAAACAAAATTAAAGGGAAAAAGCGAAAAAATCAGGAATTAAAAAAAAAACAATTTAATTTATCCTCAAGTGAATATGTTCAAAAACTCATAACTTTTTTTGTAGGAAAATCGAGATTTTCGCACTAAAATGTCCGTAATGATGCGTTTTACAATATTATAACAGTTATTCTCACGGAAAGTCTTCGGAAAAAGGTTGCCAAAGTCGGAAGCTACCAATTTAACGCATCGAAATGGAGAAAAAAATGATGAAATATTTCGGTTTTAGAACAAAAAAATGACATTTTTTTCTTACAAGCCATTTTCGAAGAAATCTAGAAATTTCAAGATTTCAGCTTCTTAAAAAAACTGGTTCGAAAAAAATACTTCAAAAAAATAAAAATAATACAAAAAAATCCAAATATGACCAGAAAAATAAAAAAATTTTTAGTGATAATTATACTACATTTCAACTCATAAAAAGCCAAAAATCGTTCAATTTTTGACTCGGAGACCCAAAAAATGGCAAAACCTCAAGTTTATCGAGAAAAATAACCTTGAACCGTTTTTCTAAACCCCTTTGATCATTGCCAAAGAAGGAAATGCGGAAAACGGGTGCAAAATGGCCGCTGAAAGGGTTCCGTTTTGCGGCCTTTATTGAGCCTTTCTTTTTTGGAAGCCTCAAAAAGGGTGCTGGGAACAATACAAGAGAAGTATGAATCTGTGAAGAGAATTGACAGCGGAACAGAGAGGGCTTCTCTACACTGCTTTTAACACATAGAAATTCATGAGATCAGATGAGAAGCCAGTTTTTGGAGCCAATTTAGAAATGAATTTATGAATGTTGAGAGGAGAAAAAAATCAGGATGAACAGAAAAATGGTTTTGCCGGTTGGAAAAAAATGGAAGGAATTTCAAAAATTATTTGAGTTGCGGTTAGTAGAAAAAAACGTCAAGAAAGGCAGATGACTTATCAATGTTGGACATACAATAAGTGCCTTATCGAGAAAAAAATAACCTTGAACCGTTTTTTTCTAAACCCCTTTGATCATTGCCAAAGTAGGAAATGCGGAAAACAGGGTGCAAAATGGCCGCTGAAAGGGTTCCGTTTTGCGGCCTTTATTGAGCCTTTCTTTTTTTGGAAGCCTCAAAAAAGGGTGCTGAAAGGCTCGGCCATTGATGATTTCCGATTTTATTACTGTAGCCCATTTTTGGTGCATACACAGTCACTTCTCAATACAAAAAGTTTGTGGCACTCAAAAAGGGTCCAAAAAAAGGGTGGATAAAGGCCGATGAAAGGACGGAAAAAAAGGCTGTATAAAGGGAACCGTTTAGGAACAATCAATGGGAACCTTTTTGCACCCATAACGGACGCTCAAAGGGTCCTTCCGACTTTGCCTATGAATTATCATTAAATAAGAAGAAAAAAATCCAATTATGAATTAAAAAAATTATAACTTCCACTTTTTCCTATATTTCAAATGAGCAGGTGAGAATAAAGAAATTAAGCGTCCGAAAAAAACTCATTTTTTTATAATTTTAAAGTTGAATATTTATTTCACTCCAATACATAAAATAACATGAGCTATAAAGAAAGAGGCAAAGTTGGGCAAGAATTGTATGGGAGTGAAATGAGCACCGGTTTTAATACGCCCTCACGAGCGAATTTACCGGTATAGGGAATAGAACACGTAGAAGGATTTTTGATCACAGTAGACGTAAGGGAATGTTGGAAAAGAGTTCTTCGTTGCTTAGCGAGTCGAGAAACTTTCTGAAACGGGTGGTAGACGTGTTAGGGTTGAATCTTGAGCAGAGTCTATTCCAAAGAGGAATGACAGTGCTAAAAAAACTATTAAATCGGGAACCAGTCTGAATCAAACGAAAAGGATACCGAGGTGAACGACTTCTACTGAAAAACTTTTCTGCGCTAGGAAAGTGGTAAATGCCCAGGACGATTTTTTGAAGCGTTACTAGAGCAATAGAAGTTCTCCTACGGAAAACATGAGTAGAACCGAGTACATCAAGGCGATGGGAGTATGTGTCAAAGGATTTATTACGTCTCATGAAAAACTTGCCTAGTATAATGACGGTAAGGTTTTTCAAGGAGGACGGAAAGTTCTGAATTTATAGGCGGTGAGAAGATTTCAGAGCAATAGTCAAGATAGGGTCTAGCGTACATGTTGAATAGTAAATTATACTGCTGGATGTTCAAGTGAGCAAAAGCTTTGAGCAGCTGTTTAGATTTGAGAGTGGCAATGTTGACTACATGATTAATGTGAGGGCTGAAACACAAATTTTTATCGATAAGGAGACCGAGGTCTCTGACAACAGTTTCAGATCGAATAGGTGAGCCATTAACATTGTAAACATGTTCAGGATTGTTTCTGCCTAGATGAAGAACAACAGTTTTATTGGCCGCAACTGGGAGGCCCCAAGTTTTGGACCAATCGAGCAATCTATTTATACTGTCTTGGATAGCATCAGGGTTATCTGAAGAGATTTTCAAGTCATCGGCGAACAAATATGAAGTAACGGAAGAATCAAAGATATCTGGGAGGTCGTTGACAAAAATTAGGAAAAGAAGCGGGCCAGTGACAGTGCCTTGTAAGACTCCTGAGACCACGTTGAAGCTATCATCAGAAGCAAGACCATCAATTAAAAATCTTAGATGTGCGGCCAGAGAGGAAAGTTTTAAAACCAATTGACCATAAGACTATTGAATCCGAAAGTTTCTAGTTTGGCGATAAGAAGGTTGTGTGGGACATAATCAAAAAGCTTTCATGAAATCAAAAATAAACGACATCGATTGGTAATCCCCTACTAATAGAAAGTTTCCAGTTTGTAACAGAGTCAAGGAGAGCAAGTGTACAACTTCGATTGTTGAGAAAACCAAACTGACGGGAAGAAAATTTGAGTTTGAAGCTTGATTTTATGTGAGTGGCAATTATTCGCTCCATAAGTCTTGCCAGAGGATGGGTTAGACTTATAGGTCTATAATTTTCAGGATCAGCCTTTTTTCCTTTTTTATAAATTGGAACAATGTATGAGAGTTTCCAAGATTGGGGAACAATACAAGAGAAGTATGAATCTGTGAAGAGAATTGACAGCGGAACAGAGAGGGCTTCTCTACACTGCTTTAACACATAGAAATTCATGAGATCAGATGAGAAGCCAGTTTTTGGAGCCAATTTAGAAATGAATTTATGAATGTTGAGAGGAGAAAAATCAGGATGAACAGAAAATGGTTTGCCGGTTGGAAAAATGGAAGGAATTTCAAAATTATTTGAGTTGCGGTTAGTAGAAAAAACGTCAAGAAAGGCAGATGACTTATCAATGTTGGACATACAATAAGTGCCTTATCGAGAAAAATAACCTTGAACCGTTTTTCTAAACCCCTTTGATCATTGCCAAAGTAGGAAATGCGGAAAACGGGTGCAAAATGGCCGCTGAAAGGGTTCCGTTTTGCGGCCTTTATTGAGCCTTTCTTTTTTGGAAGCCTCAAAAAGGGTGCTGAAAGGCTCGGCCATTGATGATTTCCGATTTTATTACTGTAGCCCATTTTGGTGCATACACAGTCACTTCTCAATACAAAAAGTTTGTGGCACTCAAAAGGGTCCAAAAAGGGTGGATAAAGGCCGATGAAAGGACGGAAAAAGGCTGTATAAAGGGAACCGTTTAGGAACAATCAATGGGAACCTTTTTGCACCCATAACGGACGCTCAAAGGGGTCCTTCCGACTTTGCCTATGAATTATCATTAAATAAGAAGAAAAAAATCCAATTATGAATTAAAAAAATTATAATTTCCACTTTTTTTCCTATATTTCAAATGAGCAGGTGAGAATAAAGAAATTAAGCGTCCGAAAAAAACTCATTTTTTTATAATTTTAAAGTGAAACTTAACATTCCCTGGTCGGTATGACACGATCTTTTTTTAAATTCTTTTTTTGATGAAACAATTTTTTTCAAAAACCGTGAAAAAAAGTACCCAAATTTGAGGTTCAGAAAAATCCCTATTTTTTTGAGAAAAATGAAGACGAAACCTCGTTATTAATGCTTCTCATGTGATAATTTGAAGCTTTTTTTGGTGAAATTAATTTTTTTAAGCTTGAAGAAAAAAACCCAAATTCGATCGAAGTTCAAAAATAAGAAGAAAAATTCCAATCATAAATGGAAAAATAATAACCTCGACTTTTTTTCATTCATTCCAAATTAGCAGAGGAAAAAAAGGAGCAGAAACGTCCAAAAAGAAAAATTTCATTTCTTATAATTTCCTATTGAAACGTAACATTTCCTGGTCGCTATAAAACGGTCTTTTTTCGGATTAGGTTCAGATTTTTTCTTCTTCAAATCTTATACATTTCTCTACGTCAATGATACCAAACTGAGGCCTTTCAATGACTAAAGTCAATTTATTATATTCATTCTCGAAAAAAAAGGGGATAATAAAGAAATTCAATGTTGAGAACATGGCAGTGAGGTAAAAAAAGCAGTAGAATCGAAAATAGATATTTTTTTTCAAAACTGAAGAGATCTTCGGGGGCTGAGCTGCTCCTTCGTCGTACTCTCTGAAAAATTCATTTTGATTATTTTTTTTTCTTGATCCCTCAAGTGGTCATTCAAAATTATTGGTGTGTTTTTCGAAAAAAAGGCCTTGGTTCTTCGAAATTGAATAAAATTATTCTTTTTTTAAATATTGTAGAAGAAAAAGTTCTCTATTTGCCGATTGTACCTTCTTAAGTGATCACTTCAGAATATTCCAAATCCATTTTTATAAGATGCTCAAGTGCTTTTTTTCCTTTAAGGGACCTCTTGAGAAGTCTTACAAGTTTCCAGGGTCCCCTTAAGAGGAAAAGTTGTTCTAGTGCTTACTCCTCTCTTCTTAAGTGACCACTTCAGTATTTTTTCCGAGTTCCTTTTTTATAAGATGCTCAAGTGCTGATTTATAATAGTTCTAGCTTTTTTTTCCATCAAAGGGACCCCTTAAGAAGCCTTACAAATTTCCAGGGTCCATTTGAGGGAAAAAGCTTTTCTGGTGCTGACTCCAACGTTTCTAGGCTCTCTTCTTAAGTGACCACTTCAGAATTTTTTCGAACCCCATTTTTTCTAAGATGCTCAGGTGCTGAATTATGATAGCGCTGGCTTTTTTCTTTGAAGGGACCGCTTAAGGAGCTTTACGCGTTTCCAGGGTCCCCTTGAGGGAAAAAATTTTTCTAGTGCTTACTCCTCTCTTCTTAAGTGACCACTTCAGAATTTTTCCGAATCCCATTTTTATAAGATGCTCAGGTGCTGAACTATGATAGTTCTAGCTTTTTTTGCCTTTAAGGGACCTCTTGAGAAGTCTTACAAGTTTCTAGGCTCCACTTGAGGGAAAATTTTTTTCTAGTGCCCATTGCACCATTTCCTGGCCCTCTTCTTAAGCGACCACTTCAGAAAATTTGTTCATTTTATAAGATGCTCAGGTGCTTTTTCCTTGAAGGGATCCCTTAAGAAGTTTCACAAGTTTCTAGGCTCCACTTAAGAGGAAAAGTTGTTCTAGTGCTGACTCCAACGTTTCTAGCCTCTCTTCTTAAGTGACCACTTCAATTTTCCGAACCCCATTTTTATAAGATGCTCAGGTGCTTTTTCCCTTGAAGGGATCCCTTAAGAAGTTTCACAAGTTTCTAAGCTCCCCTCAAGTGAAATTTTGAAGGTCCCTCTTAAGTGATGACTCAAAAATCTTGTCAAAAAAAGAGTAATTTTATTAAAATTTTGATTCCTTAAGGGAAAAAACAGATTAAATTGAAAACTCACAACGGAAAAAGCTTTGGCCAAGATTTGATTCGATAAAGCGTCGATCCGCATCACCTTTTGGCCCATACGATGCTTGTAATCTCCGGATTTTTGTATATTTCTGAAAAATTTTTGATCTCAATAGTGATTTTCTTATCTAGAAGCTTTAGGAATTCCAATCTATTCTAAAAAACCGCTTTTCAAAATTCGAATTTTGATAAAAATGTAGCCAATTTCGCAAAGTCATGATTTTCATTTATTACAGAACCCGATGAGCTTCCTTTCGATACGCGCGACCTTTCTCTGTCTATGCGCCTTTAATAACACAGAGTGTTGAAGCCTAATTAAAGGCGCAGGCACAGAAACAAGCCGAGCCAAAAGAAGGGAGAGCTTCGGACCGTCTCTGTGCATGCGCCTTTAAAAAACGAACAGACGTTTTGAGGTAAAGTTAAAGGCGCGTCCAAGGGAAAGTTTCGGCCTGTCTTTAAGCATGCTCCTTTAATAAAGCGGGGTGTTCTGAAGCCAAATTAAAGGCGCATCCAAGTGAATTTTCCGACCTTCCTCTGTGCATGCGCCTTTAAAAAAGAAGTTTTTAGGCAAATTCAAAGGCTCGGGAAGTTTCGGCCTGTCTCTGTACATGCGCCTTTAATAATACGAAAGTTTTGAGGCCAAATTAAAAGCGCATTTAAAGGGGAAAGTTTCTGACCTGTCTCTCTCGATGCGCCTTTAAAAAAACAAAGTTTCGAGGTCGATTTAAAGGCGCATGAAGTTTCGGCCTGTCTCTGTGCACGCGCCTTTAATGAAACAGAACTTCTGAGGTCAAATCAAAGGCGCATCCCAATGGAGCTTTTGGGTTTTCACTGTGCATGCGCCTTTAATAAAGTGGGGTGTTCTGAGGCAAAATTAAAGGCGCATCCAGGGGAATATTTCGGCCTGTCTTTGGGCATGCGCCTTTAATGAGTTTTTTTTAAATGAGAAACAGAGTTTTGAAGCCTAATTATAGGCGCATGAACAGATACGGACCGCGCGCATTAAAGGGAGATGTTCTACAGCTCAGAGGAAAAAGCTGGCCCGGAATAACTTCAAAAAAATCGTTCAGTTATGACCAATAAGGTCCAAATTTCCAACACCTTTTGGTCAGATCCCGGATTTCCTGTTCACTGAAGGCACAAATGTTCGTCGAATCCGTGAAAAGGACATTCCTGACGTTGGTCACGTGTTGAGCTCCAACCACGACGGCTCTTGCGGCTTCCTAGAAAAAAATGAAAAAGTTTCTAAAAACATTTTTTTTTCATTTTTATAATGATGGGCATGGTTCAAGAGGCCTTAAAAAAACAAAATATTCTTTTTTTCTTCTAAAAAAGGTACAAAAAGGTTCTTTTTTCAGGAAAAAAAGGACCTCCTTTTCTGGAAATTTTCATATGCTTTCGGAGACAAAAAATCATGAAATTCGGTCATTCTCAAGCTCACCCTTTTCTGAGCTTCAAGTTCAGATCTTCTATTTGAAGCCATCCGTATCAATTGTTGTCGTAGCTGCATCCGACGAATGAATTCCGGCTTATTCTGCTCCAGAAACAGCTAAAATGAGCAATACTTAGCAATGTTAAAATTCGAAATTATTTTGACATTAGTCATCTCTACAGAGGTTAGAGGCAGAGAGACAGAAGTTCCCCTAAAGACGTCACTTTGGGCAAGTTTTAGTGGCCCCTATAGGTGAATGAAGTGACCCCTAGAGGGAAAGGGCCCCTAAGGTCGCCCTTCGGCGTCCCATTGGAAATTACACAATAACCTCATTTTACTGTTTTTCGCCTTCAAAAAAGATTGAACTTTCTTTTTTTTACCAATAAGTCAAAACTTTCGGCTTTAAAAAATGCTAGAATGGGATGCAATGGAACGCTAACATGAGCAATATATAGAAATTTGAGACTACCGAAAAAAATGAACAGTAAACAGGTCATTAGAGAAATCACCCAATGAAAAAAAATTTTTAAAGGCGCATGACAAAATCCAGGTTTTACCGCCCTGCGCCTTTAAATTTCAACTGTCTATCGATACAGTAACTACCTCTAGAAATAATTACAGTACCCCATAAGATCAATTACAGTAACCCCACCGTAATCCTCACCCTAACTGGACTGGCTTGAGCCCAAGTCGAATCTCGGTTGACCGAATTCCCGAGCGCTTCGATTTGAACTTGGCCTGGTAAATTTTGTGGTGACGTCACGGCTACAGTACGCCGCCGCGGGATCGTGGCGGGACCTTCGTCCAATAAATGTCGTTCGCGCGCCTTTAAATTGCGATTTTTTGAGGAAAAGGCAATTTTAGGGGGTTACGGTAGGAATAATTCAGCTGTACATTCATGAAAAAGGGTCCTGTAGGTCTATCCCAGCTTAGAAGAGCGAACATTTTTTGTAAATTTACAGTTTCTATGGGATACTGTAGCTTTTCCTCACTACCGTAACCTAAACAACTTCATCAAATTACATCTTAAAAAGTAAAAATATGGTTACTGTAGGTACCGTAACCAGCAAAACACGAAATTACCTCCAAAAAAAGCTATTCATTTGCTTCTAGAAGGAATCAGTTCAGAATTCCTTTAAATTCTAGAAATTACTGTAGCTCCTTTTCTACCGTAACCCTGAGAATCCCACCACGAACCTCTCGCCGTCTGTCGGCTCTCAATTCGCTCACTATTTCTTCCCGCCGCTGTTGACTGATCCTCGACCTGGCCGGTTGAATATTTCGAGCGCTTGGAGGCTGTAGAACAAAATATGTACAGGTAAATCGAAGCTACAGTATGCCTACAATTTGATTTGAGCCTGGGGCTGGCCGAGGCAGAAATAGTGCTGGAGAGGAGTCGGATGAGGCGTGGGAGGCTTCTAAAAATCTGCTTATTCGAAATTCGGTCCATCTGCGCCTTTAAAAAAATTCAGAACATTTTGAAATTTTTATAAAGGCGCAGGGCGGAGCTAAAAAAAATTTTCAAAAGTTTCCTTTTTTCTTACTGATAATCAGAACCAGGTAAACATAACTCTTGAATTTTGTGGAGCCTATTTTTTTTTTTGGACTGCCTGCGCCTTCAAATTTTATGAAGGAAAATGTCTAAACCTCTCTTTTTCGCACACTATTTCTCTGAATGTTCTCTCAAGACTTGGGAAAATGATTTATAAAGTTTTTTTACAATACCTTTTTTTCAATATTGGCCTTGAAAAACCTCAAAAAAAGTTTTTCCCGCCAAAAACTTTAAATCCATTTTTCCTATGCTCCTTTAAGAAAAATTTCTCACTCAAACAGAAAAAAATTATTTTTTTCACCTCCCTGGACGTCGTAAAAAGATTCCTTCGTGGCCTTGGGGCCGTTGGTCCATTCGTGGGGGTTCTCTGAAAATTTTAAACTTACTGATTTTTTTTTTCCAATGAAGCTAATTCCATATCTAAACTCTTAAAAAAAAATTTCTAAAAATCTTGGAAAGTTTTTTTGAAGTTTTTTCTAGTATTTTTTCAATTGAAGAACAATTTTGAATAGGAAAACCTGAGGATCAGAATTGGAAGAACTCCTCGGCGTCGTCACGTCTTCCGTCAGACGACGTGAAGAAGAAGACGAGGATTCTCGTTTGCTCGGCGTGACCCTTTGGATCGGCACCACGCTGGCGGAAGACCTCTCCAAGTTTTGAGAGTCCGAACTTTCCACCTCGCTCAGCCTTCAAAATGAACACTTAAGGGATTTGAAAACAGGTTTTGAAGCAGAAAAACTTCATCTTGTAGGGCTTTTCATTGTTCGGACATTGGTAACGGAAGAGAACGTTTCTGAGCATTCTAGGGATCACTTAAGGGTTCTGACGCTACTAAAGTGGTCTCTAGGATTGCTGTGAAGTGTCGGTAACGGAAGAGAACGTTTCTGAGCATTCTAGGGATCACTTAAGGGTTCTAAAGCTACTAAAGTAGTCTCTAGGATTGCCGTGAAGTGTCGGTAACGGAAGAGAACGTTTCTGAGCATTCTAGGGATCACTTAAGGGTTCTAAAGCTACTAAAGTAGTCTCTAGGATTGCCGTGAAGTGTCGGTAACGGAAGAGAACGTTCCTGAGAATTCTAGGGATCGCTTAAAGGTTCTGACGCTACTAAAGTGGCCTCTAGGATTGCTGTGAAGTGTCGGTAACGGAAGAGAACGTTTCTGAGCATTCTAGGGATCACTTAAGGGTTCTAAAGCTACTAAAGTGGTCTCTAGGATTGCCGTGAAGTGTCGGTAACGGAAGAGAACGTTTCTGAGCATTCTAGGGATCACTTAAGGGTTCTAAAGCTACTAAAGTAGTCTCTAGGATTGCCGTGAAGTGTCGGTAACGGAAGAGAACGTTTCTGAGCATTCTAGGGATCACTTAAGGGTTCTAAAGCTACTAAAGTAGTCTCTAGGATTGCCGTGAAGTGTCGGTAACGGAAGAGAACGTTCCTGAGCATCTCTAGGGATCACTTAAAAGGGCTCACACTACTAAAGTGGCCCCTAGAAATCCTTCAATTCGCGTTACCAACGTCCGATTTTCTTTAAAGTTCGGCTGGTTCTTGAAAAAATCGAAAAAAATGCTTTCAAAGCTCATTTATACCAAAAACGAAGATTTGGTTCTCAAAGAGTACATTTTTAAAGCGCAATCGTGAAAATTACGAATTTTGAAACTTGACAAAATTTCCAAAGCAAGAAAGGCACTCAAAAGATGACGAAAATTCAAGAAGTTTTATCTTTTTTTTCAGGTAAAAAATCCGATCGACTTTTTTTTGAAGTTGAACTTCAGAACTTCAGAGTATTCCCTATAGGGGCAACCTAAGAGGTGATTGAAGGTTCCCCTCTAGGGACCACTTCACCAACCACTATAGGGGCACTAACTAGTAAGGCTCGCAAAAGAGGTCACCTTAGAAGAGTATGCTATAAACTCTATGAGAGGCATTTACATGCGGAAAAATCAACAATATGGCGTAAACTTTAAGAAATTGAAACACCACTATAGGGACCACTTAAGCTTAAATGGCTTACGACTAATGACAAGTACGACTCAGAAGCGCCAGAGTGATCCCTAAAGGGGCAAGCTCCAAGAACTTTGAAGGTTCCTCTCTAGGGACCACTTAATCGCCCCTAGAGCTTGAATAGTGGCCCCTATGGGGTTTCAAGCTAGTGGCCACTCTAGGGGAGCGTGCTAGTGGTCCCTATACGTTTTATTAACATTCGAATCATGGAAAAAAGCCCAAACTCCGGGCCTAGACCCTAAAACCCTATAGTGACCACTTTTGTGATCCCTAGAGCTTGCATAGTGGCCCCTATAGGGGTTTTGAGTGGTGGCCACTCTAGGGGAGCATTCTAGTGGTCCATATACGTCTTATTAACATTCGAATCATGGAAAAAAGGGCACAGCAGACCCTAAACCCTATAGTGACCACTTTTCTGACCCCTAGAGAGGCTGCTTTTTCCTACAACTGTAGGGACCACTCTGGCGTTCCTAAGAAGCTGAAAAGCTCAAGTTTTCTCTCCCAAATACGAAATTTATACTGAAAAATCTACAAAATAAAATTTTTAATATTCAAAAAAAAAACTGAAAACTAACGAATTCATCCTCCGGATCACTTCCATCAATTCTTTTATCTTCTTTCCCTGTTTCTCAATAGTCTCCTTCAATTGAAAATTCTCCATTTGAAGCCTCTCGATTTCCCGCGTCTTTGGCGAACCTGAAAAATAATTATCAGTGGAGCTAATTTGCTATTTTTACCTGGTTCTAACCGATTTCGATTCTCGATATCTTCCATGGAGACGTTTAGCTGTTCAGGTGGTCTTAAAAATTGGATTTTTGAAGGATTTTTTAGGGATTTTTCACCTTGATCCTTTCCTTTTGGCTCTGGAAGAGGCTGGTCGGTATAAGCTCCTGGAAATTTTTATTTATATTTTCAATAAAAACTTTTTTTAGCAATGCTTTTTATGGCTGTTCGGAAAAACAAAAAGGAATTTTTTTCAAATAGAAAGGTTAAAAAAATTAAGTTAAAAAAAGCCTTGAATTCACAAATTAGTAAGGAAAAATGTCGTTAGGGTTCATATTTCCATAGAGAAATTTTAAGAATGAATGAAATTTTCAGGAGGAAAAATCAAGAATTCTGAGGCTTCCAAACTTTGTAGTGCTAGTAAATTGGTACAAAATAATAAAGACTGCTTAAAAATTCTGGTTCTTAAAGGCGCAGACCAAAAATAATGCTGAATGCGGCTCTTCTCTTTGAGACCCTAATCAAATTTATCATGCTGCTTTCAAATTTTAGGATTGCAAAAGATTTTTTACGGGTCGAGATTTTTTTTTAAGGTCTTCAGAAAATTTTTATTCAATGACAAGTTCAAAATTCCCTTAATTTACCAAAAAAAAGTTCAAAAAGAGTATAAATTCAGAAAAATCGTCACGAAACGAACCAAACACGACAGCCGGGATCGGAAATGCGCGGCGAGCGATGGAGGCTCATTTGACCCTGGCGATTTTGAGCCCCAGCTGAAATTACCATGGTGACCACGATCCATATAGCGGCGAGGACAGATGTCAACCGCTAATTACCCCGGCTTCAAGGCCTTTTTGGGCCGCGTAAACAACAATAGTTCCAGAAAAAACAGGAAACACAGGAAATTGCTTTGTAAACAAGTTTTTACTGTTCAAAATGATCGGAATGATGGCTTTTTGAGTGTTTTGGAACGTTCCGAGCAAACTTTCAAAAATAAACAACACTTTTGATCCAAAACTCCGCTTATAAGAATTCAGGAAGAGAAGAAAGTAAACTTTTTACGGAAGATAGAAGGTTTTCATTTTTTTACCTCCCAACAGCTCAAAGAAATTCTTCAAGAAAAGCTTCCTATTTTGGATGAATTTCTTCTCGAAGACTACCTTAAGCTTCCCAACATGCCCAAAAACATGGAAAACACTCGCAATCTTTGATAGAAGCACAAAAATTGAGCCAAAAATTAAAAAGAAAAAGGAAAAAAATGCAAAAATTCGAACTGCGCGCCGTTGATATCATGTGACTTGAGTAGACGGTGTCTGCAGAAAATGCATTTTCAACACGCCTATTTTAAAAAAATTTTTAATAAAAAAATTCATTTTTTTCTCATTTCCTGTTGTCGCCTTGTTGCTTTTCTCAAATTTAAACGTTGTAGGTATGAGAAAGAAGCTATGAGATGTCGTTCCACAAAAAGAAATTCACGTTCGACGACCCAGAAGACAGTTATTGGAACGAGAGCGATTCGAACAATTCCTCGCTTTTCGACGATTTGCAATCCAAACAAGTTATTTATCCATCATTCTTGTTGGGACTTTGATGGAGTAGTTTAGTTACAAGCCCGAGCCGCCGTTGACAACCTCTTCGGGCAGGAAGATGCGGTAGCCGTTCCGAAATTCCCGAAAAGCAACTTGACGACACCTGTTCCCAATGATGTTCAGCTTTCTAGGTTGAAGGAAATACCGTAAATGAAAAGAATTATGATTTTCAGTGCATCACCAAAAGTTTCCGGGAAACTGGTCGATGATTTTTTGAACAACCGCTTGGCGGAGGTGAAATTGGTCGGTTTAATAAGTGAAAAAAGACCTTTTTTTAACGTTTCTTGAAGTTTATGATAGCTAAAAATTGATAATTCGTTTCAAGACCCCGGAAAAAATGCCTCCATCAGCCCCTTCGGTAGTTTCCGAAGCCAGTGCGAGCAGCTTGCCAAGCGAGGCTCAGAGATTGGATTTGGACTATTCAAGGCTCAAAGCCGAGCATCGGAAGCTTCAGCAACATCTTGAGGTTCGAAATGGCTCGAAATTTCCGTTTCGAAACGATATTTTCAAGACAGTGAGACACGACAGATTCCGTCCGATTGACGTTAATAAAGCCGTGGATCGACTATTGAGGGGTCAGCACGTGGCTTTGGATTATTATCGATCGATGGATGAAAAAGTTTTGCAAAAACCTTGCAAAAAAAGGAAAAATGAAAGAGAAATTTGCAGTTGGGACTTCTGAAAGCTTCGGTCAATTGCCATGACCCCAATGTGGTTATTCAGGTTTTCTTTTTCAAATTTTTTCCGAATATACGATATCATTTTTCAGGGTTTGAAATCGCTTTTTTTATGTATTTTATATTTAAGTTTTGAAAAAAATTAAAAAAATGGATTTTTTTGGGGCTTAAAAAAATTGGCAGTTTTTCAGCTGAATTTTTTTGAACTTGAAAAAAATGAAAAAAAGTTTGAAAAAAATCGATTTTTGAAGGTTAAAAATTGCCTTTTCTATCTCAATTTTTAGATCAAAGCTTAAATTAAGGCATCAAAAAAATTATTTTTTTCCGGAATTTAAAAGAAGAAAAAAAGGCTTTTTCCATTTTTTTAATGACCATATAAAAAAATTTCCTTGAAAAAAATTGGACTTTTTTTGAAAAAAATTTTTTTAAACTTAACCCGTTATTTGTCAAACGTAACGTCCAGAAGGTGACTGGGGAAGTTAAAAACGGTGATTAATAGTTTTTTTTTTCAAAGGGGCCAAATTTTTAGGGTTTCTTGTGTAGTTTAATGATAAAAATTTTTGCGATTTCTGAAGGATATTGATAATTTAAAACTATTAAAATCGATTTTTTTGAAGGAAAAAAAGTTGGCGTTTTGTTCAAAAACTTGAGCTGAAATTTGAGCGTTTCATAGGATTTGACATGATTTTTCTCGGAATTTGTGACTTTTTCAAAGTTTTTTTAATGACCATAGAAGCCAAATAAAAAAATAAAAATCAGCCAAACAATCTGTTGAAATTTTTTTAAAAGGAGAAAAAAAGTGACTCTCCCAATTTTTTTAATGAGCATATAAAAAAATTTCCTTGAAAAAAATTAGGGCTTTTGATATTAAAGTTTAACCTGTTAAATTTTTTTGAAACGTCTAAGAGGTGACTGGGGATGTGAAAAAAAGCTGTTAAGTAGCCATTTTTTTCGAAAAATAGACCAAATTTTTTTATGCTTTTTTTCTTGCTATTCAAGGATAATGCCTTGCCGTTCGTGCAGTTTTTTTGAATCGTATTAAAAATTTGAAAAAAATATAAATATCAATTTTCTAATGGTTGAAAGTTGGAATTTTTGTCAAAAAAACCATTTTTTTGTTGAAAAATTCGATAGGATTCGGATGATTTTCGTCGAAAAATTTCGAAAAAAATTAGTGATTTTTTTAAAGTTTTTGAAAAAAATCATAGGAGCTTAAAAAAATATAATCCGTTTGAAAAAAATTCATAATTTTGAACTTTTTAATGTTGTCCAAAGGGTTGGAAAAAGGTACAAAAAAATGCTGATGAAAAGTCAATTTTTTTCGAAAAATTCACTAGATTTTTTTAGCCTTTTTGTGTATTTTAATGAGGATTTTTTGCAGATTGTGCAGTTCATGAAGTGTATTTACATTTTGAAAACATTCAAATCGATTTTTGGAGGTTCAAAGTTCGAATTTTCGTCCAGAACCCTTTCATTGAGCTGAAATTTTAACGTTTCATAGGAATTTAAACGACTTTTCGAAGTTTTTAAAGATCATAGAAGCTTAAAAAAGTAGGCTGATTGAAGAAATTCATAATTTTGAACTTTTAACAGTTTCAAAACGTCCAAAAGGTGACTGGGGAAGTAAAAAATGCTGATAAATAGCCATTTTTTTTTCGAAAATTCATCATTTTTTTAAACTTTATTGCGTATTTTTTTATGAGAATATTCTGCAGATTGTACAGTTCCTGAAGCGAAGTTTGAAAGAAAAACTCTTTTTCGACGTCTTGAGGGAAAGCCCCGAAGCGGTCAGCGTCTACGTGGAACATCTCCAATCAGCCGACCAGAGCGACGAACTTTGCAATTTTTTATTGTGTGTTTTGGGCTATAAAATCAAGTTTTTAGCGTTAAAATCGAGTTTTACGATGAGAAAATTCAAGTTTTTAGCGTTTTAGTTCAGTTTTTCTTGAAAAAAAAATTGATTTTCTAGCGTCAAAGTTTAGTTTTTCATGAGAAAAGTCAAGATTTCAGCTTCGGAGCTCAGTTTTCATGGGAAAAGTCAAGTTTTTAGCTTTGGAGTTCTGTTTTTCAAGTGTTCAGGGTTAAAATTGAGTTCTACCTTACGAAAAATCAGGATTTTTGCCTCAAAATTAGGTTTTACTGAAAGAAAATCAAGGTGTTATCTTAAGAGCTCAGCTTTTCTAGAGGGAATCAAGTTTTCAGCTTAGAAATTCATTTTTTCCATGAGAAAAGTCAGAATTTTACCGTCGAAATTGAATTTTTCTGCGAAAAATGTTTTTATTGATTCAATTATCTAGATTAAAAAAACTGATTTTTTTCAGTACTTTTTTTATGATTTTTTTGAACAATTAATCACAGGTATTGTCTTAAAAATGAACAAAATTTCAGCTGATTGTCACGTTTTTCGAGGCTTTTTTTGTTCGTATTTCAGAGAAATGGTCGTTTTTTTCGAGATTTTCAGATTTAAATCTACTTTTTTTTATAGATGTTCTTCTTTAGATTGAGTGGGAATAGTTCTGATATAATTTCATAGTTAGAAAAAAATAAAAAAATATGTTTTTCAGTGCGATGGGAAAAAATTCGAACACGCGGCGATGGCCGAATATTCGGCCGCCTCAAGGTGCAAGCAAAAAGAGAGAAAGGTATGAAATAATAATTTAAATCTTTTTTTAGCCTCCCGGTTGATATTTTGATACAACTTACTTGCTTTTAGGATCTTTTTAATTTATGAAAAAGAAAAAAATTATTTTTTTGAATGCTTCAAAAATCAGCAAACGCAATGAAAAATTAAAAGAAAAAGGCGTTTTTTTAAGTTTTATAACTAGCAGTTTAGATCTGTTTTTCCTTAAAAAGTTCTGAAAAAGTTGTCCAAGGTCCTTAAAAAAAGAACAAAAAAATTCTAAAAATGTGCAAAAGTCCCTACTTATCTCTTTTTTTCTACCTGTTTGAAAAAAATTTTTTTATCTCTCATTATCTTAATTTTACTACTATGATCTTCTCTTTTCAACATCTTTCCATTTGCATGATAAGGGGTTTAAAGACCTTTTTGAGTTCCTAAAAAGTTCTGCTCCTTCTCCCGGCTTTTTCAAGAAAAATGACTCTTTCTTTGGATTTTTGTTATTTTTTTCTTGGCTTTCATTACGAACTTTTTATCTGCATAAAAAGGCTTCTCCGATAAAAGTTATTCAAAAGGCGCTAGGAAGGTCTTTCAAAGGCTTTTTTAATAGGGAACGTTTTTTACCCTCCCGGTTGAACTTATGATGAAACTTTGCTAAAACTACCTCCCTGAGGCAAAAACTTGTATTATTATGAACAAAACTACCTCCCGGAGGTTGGAACTTGATTTGATTCCCTAATTTTCCGAAATTCTCGAGAGCCAACCCCTCCTTCCGGACAGTATGAGTTCTGTACTTGCTCATCTATGCTTGGAAGGTTTTTTGAAGGACTTTTTTAGGCATTTTCAAACTTTTCTCCTCAAAAAGTAACCAGGAAAACGTTCAGATCCAACTCCTTCGGAACAGTATGACGGGCTCTTTCTCGATCCCCGAACTTCGGGCCGAGCAAGTCATTATCAGCGATCAGATCATGTTGCTCGAAACTCAAACTGCCATTGAGGTTCATTTTAAAAAATTGCATGGCTTAGAAAAAAAAATGAAAAATTATGGAAAATTCAGTGGCTTCGAAGAGAGAAAAAGTAGTTAAATTTTTTTAAAAAATTAAAAAAAAATTTCGGCAGGAATTTGAGAATTTAGAGGTTTTGAATAGAGAACTTGAAGTTGACAGAAAAATTAAAGTCCTGAAAAAAAGGACTTTTTTTAGCTTTTTAAAAATTTGAATTGTAAAAACGTTGTTTTTTTCGGTTTAGAAAAAGCTGAAAAATGGAAAAAGCGGTTTGAAAAAGTGAGCGAAAATCCCTAGAGGGGCTACTTTTGCAAGTACCCTAAATAGGGAAGGTAAGATGTTCCTTAAAAGGCAGGCTTCAAGGTCCCCTGAGCTTGCCCCTATAGGGACCACTCTGGAATTCCTATCGTAGTGCACAAAATTAATGGAGACCATTTCTTTCATTTTTGAATTTTTCTGAATTGGTGAACCGAAAAGTTTTGGCAAAGAGTAAAAAATTTGCACTTTCCCAGCAGTCTCCGAACATTTTTTTCAAGTTTATCAATATTCTATTTTAAAGAAAAAAAGTCTATAATCAATCTTTTTAAAAGTTCAAATTTTTCGTCTTTTTTTGCGAAGAAAAAAAGCCGAAAAAGGGAACTTTATTGGATGAAAAATATGATATTTAGAATTTTCTCAATCTTATCGATTGATTCATCACTTTTTAGAGCATCGACGCCGCTTCCAAATCCGATTTGTTCGTGAAATATCCCAAAAATCGGTCGGTTATCGGGACTTCCGTCATCGCCACGCTCTATTATTGCTGTCTGTATCATTATGATGATAATTTGGTACTTTGTATCATGATTTTTGTTGTGAAATGGATGTTTTTTGAAGACTTCTATAACCAATCCGGTGAATTTCCGAGAAAGAATGAAAGTCGACGAAAAACAGTACGTTTGGGTGGCCGTGTCCGCCTTGACCCGCCAGAGTCGGTGGGGAATTTTTGATTTTTGATGATGAATTTCGAGAAAATAGGCTTGAAATGGGAGATTTGAGCCTTTACAACGCCAGAGGGGGCCCTATAGGGGCAACCTTTGGGGTCCTTCAAGGGGCCACTTTACCAAACCCTACAGGGGTCACTAGAGCTTGAAAATTAGCACGACGTCTTTTTAGTTCAAAAATGTGAACAAATTTTAAAAGATCTCTCTAGGGACCACTTAGGAACTGGCTTGCAGAAGTGGCCCCTTTAGGGATTCATCTAGTGATCACTCTAGGGATCATATTTTTGGCCCCGGGACGTTGTTCTAACACTTCTTTTAATATGTAGAATGTGAAAAAAAGGATTACAAGGCCCCTCTAGGGACCACTTTAGCGTTAGGGGCCTCTGAACCCTCATAGGGACCACTTGAATTTTACCCCTATAGGGGTCCCTTTTTTGTCCTATCTGAGGCTTATTTTCTCCCTTAACCCCTATAGGGGCCACTTGAATTTTACCCCTATAGGGATCACTTTACAGACCCTGATAGTGGTTACTTTTCCCGTAACCCCCTTAGGGACCACCTACATCCTAACCCTATAGGGATCACTTTACAGACCCCTACAGGGCTCTTTTTAAGCCTTAACCCCTCAAGGGACCACTCTGGCCTTCCTAAGCCTTTTTTTTTTACAAGGAAAGCTGAATTTTTTCTAGATGGCCTGACATTGAGCGACTTTTACAGCCCAGAAACTCGGTCATAGGAAATTTACCGGCCCGAGGTTGGAATTAATTGAAAAAAATTCATTAATTAAGATTTTTTTTAGGCATTTTATCATCACTCAACACCAAGTGGAATTGCCCGTTTTTCCTGGGAAAGCCTCCTGAAATTGATCAGCTCGAATCGAACCGTTCCGCCGAAAGATGTAAGATCAGAAAAATGGAAAAATGGGATATGTTGCTCCATTGATAATTGGGCTCAAAAAAATTTGTAATTTTTTTAAAAAAGAAATGATAATTATTAAAACCCTTAAAATCGTTATTTTGTTATTTTTTTAAGGTTACAGTGTGTTCAAAAGTCGAGTTTCAAAAAAACACAGCTAAAAAAAAATACCGTAACCCAGCTTTTATTGCGCCTCGGCTCTAATGCGAAAACGGCTCGAAAAGACTACAAAAAAGGTCTCGAAGCGAATTTTGGTATACGGTATTTTTTGAAGGAAACAAGGAACCAGTTCTCGTGGAATGGACTATATAGCCTTTTTCGAATTTTCATGTTTTTTGTAGCCATTTTTTGGATATTCTGGTGGAGTACCCTTCTGAAAAATTTCGTGAACTTCATTTTGAGAGCTTTTCCTTCTTTTTTTAAACTTTTTTCCGATTAAGGTCACTATTTTTGGACTTTTTCTTTGACTTATTGCAAAAATATGATTTTTTCCAGTTCTACTGCCGATTGTTGCGTGGCGTTAGTGATCAAGCTGAACGGCTACGTCTCGCCAAAGAGTTTGATGTTCCTGAGGTTGGTTTGAAGAAAAAAGAAGACCCTATAGGGGCCACTAGGGCTGTAGAACTTGAAAAAACGGATTCTAAACCCCTATGGGGATCGCTTGAGCTTTAGAGGCCTGATTTCTGGTGCTAAACCCCTATAGGGGCCACTTTAGGCTTAGGGGTGCGTGGGGTCTGACCAGAAACCTCTCTAGGGACCACTTGAGCTTTAGGGGCCCGGGGAATCGACCTTGAATCCCTATAGTGAACAAGTAGGAAGTAGTAGACCCTATAGGGGCCACTTGAGCTTAGGAAGCTCGGGGGTCAGACGCTGAACCTCTATAAGGATCAAAGGAGATGTAGAAGGTCCTAGAGGGACCACTTGAGCTTTAGGGGCCTGATGTCTGGCCCGAAACCTATATAGCGACCGAATAGGAAGTAAAAGACCCTGTAGGGACCACTTGAGGAGCCTTAAAGGCGTAGTGGTCTGACCCTGAACTCTTCTAGGGACCAAAAAGGGAGTAGAAGATCCTATAGGGGCCACTTGTGGTTTAAAGGGCTCGATGTCTGACCCTGAACCCCTATAGCGACGAAATAAGGAAGTAGAAGACCCCATAAGGACACTTTAGCTTTAGAAGCTCGATAGTCAGACCCGAAACCTCTATAGAGACCACTTGAGCTAAAGGAGCCTGATGTCTGACCTTAAACCCCTACAGTGACCAAATAGGTTGTGGAAGACCCTATAGGGACCACTTGAGCCCAAGGGACCCTACGTCTGACCCTGAACTTCTAAAGTGACCAAACAAAAAGGGGAAGACCTTAGAGGAACCACTAGAGTTTTAGAATCTTGGGGGTCATATCCTAAACCCCTAGAGGGGCCACTTGAGCTTGAAGGGCCTGGAGGTCTGACCTTTAACCCCTATAGTGGGCGCTTTCCGGTCTCCTATAGAGGCTGTTTCCCCCCTGACCCCTCTAGGGATCACTCTGACGTTCCTTAGAGCTAACCAAGTCAAAAATCAGATAATCATCGAGAGTTTGGTGACGGAACGCGACCGCGCAACGTTGTCTTCCTACGCGATGAAGCTTCCCCCGAATTCTCCCGAAGCATTCAAAGCCCTCGCCGCTTTGAATAATACGGTAGCCAATATTTTGCTGTGTTATTTTTAATCAAAATGATTATTTTACAGAGTATCAAGTGGAAAAGCTGACCTAACATGTTTTTTGTAAAAAGTGTACCTTTTGATCGATTTTCTAGGGTTTTCAGAGATTTATTCGGTTTTTATTCATTGATTTTCATTGTGATTTAATGATTTTATTGTTAAAGATTTATTGGGTTTTAGTCATAATTTGAGTTGGATCTTCACTTATTTTATTAAATTATTGACTTTTTTCGGTTTTAATTGTAATTAGATGCTTATTTCTCACTTATAAAGTTTATTTCTAGATTTTTTTCAGAGTTCTATCTAAATTACTTTTTTTTTTCAATAACTATATTTGCTTGTAAATTAATAAATAAATCATTTTTCTTCAAGTTTTGTATTTTATCGCGTTTTCGTGTTTCAAACAGATTTTAAAAAAACTTATTTGATCTGGAAATTAATCTCCTCTCGCGTAGAAAAAATTTTCAAGTTTAAAATTATTCAAGAAATCATGAATTTTTCAAAAGTTTGGACGATTTTAAAGTGCGGACAATATATTTATGTGATTTTTTTAATGTTTTTTTCTGTGTTCCCAAGCTAAAAATTCGGAAAAAAATGGTCGAAAAAAATCAGATTTTTTTGGATGCTCCTGCACTAAAAAAATGACGAAAAATTTTTTTTAAGTTCAAAAAAATTTGAACGTCCGCACTTTAAAAAGCGTCCGAATTTCGAATATTTTCATTTTTTTAAGGTTAAAAAAATAAAAAAATATCTGATCAAGTTAGTGTCCGCACTTTAAAATCGTCTGCGTTCCAAAACTACCACATTTTAAAGATTTTTGCATTCAAAAAACGACCAGAAAGAGTATAATTCATCAGAAAAACGTCAAAAATCACTTTAGGGACTTCTAAACCTCTCATTTTCCCACGCAACGGTGAATGGACTATACGAAAAAGTTTTGCAAATTCGACGAAAAACGTGAAAAAAACGTGACACACATCAAAAATCACTCCAGGGACTCCTATATCTCTCATTTTTACATGCTGTTTCTCCAAGACAACGGTGAATGGACTATACCGAAAATGTTTTCGAATTCGAAGGAAAACGTGAAAAAAACGTGACACACATCAAAAATCACTCTAGGGACTTCTAAACCTCTCATTTTCCCACGCAACGGTGAATGGACTATACCGTGCAAAACAGCGAAATTGAAGAAAAACGTGACAAAAACGTGACAAACATCATTTCTTATCTTTCCCTCCTTGGCCTATGCCGATAAATTTGAAGTTCGTTCAGTTTTTTCTTCTTCAAAAATCGCTTTTTAGTTTTTTCAACCTCACGTCGGTGATAAATCTGTTCGCGATTCTGATGATCTTCAACCTTATCATTATCAGTATCTACGCCGCCTTGAAACCCAACTTTACCCTTGAAATTATGACATAAACTTGTGTTTTTCATGGAATTTCAAGCTTTTTTGAACAGTGGCCGACGGAAAAAAATCGAGAAAAGTTGATTTTTGATGTTCGGCGCGGTCAAACTTTGCATTGTGTTGTGCAATCGTCCACCCATTTTTTTTTCCGTTTTTCAACTTTTCCTCCCGATTTTTGACTCGATGCGACTCCACAAAGCTGGTGAAGGCCTTCTGAAGACGCACGTCACCTGGGATGACGTCATGACGCAGATTCAGAAGGATCTTGGCACGTCTTCCGTTTTTGGCGATGGGAAAACGGTCACCGATCTTGGGGATATGAAGGTTTTTTTTTTGTTGGAGATAAAAGGGACGTCATATGACCGCGACGCGTAGTGGATGCGTCGCGGTCGAATGACGTCATAGTTGATTCAATATTAAACTTTAATGTTAGAATTCGTTTCACTTTCCTTCGAATCTGGTTGTTAAGTGATAGAAATTTACAAGTCGATGTATTTTAATGACGTCACTCGACCGCGACGCGTGTGAGATGCGTCGCGGTCGGGTGACGTCATAATTTGTTTTTTTGTCAGAATTCGCTTCGCTTCAATTTCAATTCGAACTACCAAGTGATAAAAAGTTTGAAGGTTACATCATCATAAATGACGTCACTCGACCGCGTCGCGTGTGGGATGCGTCGCGGTTGATTGACGTCATTTTTATTTTTAAAAATAAAAAAGAAACTTTTTTTTGTGGTAGTTTTTCGCTATACATTCCTCACTACTCTGAAGTTTTTGCCAAAATTCGATATTTTCATTTGATGACGTCATTAATGACTGACCGCGATGCATCCCACACGCGTCGCGGTCCAATGACGTCATTTTTCAATTAAGTTTTTTTGTGCGATATTTTATCACTATATATCTATTTTCGTTGTGAAATTTATGCCAAATTTTTCATGTTTTTTATTTTATTTTTTTCTGATGACGTCATCTAACCGCGACGCTTCCTGTACGCGTCGCGGTCGAATGACGTAATTTTTTTTTTTTTGAATTTAAGGCTTTTTTTTGCATGGTTTTTCATCATTATATACCTCTTACTGTTATGAAATCCATGTAAATTAATATAAATTACTCTCGATGACGTCATTCGACCGCGACGCGTGTGGGCTGCGTCACGGCTGTGTCATTCCTCCTTGAAAATCTTTCTGACGTCATCAAAAACTGTAGATTCTTTAAGTTAGGATTTTTGAGTCGTTATGAAAATTTTACTGGAGTTCTAGGGGACGTCATTTGGATTTAAATGACGTCGCTAAATATAAACTCAGGGAGCCATGTCTGTCATCGGCTTGCTCGTGGCCGACTGGCAGGGCGAGGATGCTCAAAAACTTCCCTCGAAATTTGTTGTCAAGGTTATGACGTCATTTTAATATTCATGACGTCATGATTTTCAGATCGGCTCCCAACTGGCATTCGCCAAAAGATACGATAGCGCAACGGCCACGGATTTTGAGAAACAGCAAAACGATGTTAGGTGTCAAAGAATGACGCGGTTTTTCCATGAGGTGGGTCATTCTTGGAACTGTCTGACCTTTCTGCGCTCTCTTTTCTCTCGTCGGGCGAGGTCATAGAGGCGGAAAGAGCATGTGAACTTGAGAGAGCGCAGAGAAATCAAAGGTTTTTTGGGGGACTTCATAGTCCATTCGAAATTTTCTGACCTTTCTGCGCTCTCTTTTCTCTCACCGCCGAGGTCAGAGAGACGTGAAAATAGCATGTAACCACGAGAGAGCGCAGAGAAATCGAACTCCATCCGTCACAAATAAAACTCTCTGACTTCTCTGCGCTCTCTTATCTCTCGTTAACGCTCTTGTTTTTTAGAACAATTTTCACTCTCTGCGCAGAGAAAAGAGAGCGCAGACAGGTCAGAATTCTCAAATTGAACTACATTTTCAGTACCACGATTGCGAAGTCGAAATGTACAATTTATTTGAAAAATATGATCATCCAAACCTTTCAGTTCCTAAGGTTTTCCATTGATTTATCGATTTATTGATTTATTGATTTTTTCAGATCTACACGGCGAAGAACTACGATTCCATAGATGATATGAAAGCGTTCATTGTTATGGAATATATTGAAAACTTGGTGTCCGTTGGAGCGCATGAGCCGATTTCCGTCCAGGACCTGATGCCGGTTAGCTTTGGGGGCGACTCGGCTATGCGACGCGGCTAAAATTTCAATTTCTAAACATGAAATGAGCAACTTTGCTGCAGAAGGAAACCTTGGGAGCCGAAATTTCGTCAAGTGTTTTGAAAATCATTGTGACTCGGCTGTGCGCGACGCGGCTAAAATTTCAATTTTTAAAAGTGAATTCAGCAAACTCAACAACAGAAGAAGACTTTTGGAACCAAAACTCCGTCTAAAACTCGAAGAAAAGTTTGGTGACTCGGCTAAGCGACTCGGCTGTGCGACGCGGCTAAAATTCCAATTTTTAAAATGAAACCTGCAACTTCTCAACAGAAAAAGACTTTGAGAGCCGAAATTTTTTACGGAACTCAAAAATTTTTTGTGACTCGGCTATGCGACTTAGCTGTGCGACGCGGCTAAAATTCCAATTTTTGTAAATAAAATAAGCAACTTGGCTACAGAAGAACACATTGGGAATTAAAATTCCGTCCAGTATTTTGAAAATCGTTGCCACTCGGCTGTGCGACTCGGCTAAGCGACTCGGCTAAGCGACCTGGCTAAGCGACTCGGCTATGCGACTCGGCTGTGCGACGCGGCTGTAATTAGAATTTTCGAACAGCATCTCGGCAACAGAAGAACCGGAATTCCGTTTAATATTTTGCAAATCTTTGTGACTCGGCTAAGCGACTCGGCTAAAAGATGAAAATCCGAAATATATCGTTTATAGCAATGTTTTAAGCCTAACTTTTCACGAAATTTACTAATTTCGCTTTTTTTTATCAGGTAGTTCGTGGCGTGACTGCTCTACAAGCCTTCGGGGAGAAGTTGAGTTCCGAAAATCGGCGGAAAATTCGAAATCACGACTTTGTTGGCCGGATTTTCAACGAGTTTCTTGACCAGGATGTAAGCTTTAAAAAATCAATATCTCAAACTCAATTTTTAGATCATCCTACACACAAAAAGGACATTGGAAAAGTGGCTGCCAGAAAAACTTGCCGAGAAAGTTTCCGGTGTTCTTGACGTCTATACGGATCCCAAGTTCTTTGTGAAATTGAAAAATCTGCCGGAGTATCTTGGAATCAAGCCTGTTCTCGTGCACAGCGACCTCTGGAGCATGAACATGCTCTGGGAGAGGAGAAGTGGAGAAGGATTTGACCTGAGGGCGATTATCGATTGGCAGGTGAGCTTTCTTAGTCCCTAAGGGGGCAACTTCAAGGATAGTTGAAGGCTTCCCTCTAGGGACTTCTTCATCTACCCCTATAGAGGGGCCAATATTGCAAAAGTGGCCCCTGTAGGGGTCAATGCTGTGAACTTATTAGAAGAAGCTTTCCCATGCGACTTGATCGAGTTTTATTGAACACATATTTTATTTAGAGTTTTGGAGTTTTAGTGGCCACTTAAGTGGCTAGACATTAGTGGTCTCTTTAGGGTTTTGGAGTTTTAGTGGCCACTTTAGTAGTCGCTTAAGTGGCTCTTATGGTGGTTAGATAAGTGGTCACTTTAGGGTTTTATCGTTTTAGTGACCCCTATAGCAGTAGAATAGGTGGTCACTGAAGCGGCTAGAAAATAGTGGCCTCTTTAGGGTTTTTAACGTTCAGTGGCCGCTGTAGTAGTAGAGTAGGTGATCACTAAGGTGGCAAAAAATTAGTGGTCACTTCAGGGTTTTGGCGTTTTAGGAGCCACTGTAGTAGTAGAATAGGTGCTCACTCAAGCGGCTAGAAGTTAGTCGTACCTTCAGGGTTTTGGCGTTTAGTGGCCACTGTAGTAGCCGAATTAGTGGCCTCTTAAGCGGCTAGAAATTAATGGTCTCTTTAGGGTTTTGGCGTTTTAGTGGCCACTATAGTAGTCGAATTAACGGCCAATTGAGCGGCTAGAAATTAGTGGTCACTTCAGGGTTTTACCGTTGTATTGACCCCTATAGTAGTAGAATGAGCGACCACTAAAGTGGCCCCTATATAAGTTTATATGGTACTACTAGAGCACTGAAACTACTATAGTAGCCAGTAAAACGCAAAATAGCGGCTTCCATAGGGGTGGTTTCAGTGGTCACTTTAGTGTCCTATTCATTTAGTCCTTCAGAAATCTCTTAAGTGGCCACTAGAGTTTTTCTCAGTCACCCACGTCATTTGGAAGGCATTTGAATTAAAATGACGTCACTGATTCGAATTCCAGTCGGCAGCCTTCAGCCACCCGGCGCAGGATCTTTGCCGCTTGTTGATTTCATGCCTCGGTGGACAGGCAATCAAATTCCTCACTATTGCTCATATTAGCTCATCTAGACCCGTCGTGACCACTGGGAATCGATTCTGAAGCAGTTCTACAGTTTTCTATTGGAAGAATTGGGAGATACACCCGCGCCGTACACATTCGATCAGGTTATTGCTGTTTATTGCTCATGGTAGCCAAGGTTTCAGCTGGAAGAGTCGTATTTTATGTATTTTTCCCTGTCTGCATTCTTCGTTCTGCCGGGAATGGGGTGTATAACGGACGTCGGGTCACCGAAGGTTTGTTGCTCATGTTAGAATAGGATTGCTGATGTTAGCTAATTTTAGGATCGAGAAAAAGCCGAAGAAAAAGTTGTTGCGATGGCCGAGGATTTGGTAGCAATACATGAGAGGAATATTGAGAAACACCCGAAATTTTTCAGCTTCGAAAAGATTTTTTGATTTTTCTGATAAAGTGACGTCATCAAATGTCAGATGACGTCATTAATCCTTTTTCATTGGATTTTTCTTTCTGGTACCTAATTTCCGTGAATTTTTCAAATATTGCTTGGAAGTAGATGATATATGAAAATGACGTTTTCTAAAATTCGATTTTTTAATGACGTCATAGATCCTGATAATTATCTCATGACGTCATAATATTCATCTCAAATTGATCGATAATTGTACAATTTTTTTCATATTTTTCCCTATAGGGACTACTTTATAAACTTTTTTTCTTGTTCTGAAAGAAGAATTTTTCATGACTTTTTTTCTTGTTTCAAAGGTTCTGATGCCTCCAATTTTTTTAATCCTTGGCCACTTGAACCTCTTGAAATCACTCCAGGGGCCACTTGATGTCACTCTACATTGCGTCGGATGGAATCTTCGGCACCCATGTACATATTAATGACGTCGAGACGGCTCTGAAAAACTCTCAAGGGACCACTTGCAAATTCGGGCCCGGATTATCAGTGGAGCGCGTTGGAGAAGGAGTGGTTGGCTTTTAAAGATTTTTCCAGTGAAAAATTTCGAAAACGAACCTTGAAAAACGAAAAATTTTTAAAGGATCATCAGAATGGGTCCTGGCACGAAAAGCAAAATTATAAAGTTTTCAGGAAAATTAGGTAGATTTTACCATTTTCAAGACTTTGCTCTACGTTTTTCAATTTTTTGAATCCGCTGATTGGTTGGCCACGCCCCTTTTCAGAAGCTTTTTCCCAAAAATTCTGCTTCAAAAAAAGCCCAGTAAATATTTTGAGGGCTTCATGTCCCGGATGGCCCTCATTAGGCCCGATTGGCAAGGCGATGACGTCACCAGACTACCGGAAAAGTTTGTCGTCAAGGTTATCGATTTTATTGATTTTTCGAAAAATTGAAAAAATCTATTTTCTCTGAACCCTCCCTCCATTTCACACATTTTGTTTTCATTTTCCTCCTCCCTTCCCGATGAGAGATAAGAGAGCGCAGTCACGTCAGAAAGATATTTTTCAGATTTCGAGCCAATTAGCGATGATTGAAGCAAATGAGGGAATTGGTATCGAAACGAATGAGGATACTGTAGAAATGCCGCACCTGCGTCAGGTTTTTCACCTCTTCATAATCATGTTTACTCATTGTTGCTCATCTTACAGCGTCACAATCTGGAAGTTCACGTCTACGAGCTATTTGGAAAGCACTATAACCCCGATTTGAAGGCTCCTAAAGTTTTTCCTTTCGTCTGACATGAGCAATAATGAGCAGTTTTTCAGATTTTCGCATGTAAACGGTTTGATAATGATGCGGATCTCAAGGGATTCATAATTATGGAACATTTTGAGAATATTCATTTGATGAATTATCGCGACGAAGTTCCACTGGACGATATTGTCCTGGTTTAGGGAGAAAATGGCCGCATTTGGAATGGCTCGAAGCGTCGCGGTTTTTCGGGCCTTACAAGATTTTTGCAAAGTTTTTGAATTTTTTATGATGTCAGGTCTGAAAAAAAGCACCGCTTTTCAGATTATTTGATGAAAGATTTAAAGGCGGAGGGCGGGGCTTAAAATATTCCCTTGTGAAGCCCATTTGATCAAAGAACCCCCTTGAAAGATTGATTTTTCGATTTTTGAGTGAAGTAGAAAAAAAAAGAACCTCCCTGCGCCTTTAAATCTGTCAGAAAAAGCCCGTCTCTACTAGTAACTACATCATTACAGCGAACTTTGACGCATAGCTCAACGGCTAGAGGCTTCGTCTAGTAGTCTAGGGGTCGCTGGATCGATCCCCATCAGTTACAATCTTTTTTTGCCATTTTCAAATCAAGTCAAGCTTTCGAATTTTGAAAGAAATTTTCATCCGCAACGCATTGAGCCATTCCAAATTAGGAGGAATCAAAAATTATATTCCATTTCCAGGCTCTGAGACCCCTAGCTGCATTACAAGCGCTCGGAGTCAAATTATCAGAAGAACAAAAAGAATTTCTACCTGTCAGGGATTTCGCCGATTACCTTGTCAACTCATTTTTTGATGAAAAGGTTTTCCTACGGACTTCTTGACTACAGTAACCTTTTTTCCAGATGCTTGAATCGGCTTTCGAGGGAATCCTCAGCAAAACTCCCGCGCAGGATCGTGAGAAACTGTCGGAACTGCTGAAATTCTATTCGGATCCTGGATTTTGTCGCAAATTGTCCACGTTGCCCGATTTTTGGGGAATCCGCCCGGTTTTGGCCCACAACGACATGTGGCTAATGAACGCTCTTTGGACCAAAAAAGAGGATGGTGGTTTTGAGCTGAGAGCGATTGTTGATTGGCAGGTGAACTTTTGAAAAATCGAGAAAAAAAAACAGAAAAAAAATAGCAAAAAACTTGGGCGCTTGAAGGGATCGAACCAACAACCCTGAGTTTATAAGACAGTCTCTCTAACCGTTGAGCTATGCGCCATAGATTCTTGTAAGGATGTCTTTTAGTGTAAACCGTGTTCATAGAAAGTTTTGGAATTGAGAAAACAATTGGCAAAAAAATGGCCACTTGATGGGGATTGAACCCGAGACCTCTAGATTATAAGACAGTCTCTCTAACCGTTGAGCTATGCGACATAGATTCTTGTGATGATGTCTTTTAGTCTAAACCGTGTTCAATGAGGGTTTTAAATTTTAAAAAACAAATGACAAAAAAAAATGACCACTTGAGGGGATTGATCGCGGGACCCTGAGATATTGAGACCGTCCCTTTAGCCATTGAGCCATGCGCCATAGATTCTTGTAATGATGTTTTTCGTGTAAAGCGTGTTCATAGAAAGTTTTGGAATTGAAAAAAAACAATTGGCAAAAAAATGGCCACTTGATGGGGATTGAACCCGAGACCTCTAGATTATAAGAAAGTCTCTCTAGCCATTGAGCCATGCGTCATAGATTCTTTTAATGATTTCTTTTAGTGTAAAGCGTGTTCATAGGAAGCTTTGGAACTGAAAAAATAATTGGCAAAAGAATTGGCTCTTGAAGGGTTCGAACCAACAACCCTGAGTTTATACGACAGTCCCTCTAGCCGTTAAGCCACGCCACTTAGCTTGATGTAATGATGTCGTTTCGTGTAAGGCGCGTTTAAGAAATTGAGAAAATTAGCAAAAAGCTGGCAAAAAACTTGACCGCTTGAGGGGATTGAACCCGGGACCCTGAGTTTATGAGACAATCTCTCTAGCCGTTGAGCCATGCGACATAGCTTATCGTAATGATGTCGTTTCGTGTAAAGCGCGTCAAAAAAATTTTTTTCTGCAATGGAAAAAAATTTTTCTTTAAGCTTTTCGTGAATACACTTGAATATATATATATATCACTCTAAAATTTTTTTGAAATTTATTTTAATATTTTTTTAGGAAGTTTCACTCACCCATCCCGTACAAGATGTCTGCCGATTTTTTTCATCACTTTTTTTGGAAGGACAGGTATTTTAAAAACATTCCTTCGGAGAAATTTATCTTTAATCTTTTTCAGCAACGACAAAACTGTTGGGAGTGCCTTTTGAGCTATTTTTACACGTTTCTTGAGAATGAATTGGGCGGGAGGAAGGCTCCGTACAGTTTTCAACAGGTGAAACTTCAAGAAAATCGAGAAATTTTATCGTTTCATTTATTCAGCTGGTAGAATGTTACAAATTTTATCTTCCAGTCGCGTGTTTTCTAGCCCTGACAGATTTGGAATACGATAAAGGGGTATGTTTTTTTATTCATATAAAAATAAAAAATAAAAATCCCAGACCACGGAGATCAAAAAAAGGACCTTCATCATCCAAGATTTATTCAAATACCATCATAGAAACGTCGAAAAATACCCGGATTTCTATAAAACTGATTGATTCGCATTTCATTGGGTCACCTAGTTTATGCGCGATCCTGTTGTTTTTTCTGCATTTTTTCCTGTTGCGCCATGATCAATTGCTGTCCTTGAAGTTGTTCCTCGTTGCTAGTTTGTGAATCAAATTGGAAATATTGCCTGTGAAGTGTAAATAAACTCAAAACTGTATAATTTGATTTGAGAAATTTTTTTTTGTTACTGTAAAGCGCCAAATCCGCAGAACGGTATGCAGACACCGATGAGCGCCAAACTGAAATCCTTTTTCTCGTTTTTTCCCGCATTTCGCTCGTTTCAATGTCTTTCCGCTTCTATTAGTATATTTTTTTGTCGTTTTTCGTTCTTCTTTCCAGGTTTTTTAAGTACAACGAAGTGGTTTTGATTTTAAAAGGTAGGTCGATTTTTTGAGCTTTTTTTTGAAATTCAATTCTTTGTAGGGTGAATGCATTAGAGCCTTTTATTCCAGTCAAAAAAATGTCTTTTATGTAATTCTAAATAATGATAATATCTGTATTTTTTTCATGAATGGAGCAAAAAAATGTTAGGATTTTTTTGAAACGATTTAATTTTTTTAGAATTTTTTTTCTTAAAAATGTATTTTTTTGCTGCTCATTTCCTTTTTCTTATTGTCAGGCAAACAATGAAATCATTAAAAAAATGTCTAGCAAAGGAAAAAAATATCGTAGTTCTTGAAGAAATAGCCATTTTTTTCGGAATCATCATCATATAAAGTCTCAAGTCAGCCTAAAAAAATCAATTTTTTTTCGGTAATCAATTTTTTTAATAATGGACTTGATAGGTTTGAAATTGAGTCTAGATTAAAAAAAAAATGCATTTTCCCATTTTTTTCAAAAAAAGTAAAAAAAGCTTTGAAACCACATTTTTTTGTTGTTAAATGCATTTTTTAGTTTGTTTTATGGTCCATTTTTCGTTTGGAAGTTAATCAAACAAATGGGAAACATACGGCGCGGCGCGCGATGGTATTTTATCACCGTCGGGCATCTTTTGCCGCGTAGGAAATAAAAAAAAAGAAAGCATCCACAGCTACGGGATTTTAGCCTAGTTTTCTGTGTTCTCTCTGCATTTTACTTCCTTTTTTCTGACTTAACATTTTTTTTTCTTTGTTCAAGAAGTCTTACTGGAGTGTTTAGAGGCGCAAGAGTGTCTCTTTTTACCGAAAAGGGCTCTTTGCCTCGGGATCCTTATGAAATGAGCCCATGCGCATTTAAAAACTCCAAGGATTTTTGGACAGATTTTGATTTTTGTGTGAAACTTTTCTATTGCGAGGCTGAAACTTAATTTTTATTGTAAAATATTTTGTGATGCTTTGAAGATGCTTTGCTGGAATTTTTAAAGGCGCATGTCCAAAAAATGTAGCTGAATTCGCCTCGAGACCCTCATAAAATTATTCTATGCGCCTTTAAGCACTCCAGGAGTGTTTTTCGAACCTACTGTGATTTTTTGTGTGAAACTTTTCTATCGAAAGGCTGAAACTTGTTTTTTTCATTCTGTTTTTTTTTGTCCAGGAATCCTTGCTAGGATGTTTAAAGGCGCATGTCTAAAAAGAACTCTGAAAACGGCTCTTCGCCTCGAGACCTTCATGAAATGAGCATATGCGCCTTTAAACAGCCTAGCAAGGATTTTTAGACTGATTTTGAATTTTATGTCAAACTTTTCTATTGGGAGGCTGAAACTTAATTTTTATTCTAAATTGTTTTGTCCAAGATGCTTTGCTGGAGTGTTTAAAGGCGCATGACCAAAAATGACACCAGAAACGGTTTTTCGCCTCGAGACCTTCAAAAAACGAGCCTATGCGCCTTTAAACACTCCAGCAAGGAGTTTTGGACAGTTTCTGATTTTTGTGTGAAACTTTTCTGTTGGAAGGCTGAGACTTATTTTTTTCATAAGGTTTTTGTTCAGAAATGCTTGCTAGGGTGTTTAAAGGCGCATGTCCAAATTGACACCGAAAACAGCTCTTCGCCTCGAGACCCTCATAAAATGAGCCTATGCGCCTTTAAAACCCTAGAAATGATTTTTGGACTGATTTTAATTTTTGTAAGATACTTCTCTATTGGGAGGCTGAAATTAGTATTTTATGTAGTAATTTTTCTTCAAAATTGAAGTTCTAGACTTTTCAGGGGTCGAAATATTGACTTTTTCGTGGATTTTTGTGATTTACGGATATTCTTTCGTATGATTATCTTTCCTCAAGTCCCTATGACCATGTAAAACAGAATTTAGCCTATATGGATTTTTATCTTTTTCAAATATTCTTCTAAACGGTGTCCTTCTCAAATTTCGTGCATAACTGCATGTTTTACGGCGGTTTCTGAGTTATTCGGACTTCCCGCTGGGCGTTTTTATGATGAAAACGGGCCTGACCGCCCGCTTTGCATAAATTAATACGTGAACTGGCGATTTGTTGTGATTTTGGACGTTCCGTGTAGAAAATTGGATTTTTTATAGCGCAAATTGGAAAATTTCTTTTTGTTCTATTGTATCGCCTCTCTAGGGTTGATAAATTTATAAATATTCGATTTTTATCATTTTTTTTTATCTCAAGGCTTTTTATCGAATTTTCTTCGAAATGTAAGCTTAAAAATGCGCTTTTTCAGCTGCTGAGTATGATTTTCAGCTCTTTCTGCGTTTTAGAAATGATTTTGTTCAAAAAATCAGAAGATTTAGCCGTTTTTGGACCTAAAAATCAAGCATTTTTTTCAACGATAGTTTTGAAAAATATCTTCATTTTTTTAGCTTTTAGTGTCCCCAATTGAGCATTTTTTTCAGTGATATTTTTTTGGAATTATCCTCATTTTTTTCAGCTATTAGTGACCCAAATTGAGCATTTCTCAACGGTTTTTTTGGAATTAACATCATTTTTTTCAGTTTTAAGTGACCCAAAATGAGCATTTTTTTCGAGGATATTTCTTTAAAAAAATTCTGATTTTTTTCAGCTTTTTAATAACGGAAATCGAGCATTTTTTTCAACGAGATTTTTTTGGAAAAAAATACTTATTTTTTTAACTTCTAATCACCCAAATCGAGCTTTTTTTCAATGATATTTTTGAAAAAAATCCCCATTTTTTTAGCTTTTTAGTGACCCCAAATGTTGGATTTTTTTCAACGAGATATTGAAAAAAATCCCCATTTTTAGCTTTTAATGACTCAAATCGAGTATTTTTTTCAACGGTATTTTGAGAAAAATCTGGTTTTTTTAGCTTCAACTGACCCAAATTGAGCACTTTTTTTACGAGAATCTTGAAAAAAATCCTCATTTTTTTCCGTTTTTTTAATAACTGAAATTACACTTTTAAAACATGAGAAAGTAATCTACTTATCAAAAAAACAGATTTTTCAGTGAATTATACCCAAAATCATGAGTTTTATAGCCAATCCCTAGCCGTTTTTGGACCAAAAAAATCGAGCATTTTTTTCAATGATATTTTTGAAAAAGATCCTCATTTTTTTCAGTTTTTTTAGTGACCCAAATTGAGCATTTTTTTCTACGATATTTTTTTGAAAAATAACCTCATTTTTTTAGTTTTTTTAATGACTGAAATATAGATCCAAGAACATCAGAAAAATTTTTTTATTAGCCAAAAAAACAGATTTTCAGTGAATTTTACCCAAAATCATGAGTTTTATAGCCAATCCCTTTCAAATTCCCCACAGAAAAAGGTGTCAGAAAATCGGCTCGATCAAGAAAATTTCCTCATTATTTGACCCGTGCTATTTGCTCATTTGGCGGCTCTCCCAATTCGTGCCTTTTTTTCCGAGACAGAAATTCGCCCAAACAACAAATTGAGCCCGGTTTCCCGTTCCTGAAGCCCTTTTTGTCAGCTTTTCCCCGATTTATTTCGAGATTTTTTCGATTTTTAATTGTTTGGAAGTGGAAAACGTGCAGTACAAGAAGTAATTTTCCGATTTTCTGGTAATAACTTGAGTGGTCCCTTAAGAGGCTCCTCAAGGACACTAAAGTGGCCACTTAGAAGCCAAATTTCATCTTTTAACTTGATTTTTATCAAAAATATAACCAGAAGTGTCGGATCTAGCAATTTTTTATAAGTGAAATATTTTTTCAAAGCTTCAAAATGTTTAAAAAACACGATTTTTCGCTGGTTTCTGGGCCAAATTTCATTTTGCAGCCTGATTTTCGTCGAAAAATGACCAAAAATGTCGAATCTAGCAATTTTTTTACACGTGAAATATTTTTTCAAAGCTCAGAAATAGTTGAAAATCAAGTTTTTTTCTCGATTTTTTTAGGCCTAATTTCACCGATTATCCCGAATTTCATCGAAAAAAATGACCGAAAAATGTCGAATCTAGCAATTTTTTTACACGTGAAATATTTTTTTCAAAGCTCAGAAATAGTTGAAAATCGAGTTTTTTTCTCGATTTTTTTAGGCCTAATTTCACCGATTATCCCGAATTTCATCGAAAAAAATGACCGAAAAATGTCGAATCTAGCAATTTTTTTACACGTGAAATATTTTTTTCAAAGCTCAGAAATAGTTGAAAATCGAGTTTTTTTCTCGATTTTTTTAGGCCTAATTTCACCGATTATCCCGAATTTCATCGAAAAAAATGACCGAAAAATGTCGAATCTAGCAATTTTTTTACACGTGAAATATTTTTTTCAAAGCTCAGAAATAGTTGAAAAATCGAGTTTTTTTCTCGATTTTTAGGCCTAATTTCACCGATTATCCCGAATTTCATCGAAAAATGACCGAAAATGTCGAATCTAGCAATTTTTTACACGTGAAATATTTTTTCAAAGCTCAGAAATAGTTGAAAATCGAGTTTTTTCTCGATTTTTAGGCCTAATTTCACCGATTATCCCGAATTTCATCGAAAAATGACCGAAAATGTCGAATCTAGCAATTTTTTACACGTGAAATATTTTTTCAAAGCTCAGAAATAGTTGAAAATCAAGTTTTTTCTCGATTTTTAGGCCTAATTTCACCGATTATCCCGAATTTCATCGAAAAATGACCGAAAATGTCGAATCTAGCAATTTTTTACACGTGAAATATTTTTTCAAAGCTCAGAAATAGTTGAAAATCGAGTTTTTTCTCGATTTTTAGGCCTAATTTCACCGATTATCCCGAATTTCATCGAAAAATGACCGAAAATGTCGAATCTAGCAATTTTTTACACGTGAAATATTTTTTCAAAGCTCAGAAATAGTTGAAAATCGAGTTTTTTCTCGATTTTTAGGCCTAATTTCACCGATTATCCCGAATTTCATCGAAAAATGACCGAAAATGTCGAATCTAGCAATTTTTTACACGTGAAATATTTTTTCAGAGCAAAAAAATTCTTGAAAATCACGTTTTTTCACAACTTCCGTTCATAACTACACTGGAAAATTACAAAAATCCCGATTTTTTGTTAATTTTCAGGCCAAACTGTTGGAAAAAAATTAAATAATAAATCTAATTTTTTTGATATTTTTCCACCCTGAGTTCCCTTCTTATCCCATCCGCCTGCACTTTTCGGCTTTTCCCAACTTTTTTTTTGCGTTGCGTCAATGTTTGTAACAAGTGTTTGAGATGCCAAGCGCGGCTGTTTCTTTCCACTTCATTCCAAGTCTTTTTTTTTCTTTCTTGGAAGTTTTAGGACTATTTTCGAGTATTTTTAGTGGTTTTTGTAGATTAAATTGAAATTCTGTTTTGGATTTTTCAAAGTTGTTGCCAAGTCTTTCTAATGGTAAGAGAAGAAAAAAACCTTGAACTCTAATTTTTGAATTTTACCACCTTATACTAAAAAAATCAAAATTTTCTGTAAAAAAACTGTTTTTTTCGATGTTTTTAAAAAGTAACGTTTTTTTTAATTGATTTTGAAATTCTATTAATATTTTTTTCGTCTTTAAATGTGATTTTTTTACCGTCTTTCGAGCATTTTTTTCAGCTTTCTTTTTGGTTATTAATTAACTTTTTATCCTCAAAAAAATTGGTTTTTTTCTAGTTTCTTGGAGCATTCTTTTCAACTTTATTCAAAAAGATTCATCACTTCCAAAAAAACTGTTTTTTTCGAGGTTTTCCGAGCATTTTTTTAACTTTATTTTTGATCGTTTATCAACCTTTTTCTTTCAAAAAAATATTTTTTTCAAAGTTTTTTTCATTGGTTTTCCAACTTTAATTTGAAGATTAATAATCTTTTTCTCTGTAAAAACGAATTTTTTTCAGCATTTTTCGCTTGTTTTTTTCATTTATTTTGAAGATTCATCAACTTTTTTTCACTTTTTTTGATGTTCAATAAAAAGTTTTCTTCCAAAAAAATGGATTTAAGGCATTTTTTTCATTTTATTTTGATCGCTAAATATCCTTTACTTTCAAAAAGAAAAATTGATTTTTTTCGAGGTTTTTTTCGGGTAATTTTTTTCTCTTTATTTTGAAGATTCATCAACTTTTTTTCTCTTTAAAAACTGATTTTTTTCAAGGTTTCCATGTTTTTCGATGAGTAATCCATTTTTTTCACTTTGAAAGTGAATTTTTTTGCTTTCGCGTGTTTTTTTCCACTTTATTTTTGATCGGTAGTTAACTTTTTTTCTTTCAAAAAAACTGATTTTTTTCGAGGTTTTTTTGGAGTATTTTTTTCAACTTTATATAAGAGATTCCTCAACTTCTTCCCTTTAAAAACTGATTTTTCAATGTTTCCATGTTTTTTTTTTTCGATGAGTAATCAATTTTTTCTTTTTGAACGTGAATTTTTTGTTTTCGCGTATTTTTTCCACTTTATTTTGATGAGTAATCATGTCCTATACACTTTTTTTACGGTTGTACCTCGTCGGAAAAGGATTAAAATGGAATATATCGTGGTCGCGTTTCGACTCGTTTTCATGCACCATTTCCCTCGTTTTCCTTGCCACTTTTTTTTTCCCAAAGGCCTTCGTTTCAAAACCGAACAGTATCAAGCAACATTAGTCATGGAGGCTTTTATCTGGAATTTCCATTCTTTTTTTCGGGAGAATTGTCCTTATCTATACGTTTTATGGCTCATTCTTCACTTGCAAACCGTTTTTTGACTCATTGGATTTTTCATTTTGCTCATTTTTCGTTTTTATTTTAAGAATCTGCTCGATCCGGAAAATTTTTTTTGAGTATATTTTCCTCCTTCAATGGCCAAATTAACAGTAGAAAACTCTGATTTTCAGGGTATTTCTTGAATTTTTTGCTAGTAATAGAGAAGACTTGGATTATTAATGAATATGTTATACCTAGAATGGCTCAACGCGTCGCGGTCGCGTTGCGTTTTGGCGTCGCTGCGCCGGACCTTGAGCGGCTTGCTCTTCGTAGCCTCAAAGCGCATTATGTCCTTTTTTGAGCTGCGCGACTTTCGAGTTTCGTTTTCCTTGAATACCGAGGACCAGCCTTCAAACCGCTGCGCGATCGCGACGCATTGAGCCATTTCTGACGTCATAAAGGGGGTTGGATGAGATCAGAGCCTGAGACAATACTTTGCGCGGCTTTTTAGGCTCGTTTTGAAGCTCAAGTACTCCGCCGTCGGAAATACCGTCATTTAATGGGAGCCGCTGCGCGACCGCGACGCCTCGAGCCATTCCCTTGCTTCATGAAAAAAAAAGTATAGTCATGAAAACGAAAGATGAGACCAGAGCCGGAGCACGAGCCTGAGACAGTTCTTTGCGCGGCTTTTCTAAGCCAGCTTCAAAGCTCAAGAACTCATGCGCCGGAAAGCCCGTCACTTAATGGGAGCCGCTGCGCGACCGCGACGCCTTGAGCCATTCCCCGGAGTCATGAAAAAAGCAGTATAGTCATGACAGAGCCAGAGGACGAGCCGGAGACAGTTCTTCGCGCGGTTTTCCTTAGTCAGCTTGGATGCTCAGGTGTTCCACTGCGCGACCGCGACGCCTCGAGCCATTCCCTGACGTCATGAAAAAAGTATAGTCATGAAAACGGAGGATGAGACCAGAGCCGGAGCACGAGCCTGAGAAAGTTCTCTGCGCGGCTTTTCTAAGCCACCTTGGAAGCGCAAACATTCGGCCGCTGCTGCTGGACCACACGAAAACCGTTCCTTCTTCCAAATATTTCGGCCCTCCGACACACTCTCACACACACACAGACACACAAACACACTAGCAGAGAATCTATTTGCAAGGGCCACCACCTCTGAAATTCTCGGTTCGGTTCTAGCCTTTCCGATCGTTCAGATGTGACCATTTTTGCTGCTTTTGTTCGTTTTTCCGGGTTTTTTGGGGCTTTTAGGGTATTGAGTTGATCTGAAGCTTTTGGGAAAGAAAATTCGGTGTTAGCCGTTTTGTTAGACGGTTCAAATTCTCAGAAATCATCAATTTTTCCGGTTTTTGTGCGTTTTCCCGGGCTCTTTGAGTTTTGTAGAGGGTAGATTTGATTTGAAGCTTTTAGGAAGGGGTAATTCGTTTTTTAATGTTTAAAAACTCATATTGGTTCACGCTGATCTGTCAATAAATTAAGAAACTGTTTAAAAAAGCCGTTCCAACGGTTCAGAACTGACCATTTTCTACTGTTTTTCGTGATTTTTTGCGGTTTTTTAAAAGGAAAATGAGATTTTCTGAAATCTTTTGATAGGAAATTTCGTTAATAAGCTCTCAGTGAGTGGGTTTGAATCACTCTGTTCACTTTTTAACTTCATTCTTTGTGATATTCGAGATTTTTAGAGCTTAGACTTAAGCTTGAGCTCAAGTTTTATTTTCCGGGTTTTTTGGACGTTTTTCCGAATTCTTTAAGGGTTTTTTTTAAAGTAACGATTCGATCAGAAGCTTTTATGAGGGTGATTTCAGTTTACGGCGTGTTTTTAGACTGTTCAGAACTCTGTGTTTCATAAGGTTTTTATAGTATGGATTCAAGCAGAAAATCCTGAGAAACGGAATTTTGAAGTATTTTTGCTTCCTTTTATATTTTTTTCTTGCTTCCTATCGTTTTTTTAGAATATAAACATAAGCCTAAGAGCTTAAACATATTTGTAAGCTTAAGGGGGATTTCTGGATCCTTTGACACCCCCTCAAATAAAAAGCGATTTTTTTCAAAAAAATTTACGATCTTTGGTTCGATTTCAGTTCTCACAGTATCCCAAGTTGTTTTTTTCATCTTTTTGATGTGTTGGAATTTCGTCGCGAAAGTGTTTGTGTACACGTAAGTGTCCACTTGTCGTGCAAATAACTCGAGATGGAGAGTGGTCACTCAAGTGTTTTCAGAAATTCTTTTTTTGATCTTTGGAAGTTGGTTTTAATGTTCATTTTTTGCTATAAAATAAGTAGATTTTGATTTTTCTTAATGTTCCTTTCAAATAAAAAAGGATGAGCTCTGGATTTTCATCAAAGTTTATCTTTTATCAGCTTTTTCAGTCACAAGCTCAAATTTATTCATTTTTCCTTCAAAAGCAAAATTCCCAATCTTCCTCCATCAAAAAAGCCGACGCTAAATTCCCGTAAATCGGTCCTCAAGAGCCAGCAGTATACAACTGAACGGCTTGTTGATTGTTTTCATGGAAAATCTTGTCAAAACTGATTTTATGAATTTCTGAGCTTTTGATAGCTTTTCAACGTCTGAAACCGGAAAGTTTGGTTCATTTTCACTCGAAAACTTGATAAAATCCTAAAAGCTTTTCAATTTTTCTTTTTTACAGCCACAAGATTCAATTTTTCCTCTAATTTTGGCTAATTTTTTTTTCCAAAATCGAACCAAAAATCATTTTTTCCAGTCTAGAGTCTATTCATAACCTTGTAAAATCTTCAAAAATTTCAAGTCTCAATTTTTTTTTTTTGAAAGTTTGAGCCGTTTTGAAGGCCTATAGGCTGTTCAATAAAATATTAAAAAGCGGATTTTCTCAAAATCCAGCTTTTTTATAGCCAGAAGCTCAAATTTATCCATTTTCCTTTCAAAAAACTGCATAATCAAGCAAAATTCACAATCTTTCCAACCAAAAAAGAAGCTTTTGAGGCCATTAAAGGTCTACAAGCTTTTCAATATAGTATTAAAGAGCGGATTTTCTCAAAATCCAGCTTTTTTTATAGCCAAAAGCTCAAACTTTTTCATAATCCCATCAAAAAACGTCATTATCAAGTAAAATTCTCAATCTTCCCCATCAAAAAATCCGACGCTTATGTTTAAAACCCCGTAAATCGGTTCTCAAGAGCCAGATGTATACAACTGAACGGCTTGTTGATGATCATTCTGCAGCCGCATCGAAAGCTGTTTTTTTTCCTCTTGGCCCATCAAAAAACTTTCGTTTTAAGCTCTTTCTCACTTTTCCTGAGCTCCCAAAATGTTGTGGGATGTGTCTTGTCGTCTTTTTGCTGTAATAACGCTCCCCCTGGGCCGTCTTTTTCTCGACCATGATTAATTTCCCCGACTCCCTGAGCCTGATGAGCCGGACGAACTTCCGTCTGAGAGTCGTTCCATCGGTTCTATCGATTTTTTGAAGAAATTGGGATTTTTTATGAGTTTCATGATTTTTCCTGTGTTGGAATGGTTCAAAAAAGTCGTTTGATTTTTTTCTTTATATCGGCAAAAAAATAATATTTTTGATCTTTTTTTCACCATTTTCAATGATTTTGGGCCTGTTATCCATGAATTTCCGGTTTTTAAATTGAAAAAAATTAATTTTATTAAGGTCCCTCATAAGGCAAAAAAAGTACATTATTACCGATAAGGGGGAGGGGATTTTTTGGTTTGATTTTCAATTTTCTAATCGAAAAACCACTTATGAGATCCCTCATATTACTTTGCCAAAAAAAGTAAATTATTACCGATTTTTTTGGCGGGGGGAGTTCGGATTTTTCAGTTCTTTATATCTTCTGCTTTTTAAAAACCTCGTCAGAAAAATTTTTTTAAATGTCATAATTTGATCTTAGGATCGTTTCTGATCAGATATGATGATAACTTTTCTTTACAAAAAAACTTTTTTTGTTGCTTGAATTTTTTTCTAACGATGGCATAGCTCGAAAAAAACCTCTATATTCAAAAGAATTTTTGGATGTTTTATTCTCTGGAAACGCTTAGAAACGAGATTTCAATGTTTTTTTGACCCAATCTCAAAAAAACTCAATTTTTTTCTATCAGTTTCTCAGTTTCTCTTCTAAAATTATTGAAAAATTTCTTTTTTTCGACCAAGCTTTTTGAGTCTATAGTTTGATCTTCTGACCTCCCTGTGTCCTGTAGACATTGAGGAACAAGTTTTCCTTTCTTCTTAGCCTTCTTTTTGGCGCTTTCCATTGGATTTTTCACTAAGTTCTGATTTTTTCGTATTTTTAATGGTTTCCGTCCGTTTTTTCAGAAGTTTCCTGCGATTTTCAAGCTTTTCATCAATCAATAATGAAAACTGATTGGTTTTTCTAGTCAGATGGACAAAGAAGATGTACTAAAGTTTGGAAGCTTGGTTCCGGAATTATATAGCTTCTTGGAAACGTATATTATACTGGTGAACCCCAGAGTGGCCCCTAGAGGGACAAAACCTGGAGAATTCGAAGGTTTCCGTCTAGGGGCCACTAAGGCTTTTAAAAGTGGCCACTTTAGGGGTTTTAGTTAGGGGTCACTTTAGGGATGCGTGGCTTTGCGGTTACTAACCTTACCTCCCCCTTTAGGGGCACTAAAGCTTTCAAAAGTGGCCACTATAGGGGTTTTAGTTAGAGGTCACTTTAGGGAAGAGTCGCTTTGCGGTCTCTAACCTCACCTCTCCCTATAGGGGCCTTGAAGCTTTCAGAAGTGGTCACTCTAGGGGTTTTAGTTAGAAGTCACTTTAGGGGAGCATGGCTTTGGGGTCTCTGACCCTACCTCACCTATAGGGGTTACTAGAGCTTGGAAAAGTGGTCACTGTAGGGGTTTTAGTTAGGGGTCCCTTCAGGGGAGAATGGCTTTGCGGTTTCTAACTCTCTACGAGGGCACTAGAGGTAGGAAAAGAGGCCACTCTAGGTGTTTAATTTAGTGGCCACTTTAGAGGGGCGTGGCTTTGGGGTCTCTAACCTCACCTCTTTCTATAGGGGGCACTAGAGCTTGAAAAAGCAGTCACTCAAGGGGTTTTAGTTAGGGGAGCTGGACGTTGCGGTTTCTAACCTTACCTCCCCCTTTAGGGACACTAAAGCTTTCAAAAGTGGCCACTATAGGGGTTTTAGTTAGGGGTCCCTTTAGGGGGGTGGATTTGCGGATTGTAACCGTAACTTCCCCGATGGGGGTTACTAGAGCTTGGAAAAGTGGCCACTGTAGGGTTTTTAGTTAGGGCTCCCTTCAGGGGAGAATGGCTTTGCGGTCTCTAACCTTACTTCCTCCTCTAGGGGCACTAAAGCTTGCAAAAGCAGTCACTCTAGGGGTTTTAGTTAGTGGCCACTTTAGGAAAACATGGCCTTGCGGTCTCTAACCTTACCTCTCCCTATAGGGGTTACTAGAGTTTGAAAAGGTGGCCACTGTAGGGGTTTAGGTTAGAGGTCACTTTAGGGAAGAGTCGCTTTGCGGTTTCTAACCTCACCTCTCCCTATAGGGGGCACTATGGCTCGAAAAAGGGGTCTCTATAGGGGTTTTAGTTAGGGGAGGAAGGCTTTGCGGTCTCGAACCTTACCCAGCCCTATAG